TCGCCTCGATCTCTGCTGTCTACCCCGTCGCCTCGATCTCTGCTGTCTACCCCGTCGCCTCGGTCTCTGGCTCTAAGCCTGCTTCCCCTGAGGATGCGAAGGTCACGCTCACCAAGGTCGCAACTCCCGTTGCCTACACGCCCGTTGCGTATGTCACGCCTGTCGTGCACCAGGGCTACCCTGCCGGCAACGGCACTGTTCCCGCTGGCACGGGCCCTGTCAAGCCGTCTGCGACGGGCAGCTACCCTGTCAAGCCGTCTGCGTACAGCCCTGCTGAGTTCACAGGCGCGGCGAGCAAGATGAGCATGGGTGTGACTGGGATCGTTGCCGTTGTTGCTTTCTTTGTGTTGTAGATGGACTACATATATGGCGGGTATCTCATGAGATGGGTTGCATGTTCTTCGTTTCTTGTATACCACATTCTGGAAATAGATTGCTGTCCAGAGGGGCGGTGATGCTTGGGTAGATGTATGGAAACCTGATGCGAATATGATTGCCTCTCATGTTATCTTTCCATCTCACATCGAGTCAAATTTTCCAAGCGTGTCTGTCCGTAAGCTGTGGAGATTGAGCTGACCTCGCACGAGTTCAGGCCCAGCCCAGGATCATGCATGCTGCAGGAGACTTGCATTTGGGCGTGTTGTTGAATATCATCTCGGCGCTATCGCGCATTAACCCAACCTGTCTGATCTGGAGAGCTGTCGAAGAGATACACGGTGAGGTGAGTTGTACTGGTGAAAACTGGTTCGACAATGCAGGTGACAGCGGGCGCAGGAGTCGTGGCAGCACTGGGACCGTAGCCTCACGTGTCGGCCCGCTCCCGCGAGGACCAGAGGCAAAAGCAGCATGTAGCTTTGTGATTGGAAGAAGCGTGCGGGAGGGGAACGCAGCTCTATGACGGAACGCAAGCTTTCACGCGGGCTGCAACGACTCCAGACGAACTGCTGCATTCTTCAGAGCGTTCTTCTCCGTCCTGATCATCTCCAGCCTCTATCGAACGCGCCCAATACCTACGATGACGCAGTGACCGGAGGCCATCCGCGTCGCTCCTGCTGTTCCTGCTTTGGCCCGCCTCGCTTGTATGACATGGGTTAGTGGGAAGCTGCACGATGAAGTGGCACTCGGCGCGCACTCGTCACCTCGCCAGGTCGTCGTCGACTGCGAGATGGCAGGCGGCGCGGCCGCTACGATGCCTTGATTTAATGATAATTGCAGGCGGGTCGAAGTAAGGCAGCTGCACGTGCGGCCCACAGCCTGTCTCTATTGCAGTTTGCAATTCGCATCGCCCAGCGAGCGTGAACCGGACGGTCCTTTCCCACGGCACTGGAATCGAGTCGAGCCTCCTCTCTCTCTCTCTCTCTCTCTGTCTCTCTCTGTCTCTCTCTCTCTCTTAAAAGTGTCGACGGCCAGGCACACTGCCCGAGCATGCAGGTCCTAAGCGCAGACGCTCCACTGCCCTTCTCTCCGTCCTCGACCACGCGCCCAGTGTCTCTCGCGCACTGCGAGCTGGCGCCTCACGACCGGTGACGTCGTTTGTTCAATCAGGACGACAGCATTGACGCTCCACGTCGCTCCAGCGCGTACGAGCGGTCCAAGTGCACGAATCGCGTCGGCCGCCACGCATTGGAGGCCCAGCGCTTCAAGGGTCGAGCGTCGGGTGTCGGTGAGTGATGCGCACAGTAAGTGACGCTGAGGGCTACCAGCCACCTCCATCAGCCACCCCATTTACACCTCCAACCTCCTCCCCCCAACCCGACCCATGCCGCAGCGCGCGCGCGACCAACAGCAATGGCTCCACTGCAGCGCTCTCCACCTCCGTTCTCGCTGACAGCTGCATCCCAGCGCATCCCAGCGCATCCCAGCCATTGCGACAGTTGCCGCACCGCCCGCTATAAGCAGAGCCGCGAGCGCTGCCTTGATCCGCTCCACTACGCGAGCCGCCGGGCACATAGCTCGATCCGGCGGGTGCAATTGCGCCTGCGCGTCACGCACCGCCGTCTGAGCAGGCTGCTGGAGGCATTGCCGCGTTGACGTCGGCCGGCCCACCAGAGCTCGCCAACCTGCTGCCCTACTACCACGCCCCCACCCATAACGAGACCACGACGCCCCTTGACCGCGACGACCCTTACCACACCATCCGACAGCTACGCCAGCAACAGGCCGCCGACGACTACCGCGCCGTCCACAGCCACTCGCGCGTCTCCAGCTCGTCTGGCAGCCAAGCACACAGCCTGCGCCGCACCCCCAACCTCGACCAGCACCAGCGCGCCCGCTCCGTCGACCCCGCCCAGCACCACCATCGCCTCGTGCGCTTCTCCGACGCCGCTCGACGCGCCGCTCGTCCACGTGCCCAGTCGCAGTCACGCGACCCGTCTGCCCTCGAGCCGCACCCTGCTCTGCGCATCTCGCGGCGCACCGCCTCGGCCATTCGCTTCGTGCTCGAGGAGGCCATCCGCGCCCCGTACGCCTTCACCCCGGACACGGTCGAAGAGAACGCAGCCATGTCCGACCTCATGGCCAGCCGCCCTGCCAATGGCGGCGCGCGCACGACGGCCGGACCCACGCCCGTCACGCAGGCCGACCGCTCGAACATACGGACGCCTCAGATGATCATGAACGAGCGACGACAGCGAGAGGCAGCACGGCGGCAGCAGACTGAGGCAGAGGAGCAGCGCAAGGCCGACGAAGAGCGCAGGAGAAGCGTCGAAAGAAGAGCACAAGCTGTTGCTGGCGTAGCTGGCACAACCCCCCTTACCGAGCCTGGGCAACAAAGGCAGCCCCAGCACGCTCCCTCGCGATCAGCCGATCAACACGTGAGATATCCCTCGACAGGCGCGCCCCGTCCCCCAGACGGCATGCTCCCGCCATCAACCCGCGCACAGGACGCCATGCCAGGCGCACTACAGCAACCTCGCTCTAGAGCCAATTCGCAAGCACAGCAACAGCCTCGACCCGCGCCAACTGCGGCTGCACCTGCCTCTACTGGCGAAAGACGGCGAACTTCTGGGGAGGCTGGACACCAAAGACGCCCGACTGGCTCTGCAGGCTCGGCGCAAGCTGGTCCCTCGACAGCAGCACCGCCACGTCCAGTGCCTCCACCAGACGCCTCCCAGACTCAGCTTCGTGACTCGACAACATCCACTTTCCCTCATGCATTCGAACGTTGGGAGACCCTCTCCTCGCATTGGGAAGGTCTGACATCGTACTGGATACGAAGGCTGGAGCAGAACACCGACGAAGTGCGCCGAGAGCCGCTGGCACAACAAATGTCACGGCAAATCACAGACCTGTCCGCAGCAGGAGCGAATTTGTTCCACGCCGTTGTCGAGCTCCAGCGCCTTCGCGCATCGTCAGAACGCAAGTTCCAAAGATGGTTCTATGAGCACCGTCAAGACCAAGAGAAGGCTCAAGAGCGCGAAGCTTCTTTCGAAGCAAGACTACAAGTCGAACGCGATGCAAGAGCTGCTGCGGAAGCCAACATGGAGCGTATGGCTACCGAGAAGAAGAACGCCGAGCGCGCAGTCTCTGAGATGAAGCGTGAGCTACAGATCTCAAAGGAGGAGGCCCGTCGAGCTTGGGAAGAACTTGGTCGAAGGGAGCAAGAAGAACGCGACCGTACCTTCTCCCTGCGTGACGGCCAGCCCACGTTAGTAGGTGGAGTGCAGGTGGTGCCCATGGGCCAAGGCATGGGCGGCCCTGGGAGATCAAGTGGAGGTGACGCATACGCGGGTGCACAGAGCAGCGGTGGCATCGAGCAGCATTACTCTTACGAAGAGGGTCAATCTCCCACCGATACCGATCCGTTCACCGAACGACGCCACCCTCAGCGTGAGCAGAACATCGCCAACCTCGCCCAAGGCGCATACATCCCGGCAGGTGCCACGTCAGCCCAATCATTAACCTCGAGCCAGGCCACGGCTCACCCCATCGCACCTGGTCCGCTCGTGCAGTATCCCATGCCTGGCTCGCAAGGCCAGCAAGCCCCCGTGCAGCCATCGAGCTCTCACCCCGAAGTCTTCTACCAGCAGCCCGAAGCTTATCTCCATGAAGGCCGCCAGTCCATGGCCGAGGACACCCAATCCTACGTAACCAGCAACCCCGACGACTCGGTCCTCTCAGAAGGCGACGAAGAATACGCCATCGATAGCCGCGGCAACTACATCCTTGACGACGCCGGACATCGCATACCCTTTCGCTCCCTGCAGTCGCCACTGAGCGACGAATACGACGTCAGTGAGGACCGCCGAAGGGAGCTCGAGCATCTCCAGCGATACGGCTCGGCTGCCAATCCGCCGAGCCAGTATGCAACCACCAGCGCCGAAATGGACAGCCCGCACGGTCAGGGCTACGCGACGGCGCAGCCGATGCCCGACTATAGCGGTGACGGGTACGGCGATGAGTGGATCGGCATGCGACACCACCACCCCACGCGCCTGAGCGACGTGCCCGAGGAAGACGAGCGCAGCCGGGCGAGTCCCACGAGCCGGGCCAGCGTGACGAGTCGCGGACGGCTGTTCTGAGCGCCCAAGACCTAACCTCTACCCTCCAACTGCTATTCATCTTCATGTTCATCAACATCATATCCTACCGCGCGCATACTTGACCCGCATACTTAGCACGCGTCCGCAAGCATCTAATATCCGCGGCGCAAATCTCCTCTGCGTTCTCAATACCCTTCTCCGACTTCCGAGAGGAAGTCTCCATTTGTTTATCTGGCATCAGCGCACGGCTACCCCTGTATTAGTACCGGTCCGTCTCTCCGCGAGCATGGTGTTTATAGGGTGGGTTTTGGCGGCAAACGATTTTGGGGGGGGGGGGGGAGTAATTTGGACTCTATAGTGTGGAGAGAGGAGGGAGGTGTGTTAATATCACCTAGTGTCTGATCTTGCTCTTTGCCTTGGATCGTGTTGTGCAGTGGAGCTGTGATTGTGTATATCTGGTGACTCGTCAGCGGTGTTGTCTTCGTCGAATGTGGAACTCGCCGCAGTACACTTGCCTTCTCCCTCACACGCTTGCGCCTGTCTGGACATCTGCGGCTTATCCGTGTTAGCATCTTGCTGCGAAGGAGGCTGGGATGATCCAGAAGAGACCTTGAGATAAACCAGCGAAACGGCACTGGAAGTGGTATTTACAAAGGTATTATTGTTGAAAGTAGAAGGACGTATTGCTACTGAGGTTCGCTTTTGCTCGCGCCGAATCGGCCAATGCCGCCGTCCATCTCGAATCACGTCCAGCGTATTACCATACTACTCAATCACACCAGAGACCACAGCTCGCGGGCTGTGGGATATCGGAACGGCGTGATCTAAACGCACTAAACAATAGAAGAGGGGTATGCGCAATTTAGAAAGCAATGCCAAACAAACTGGAGGTACAAAAATGCATGCAGATTGGGTGACAAACTCAAGGGACATAGTGGAGGTATGGGTATGGGGTACGAAATGTCCAGATAAAAGTGTGGGAAGAAGAGAAAAGGTATGATCCACTGAGTCCGGGGTGTGATGGTCATCGTTTGCTGTCGAGTGGTATGTAGAAAGAGGTTGTTCGACGACTGTTATTGCGCACGGTGAAGTCGAGGCTCTAAGGTTGGGTTCGTCCACAGGGCTCTGTTGTAAGCCCAGTCAACTACATGTTGTCAGGTCGGTAAGCACGGTACTGTTGGCTACCAGCAGTCGATGCACGACCGGTTGAGCCAGCAACAGAGTACTGCTGCGGCCTAGGACCATCCGAAGAGGCCATGCGTGTTCTGGGATTGTTGCTCTTCTGCAGACGGTTTGTTCGCCAACCCTCATACCACTGGTCGCGGCTTGCCTCGCGTAGTTCTGATCGCCACTCGCTGAATACGCTCTCCCTGAGCCTGACAAAGTCACAGTGCTCCGCGTTGTATGGGTCCGCGAAGCCCCATGGGAACTTGCGGCCGACAACGTCAGGCTCGTACGGATCAGGCGAAATGATGCTCAACGGCAGGAACGGTGTCTCGGCATCCTCTTTCTGTATGGAGGCAGAAATTGCCGATGGCTTGCGACTGTGGTTCCTCCGAGTCTTGGGTGGAGAGGTTGGTGGGGATCGCGAGTGCGAGCCAGAGGACGAGCGCGATGAAGCGATCGAACGAGCTGCCTCGGAAGATGAACGTCCAAGGACCTTGTTCAAAACATCAGCCTTGCCTTCGTTGTCCGACGAATGTTCGTATTCGTCCTCGTCCCGCTCATCCAAACGGTCGGCGTCATCATCCTCGAACTCGTCGAGATTAAGAGCCTCCAACGGATCCAACTTTGCTCGCTTGATCGTGTCCCAGACCATCCTCTTCAAGTGGCGCATGTGAGCACCGGTGATGGTATCTGCCTTGCTGATCACAGGCACGACGGTGGTTCTCGATTGCAACTCGCGAAGCACGTTGAGGTCCAGGTTCTCGTTGAGACCACCAAAGATAGCGCTGCCCACGTTGATGACATTTGACTTCTTGCGCGCTTCCGCGATGTTGGCATCCAGGCGGGCAGGATCCAAGATGAGGAAGACGCAGTGGATGTGGGTGTCGCTGACACCTGGAGAGCGAATCACCTTTTGTTCTTCGCCGAATGTATCCTCGAATTTGGACTCGAGGAACGAAGTGACGACGGGCAATTGAAAGTCGACGATGTTCTTCTCGAGTCCTTCAGAATCCCAGAGAGTAACGCCAACCCTCTCGCCATCTACTTCTGTCTCCAGATACTGCGAAGTGAAGGGCGAATCTTCGACGACTGCGCTAGGCGGCGGGGACGGGGTGTGAGGGCGCCTCTTGGTAGGCAGCGCAAGCGCAGTGTGCAGAAATTCGATGAAAGATGACTTTCCGCAGCCCTTAGTTCCGAGGACGAGGATGCTAGCCAACGTTAGCCTAGTTCAGACGATTCGAGGTGTAATGCTTACTTGAACGGAGTGGGCTGCTTCTTCTTTCGTACGCGGCGAGGACTGTTGACGGCACTAATCTGGCTGCTGGCGTAGCTGTAGCGGCCACGGTTGGTCATGCTCTCTGTCCTGGCGTACGGATCAGTGTCGATGAAGGAGTGAGAGCTGCCAGGTACGGGTGGGAGCACGGCGAGGTTGGTAACAGGTGCCATTCTGTGCTGCTCCATTGATGGTCTGCTGAAATTTGGACTGAAGTTGCCGACTTTGTTGGAGACAATGGCGACGGAATCAGGGCGGGTATCTCCTCCAAAGCTTGCGATCTGGGGAAGAGGTGAATGGGACGGCAGGCGGGGTGGTTCCTTGGGCAGCATTGCGGCTTCCCTCTGCTTGCGCAATACCTCCTCTTGGGCAAGTGCCTTCTGCTTGCGGCTCATGCTGGGCGCTCTTGACGTGCTGATTTTGTTCTCTGAAGACCGCTTTCGAAGGAAGGAGAAGCTGGATCTTCGCGCTGCAGCTGCCTGGAAGTCACCGTTCGATGTAGGTGCGGCAGATGGATCAGGCGAGCCGTCTTTGTTGTAGGTATTAGGGTTTATACTGGAAGGAGTAGTGCTGGCCATCCTGATCAAGCGGGCGGCACCCGTTATATCAATGGGTGGCGGGGCGGCTTGCTTGCGCGTGTAATTTGACCTGCCGGGAAAGGAGGGCAGCTGCGGAGCAGACAGCTTGGGTAGCAAGAGCTAGGCACCCTGTCCAACTCACGGGACGGTGGATCGCAAGAATCGCGGTGATGAGAGAACGAAATTGGAGGGGGACGCTGCTGGAGATCAGCCTGGTCAGGCAAGAGCCGCAAGACCCTCAGCAGGCGCGCAAATCGGGTGGGTCGGCGCAATGGGCAGAGTGAATGGCTCAGCGTCTGTGTGGGGAGATTAGGTCGCACCCTAGGCCGCGGTACAACGTCTCGTGCTAATGCAGGAACGGGTGTGTCAGGTCCGCCGAGTACGCACAGCGAATTGGCGAGACGAGACCCTCTTTCAGTGAGTAGGTACTAATGGAGTGTCTTCCCGAAGCTCGAGGACACGGGAAAGAAGGCGCAATGGACGTGTTGGGTAGTGCGACACGTGCAGAAAGATGTGCAGAGCTTCGAGAACGGTGAGCTTCAGGGGAGCAACGACAAAACCCAGGATGGCACGCCCTCTCCAGCGCGAAATGCTCTATGCGAAACCCGCCACCCGCTGCAAGCTAATCTACGACAACTAATTCACAATGCATCTGTAGCGGCGTGGCTGTTCATGCGAGTGCGACCTGCACGCAGCTTGTGTAATCGTCATGGACGCAAGCAAACATCGTTGTTCACGGCAACCGGAGCAGGTGCGTTGCACAATCCTGTAGTCCCTACCTACGCGTCGTTGCTCCGAGACCGCTCTGCACAGCGAAGGGGCCAGAGCAAATTGGGACGCGCTTCGTTCCCACTAGGAGACGATCATTGCTGTGCATGGAGATCAGGCTGAAGGAGGTGAGAGCCACCCCGGCCGCTGGCGCATAAATCACATCTGGACTTGACCAGGAACAACCTCGGATTGTTGTTTCACAGAACTTCACCACCATGTATGTTAGACTACTGCTCTGTCTACAGAACAAAGGTATATATAGGATTGTCGTCATTGCGAACGTCACTTTCGTTGAGTACGGGAAAAGGGGGCAATCGTTCGACAGCTGCAAGATCGCGCCTGCCAAGATGCAGGTGCCTTTTACAGCGATGAGGCCGCTGCGGCACTGCAGGTGTGGAGAAAGTCCCAGAGATGGCTCTCTATGTACGAAGTACATCGACACGCCCCGCACGTCTACGTCACGGTCCCAGCTACCTTCACGCATCACAGCCCCAACTTTCGCTGCTCAACCGAGCGACGGTGAGCCTGGATAGCAAAGCTGAGGTGTTTGACACGCATGTCAAGTGGTGAGCGAGCCAGTCACAGCGTATTGCCTGCATGCCATGAACGTTTGCTGCCGGGTCAAATTACCGACTTGTCCGGCCGACAAACTTCATCTGCACTGGTGTTTCTCTGATGTGCCTGCGATATGGACAATGGACCTGCTTCACAACCACACTCTCGCGTCGGCTCTGGTATCGATCTGCTTATTGTGGGTCCTAGGATGCCTTACATCCTTCTGCAAAGATCGGAAGCGATATCAGAAGCTGGTGAGCAGACGATTTCTTCATACCCGATTGGCAACACATATGCGATGTTTGTGTGAAAGCAACACCTTATTGGTGACCACTATAGCCGGGCCCACCATGTTCACTTATGTTTGGTCATCTTATCTCAGTGGGCAAAGTTGCAATGATGCTGCCCAGACGCGCTCATCCACAGACACTGGTAGCCCAAGCTATTCGTGATTACGAACTCCCGCCTATCTTTTATGTAGACTCACGCCCACTGTCAATCGTCTCCCTGGTGGTCACAGATCCGTACGTAAATGCTCTACACACCCAGGCGGTTACTGATTGTTACCAGGGATGTAGCGCGTCATGTCGCCGAACCTGACTTGCCGAAGCATCCTGCTGTGGTGGAGTTTGTAGAGTCGTTCATTGGCAAAGTTAACATGCTTACAACAAACAGTCCCCTTGTGGAAGAAGCGGAGGAGCGCATTCAACCCAGGGTTTTCAACATAACACCTGGTCGGCCAGGTCCCTATGTTTGTCGACTGCTGCCGCGAATTTCTCAGACTGCTTGATGAGCACTCGGACGCCGACCGTGTGTTCAGGGTTGAAGAAGAGGTGGGCTCGCAGGTTCTGTGATTTTATCTTCGTTACTCACTCTGCTGTAGGCAACCAAGATCACAGTCGATGTCATCGGCAAGGCCATCTGTGGACACGACTTCAAATGTCTGACCTCTGGTAGTCAATTTGTTTCGTGGATAAGAGCGGCACTATCCTGGGCAAGGGAACTTCAATTGGTCAACCCATTCCATCATTGTAACGTACTGCGTCCTATCGTCACGAAATATTATCGTTTCCGGATGAGCAGATATATTGGCAAAATCTTGGACGACAGATTCGCAGCAGGTCAGTCTGTATCGCCAGTGGCTCGGAAAACCAAGACTGGTATCGATCTTGCTCTTGAGCTTTACGTTGGAGAAAACAGCGGACAATCGGGTGCCAGTGCGACGGCTATAAACGCAGAATCCCGACAAGCTACCATTGACAATCTCGGGCTCCTTCTCTTCGCAGGGCACGACACCACCGCATCGACGCTTTGCTATTGCTATAAGTCACTCAGCGACAATCCTCATGCACTTGCAGTAGCCAGGAAAGAACTTGATGATGTCTTTGGGGTCGATGTCAGTGCGGCAGATCAGCTTCGGCACAACCCATTCCTGGTCATCAAATTTGACCACATGCTCGCCGTTATCAAAGAAGTGCTACGTCTTTGGACTTCAGCATCAAGTGCTAGAGCAGGCCGGAAAGACTTCTTCGTCCGGGAACCTGTCAGTGGCGAGCTTCTGCCCACTGAAGGTGTCAATGTCTGGATACATTCCTTTTCAATGGGTCCCTCCAAGATGATATGGAGCGAGGACATCGATCAATTCAAGCCTGAGCGTTTCCTGCCTGGAAACGTTGCAAACATACCCGCCGATGCATGGCGTCCTTTTGAAAAGGGTCCTCGCGCCTGCATTGGTCAAGAGTTTACTTACCTCGAGATCAAGGCTGTACTTGCACTTACCCTGCGGAGAATTCGACATACGCTGTGCATTTGACGAGCTGGCATCGCTGCAAGCGTTCGGTGATTCCATGTACCAGGTACTGCTGGCTACAGCGAAGCCAAGAGAAGGGATGCCTGCACGGGTCGAGCGGAGAAGAGCCTTCTGAACAAACGCTTGTTGGCGGTATCGCAGCAATGCTTGACTAGTTGCCTTAACAAACAACGAGATACGAGCGCATTGTCGAAGTATTTGAAAGCATTCGACTAAACTGGGCCATGTTCGATTTCGGGCGGCAAGATCAGACCCGTTGCAGCGGCTTCATCCCCAAATCACGACCGACCCAAGGATAATAGGGTAAAGGCGATATTTTCAAAAGCCGTTCATCGCCAGTGTGCAAAGAAAATGAAATAGAGCCGAAGCTCCGGATGATAGATTTGTGGGCTTCCAAGCTTCTGGCCAATCATAGCTGCAGAATCCAACCCGTGCCTTCGTTTTCATCGTCATCTCCGTCGTCTTGTGGTTCAACATCACGGCAACCTGCTTCATCTGTCATGGTGTTCGGCCATTGCTCTTCGAGGTACCGTACATAAGACATGTCTCATGGGCGTCTTGTTGTTAATTCCATATTTTGTCTGACTTGCTCCGCCTTCATCCTCATTCGCGTCTTGGACTTAAACATGCCATCCGTAATCAATGTCGGCCCTCTATTGTGGGTAGCTTTAGCTTCAGCTTCAGCTCACAGTACTAGCATGGACCTTGGTTGGCACAAACCGAAGAAGAGTTGGATCAATGATCTCGGAAAAGTCATTAATGGGACCGGCACAAATGGCTTTGCGTTCCATGGATCGCAGTTGCCCGTTGGCACACCATATGGCACATACAACTGGTGCAATATGCCTCATGTAAGGCCCCAAGAGTATCCCAAAGTCAGCGGAGATTACAAATTGCAGTATGTTGAGGTGTAAGTGCAGCCACAATTTTGCCCGCGCTTCGCGCCCTGCTAATCGTCACAGCATCCATCGCCATCACAAGAGGACGCCATATGCATCGAACACATTCCCAGTAGAATCATATGGTTGGAGCTGCAATGATCAAGGGCTCTTCTACTACGGCAAGCCGCTCAGTCCTGCGGGTAACGAGTCAAGCTCGACCTACTGGAGCGTGTACACTAGCGACATCAACCCCTTCGCACAGACGGGCTTCAACGGCTCTTGTCAATTTCCGCAGATCACAAGACAAGGGTTAGACGACTCATGGCAGCACGGCAAGGACCTCTATGAAGTGTACCACGGCCTCCTCGGCTTTTTGCCGCATCACCTCAACGACAAGGTCACCTACCGGGTTACAAACAACCAGATCACTTCTCAAGTCGCCGGCATGCTTATCGACGGCATGTATGCACCCAAAGATGATGTCTCTCTCCGCATCCAGCCTACTGATGTCGACTCCTTGGAGCCGCAATACTCCTGCCCAGCCGCATCGACCAGCTACAGTTCATACGGCGTTAGCAGTAAGGCATCAAACTGGACCGCACACTTGACCGCCGCAAAGCCCCTGTTTGATTCTCTAGACTCTATCTCGGGAATCGCCAGTGACTCAACAGACTGGCACAAGTCCTTCGATCACTACTACGACAATCTATCAGCGCGACAGTGTCATGCCAAGCCTCTTCCGTGCAACGTCAACAACACAAAGGCTTGCGTCACTCAAGAACAAGCCGACACTGTTTACCGTCTGGGCCAGTACGAATACTCTTTCATCTATCGCGACTCCCCACAGTCACTGCAAGCTTCCGTCGGCTCATACGGTGTCTGGCTCGCAGAGCTGGCCCAGAACATCCGCGATGCTGTCGCCGGTAAGAGCAAAGTGATTTACCGCCACAATGTTGCACACGATGGGTCAGTTGCAAGACTGCTTAGTATTCTGCAGATCGAGCAGATGGTGTGGGTTGGGATGGGTTCTGAAGTTGTGTTTGAGGTGTATACTAGCAAGAAGCGTGCTGGGAAGCAATACCTTCGTGTTCTGTGGGGAGGCCAGGTTCTGAAGAGTTCTAGCCCGACGCTCGGGAATATTGATATGTTGGACCTGGATGTGTTCCTCGGGTATATCGACGGGCTGGTTGGAAAGAAGGCGCAGAAGGTCGTTGACTTTTGCTCGTCTTGAGGTTGCGTTTAGGACGCATTCCGAACGCAGTTAAAGCAAATTAATGAGTACATCAATCATCATTGGCCATCTAGCAGTCTTGCAGAATCGTCTCTGCTTATTTACTGGTGGCTTGCTCGCTTGTCAACTATTAAACGACATGTTCGTATTGCGAGCCTGCAAACATGTGAGTAAGCTGCAGTCATGCCATAAAGGTAAGATGAATGACGAATCAGCGCCGAACGATTTGACTAGCGCTCACACGGCTGCTATCGCGAACTCCCTTACGCGACGCAATGAGATGCGAGTATTGTGCAATTTGGAATTAGACCTACTCGGATGAATGAGTGAACATGTATAAAGTTGGCCGAGCAATTCATCGGCATGCCGTCTCTTCATCATCGAGGCAGTTCTCCACAGAGAATTCAGCAATCAAATCAATATTCAGTCAAGATGCCTCTCTCGGAAGATCCCCAAATCTTGGAGACCGCCAATGGCTTCGTAAGCACGCTGCGCTCTGCATTTGGCCACACTACGAACGAGTTCCGGCCTGGTAAGTGGGACGTCGCTGTCACATATACACTCTGACAGCCTCTAGCACATGCCAAAGGTCATCTCTTGACCGGCACTTTCACACCAACAAGCTTTGCGTCTGCCCTCAGCAGTGCGCCGCACTTCAACACTTCATCCGTACCCATCACCGTCCGGTTCTCTTCCTCAACGGGATTCCCACAGATCCCCGATACTGACGTCAATGCCAATCCACGTGGCATCGCAGTTCGTTTCCACCTCGCGGATGTAGGTGGTAAGCGACAGCACACAGATATTGTTGCACACTCCACGAAATTCTTTCCAACACGCACTGGCGCCGAGTTCCTGGAGTTCTTACAGGCAGCCGGTGGGCCTAACGCTGAAAAAGCGGTCCCTGAGTTCCTTGGCCGTCACCCGGAGACAGCGAGGTTCTTGCAGGATCCTAAACCGAGCCCTGTGTCTTGTGAGTTCCACGTGCCTTGAGCGACAACACGCGTGCTGATGGCAGATAGTTGCGACCGAGAAGTACTTCGGCGTGAATGCGTTCAGATTTCTCAAGGATGGTAAGGTGACGATACTGCGCTATCGTATTGTTCCTGCGGCCGTTGAGGAGCATCTTGACGCAGAGGCACTGAAGTCAAAGTCATCGACCTACCTCTTTGATGAGGTTCCAGAGCGCCTCCAGGCAGGACCTATCGAGTTCAAGCTGCTTGCGCAAATTGCTGAAGAAGGCGATTTGACAGATAATGCGACGGTCATATGGCCCGAAGAGAGAGAGATCGTCGAGCTGGGCAGGTTAATGGTCGAGAGGACGCTTAGTGAAGAGGAGAGTCGGGCGAAGCAGAAGCAGATCATCTTCGATCCGATTCCAAGAGTCGAGGGTGTTGAGGCTAGTGACGATCCACTCCTAGAAGTCAGAGCCAGCATCTACTTGATCTCGGGCAAGCAGAGGAGGGCGGACAAGGGTGGTGACGCTGTGGATGCGGACCCCAAGAAAGCTGTCAAAGCTGTCAAAGCTGCAGCTTAGAAGAACCTCTGGGGGTGATTGTTGCCGGCTTCAGAAGCGTTTCGAAACTGTTTACCTGCTGCAACCAAACCTGGTGCGCAATAGACCATCCAAATCCAGAAACACTATTTTGTGATGTTTAGTAAAGACGGACAGTCACCATGTGAGTTCGTGTGTGCCACGCGTTCAAATAAGTCGCGCCGGAAGCTTCGGCCCACTCTCTCGAGCCAATGATCACTCTCGGCAAGGTACGCTAAGCTGCACTTGTGAAATTAGCGTTTAGGCGATGGGCTCGGTCATTCTTGTTGGTCCCACTTTCACACTCGACGGAACTCATTGGATATTTGTCTTCACCGTCAAGCATTCTCGTGGCGGCGCTGTTATTGTGTATCGTCGTTTGGACTATCGAAACATACTTTCCTGCGCCACAAATGTACATTACGACTGTATAAATCTCCGCGTAGAGAGTCGGTAAGCCTGATGCGCAAGATCGCGAACAGAATACTCACATGCCAAGAAATAGACTCAGTTGATACAGCCATATATCTTGCCACAGCCTTGGTACTACAGCTAGTCTAGGTCCTTCGTGACCTTGGTTGCTTCGATACGCCTGCAGCTGTGATCATGGACATGTATACGCAAGCTGACTCTATTGACTTGGAGCAATTGCCGTTTGAGTCCACTCCTCAACAAAGACGGCCGAGGTACTATGCAGTAGCTATTGGACGCAGTACCGGCGTTTTCACGAGCTACGATGCTGCAGCCCCGCTTGTTTCCGGCCACCCCTATGGTAGACTGAAAAAGTTTCTGACCAACGATGAGGCCCAGGCGTATGTTGAAAAGTACAGGCATCGGCAAAGCGGACAACCAGAAGGGGCAGCTGATACCCTCAATCCACCCGGTCACCAGGAATATCGGCATGTCGTTAATTCGTCATATCCTCAGTGGGGAACAACTGACCACGCCGTAAATCAGCCTTTGCAGCCACATCACGAGCCGTTCTTAACACAAACTGTGCAGCCAGCCCCAAATCCCGGCTTGCTCACACTGCCCACGAATCCGGCTAACGTATCCGTGGACTCCGGCCCTCCACTTGTACCCGAGCAACAACGCGTTGTAGACTTGATCCTCGCGGGGCGCAACGTCTTTTATACTGGCTCTGCAGGATGTGGTAAAAGTACGGTTCTTAAGTCAGCCGTCAGGCAGCTCCAACAACGTGGGAAGAGAGTCAAGATCGTCGCACCCACGAACCTGGCTGCACTGAATGTGGGAGGGACCACGACTTGGTCCTACGCAGGCTGGACTGTACAAAGTATGAAAAGAGACATCGAAAAACTCATGCAATCCGCTTTGGGCGACAAAAGTTGGAAGAGGTTCGATGAAACTGATGTTTTGATCATCGACGAGATCAGCATGATCGAGAACCTCTTCTTCGAGCGTTTGAACATGGTCATCAAGGCTTCTCGAGGAGAGAAGTATGGCGCGGGTCCGTTTGGAGGAATGCAGCTCATTGTTACCGGTGATGTGAGTTCTTAAGAGGAAACCTCAAGTCGTCCATCATTAACAAATCCAGTTCTATCAACTATCACCTGTGAAGCCGTTTAATCACTGTTTGTGTGGATGGGAGCTCCAGAAAGACGGTTACAAACCACCGCGAGAATACAAATGCGAGAATCGGAATTGTCGCGAGGACGCCTTCCTCGATGTCGACAAATGGGCTTTTCGGAGCAACGCCTGGGAAGTACGTAGCTGCTGGAAATGCCGAAGATGGCAGAGGCTGACCATTACAGGAATGCAAGTTTGAGCATATGAACTTGACGCAGATCCATCGACAAAATGACTTCAAGTTCAAGTTCATACTCAACTTCATAAGAACAGAGGGGCGTATTCAACAGCAACACGCCAAGATCCTCATGAATCATGCCTCAGATACTGAAGGCGCTATCATGCTGTCATCTCTGAAAAATGACGTTGAGAAAGTCAACAGACAGAACCTCGATAAAATCCCCTCGGAGGCACGTTGGTACAAATGTCTTGACACTTTCCAGTGGTCCGATGCAAATCGTAGTGATAAAGCTCTAGAGAAGAATGAGGATCGACTGGAGGATGATAGCCTGAATGCTCTGGTGGGTTGGAGCCTACCCCTGACTGTTGTTGAGCTGACTTATATGCACAGAAAGATTCGCGCTACGAAACGAACTTGCAGCTCAAGCAAGGCCAGCGAGTTGTGTTGTTGGCCAATATCGACCTTGCGGCTGGCCTGGTCAACGGCGCTCAGGGTACAATCATTGAATTCAAGCCTTACGATGAGAAAGACCTACCGAAGGCGCCTGCTAAGAGAGGCGAAGACGGGGAGCTAAGGGGTGATCATGCTGCATATCGTGAAGGCCAGATCAAAGGTTTTGGCAGATCAAACAATCGCCAGGCCTGGCCAGTCGTCAAGTTCCTGAATGGCGTTACAAGGACTATCTTCCCGGAGTGTATGCCCAACGAGCTCGGTACTGAACAACCATACTGTTTGCTTTCAAGGACACAAATACCGCTCACTGCGGGCTATGCAATCACCATTCACAAGTCTCAGGTTTGTGAGGACTACAAAAACTCCATGCTTGCGCTGACACACTGCCAGGGTATGACGCTTGAACGCGTTACTGTCGATCTGGCGCGGGCATTCGAGCCAAGTCAAATCTACGTTGCTCGTAAGTTTGGCTGCAGATGCATTGGCTTCACCTTCGATATTGATTCTATGAACAGTAAGCCGAGCGAAGTCCCTACAGGGCTTAACGGTCACATCTCTTCCGAGGCATCTCAATCTGGGCGGCGCCAATGAACAGGTCAAGGAGTTCATGCAGACTCGATTTCCGAAACAGCCAGTCACAGCCGGCTGACCTTTATCTGTACACCTCTACAAGCGGGCTTCCCGTAGCTTCCATTTTTGTGAATGACTTCTTGGACGGAGTCCTACCCATGGACTGGCTCAGATGCTGTAGTGTCCTTGTATCTCATTAATACCCTGCATTACCTTGTAGACCGGGACATTACTACCTACATCATGAGACACAAATCCCGCCTTTACCACACCACAACATCCGCCTCTCAAGGGACGATATGCACATATCGGCACTCCTCTTTCCCAATATGGCTAGTTACTGCTTACAACGCAGGCACTGCTTACGCAGCTTCCCTCCACATCCGATACGGTTCAATACCCAAGTGAAGAGACTGAAGTGGGGTGTTGGACCGCCAGGTGCTGCACCGCGGATGACAGGATGAGACGTCTTGACAATTGTTTGATGGAGGATCAAGGCTTGCTACACAATCCTCGATACACAGTGCACTTCTCATCTACCAGTAAAGAGCCTCACTTGTCGCTTGACTTTTATCGCCCTTGCCCTTGCCTTGCTTCTTCGGATACTGCTCGGTGATGCCTTCCTCCATCTCCTCCACCACGTGCCCAACCCCCACCTTGAAATTCGCCAACCGACTTTTCTCCTTGACCCGTGTGTAAAATACTGGGCAATCGCGACTATCACATCTAATCTCCTCACCCCATGCAAGCCCCGAGCAGCTGCGACACACCATGTCGACCTCCTTGACTCTGACCTCGGCTTCCCGAATGCGCTCTTTCAGCGTCAGCAGGGCGCGTGCCGGACGTCTAAGACACTTCCCACAAAGCGGAAGTGTAGAGAAAGTATCAGGCGCGATACCCGGTAGGTATGTCGGTGGTGGTGGCAGTTTCGCGCGACATACAAGGCAAGACGAGGTCTTCATGTAGCTCTCGAGCGTCTTTTTGAGGTTCGTTTGTCCGCCTGCGATACCTGGGTTAGGCTTACTGGGCAGCGGAATAGTGATGTTGCGCATGCGCTGCACCTTGGGCATCTCGTCGTACCACTGCCGCACGTTCGCGCCGACGAGGTTGAATATGCGTTCCAGCGGCGGAATCAGGTTCTTGCTGATGTAGTACTCAGCGTCGAGCTCGAGATGGTCGTTTGCGAGCAGCACCTCAGGCGCCACACAACGATCTATCAAGCGTGCACCAGGCGCACCAGTTATAACCACGTACGGTACACGCTCGCCATACTGAGGTTCTGTGCGCGGATCTGCCAGCATACGTTTCATCGCTATCAAGGCTCCTGGCGGCGGCGGTCCGCGGTCAGAGTAGGTGCCGAGTTTAACTTCTTTTGCGAAGAGGAAATCCTGGATGGAGATGCGGCCTTGCATGATCTTCGCGCACTGGTCCTGGAAGTATGACTTCACTTGACTTAGATCGGCTGTGCGAAATAAAATCTTCAGCGCGCGCTCTTCGATCTTCTGCTCTGCGGGTGTGCCGTCTCTCCGCACGGTTTCGATGCCTTTTGCATCGAAGTCGGGCTCGGTCTGGTTGCGGTGCTCGTACTTGAAGCCGACATAGCGTTTCTTTGCGAGCAGGACGCACGGGTGGTATACTTTCTCAAATTTTAGCTTAATGGGACGCGGATTGGCGTCTGTGATGGCTTTTGAAATTTCCTCCCCGATGGTGAAGGCTTGGTCGCGCGTGCGGCCTTTGAGATATATGAAGAGCGAGTCTGTGTCGCCGTAAACAACTTCGGCACCCCATTTTTCGGTCGCGTGGATAAGAGCAATGGCCTTCTCGAGCGTCTCGCGGCCGGTCTGGACGATACTGTCGGCGATCTCGGAGCACGGCATGCGGCCAGAGAAGGAGGCGGATGTGTAGCCGTAAGTAACGTTGGCCAGCAGCTTGAGAGCAAGCTGTCTGTTGTTGAGAAGCTGTTGTAGTGTCTTATCGTCCTTGTCTTGCTTCATACCACTCTTCACCATCACTCGCGTCTCAAGAATTTCACCCAGCATTTTGGCCAACAAAGACTTTCGCATCTCCGGCTTAACGTAAATCATACCGTTTGGTGCGATGTTGATGTGATCCTTCACGAGCTCCAACAGTCGAGGCTCACGCTTGAAGTCCATGAATCCCATTTTGTTGCGACCCCTCCAGCTCGTAACGCGGCCTAGGCATGTTGAGTAACAGAGATTGTACGCGATCATAACACTGGGGTATAGAGACTGGAAGTCAAGCACTAATAGAGGGCTAGAGTAGAAATCGCTCTGTGGCTCCATAACGAGCGGCAGACATTCAAGGGCATTCTGTTGGCCAACCTGCTTGCGACTCGGGGAAATGAGGACGAAGTTCTCTGGTTTAGCAATGCGGAACATGGTGGACTCGACCTTGAACTGTGATCCGCGCGAAATGACCGAGAAGAAGTCGACCCCGAGTAGCCGTGCCTGTTCACTCGTACGCGGTACGATCTCGTTTGCTTGCAGAATGTCGAGATTGAGCTGGATGCGAGATACAAAGTGGTTCAACACTTTGGACAAGTCGCGAGGCTTGGTGCTGAGGTACCATCCTGTGAGATCTGAGTGTGTGTAGTGAGGTATGCGCTTGTGCAGAAGATGGAAGACGACATTCTCCATCGTGTACTGCAACAGGTTGAGCTCTCCTCGCATGGCTCTCCAGATGTTGATCATGTGACGCCCGGTGACACGGATCGTTGAGGTATGGGTGAAGCCCCAGCGATCTGCTTCTTTACCGAATCTTCCATGGGATTGCGACTTCATGCGGCTGATCTCGTCACATAGATTGTACTCGAATTTCATCCTCGCTCGCTCAATGAGGTAACCCCAGGAGCTGTTGTGGACCTCGTAGCCCGTGAGGATATCGGGGTCGAATTGACGAACAATGTCCACGATATGATTGATGAGATCTAGCTCATCCTCTTCATACTCCACTTCTGTTTTGACCTGCTTGGCTATTCGCTCAGCGATGCCGTTCTCATCTGAAAGACAGAGGATTCCGATCCGCGGTCGATCTGTTGTCGCATTCTCTTCCCCTTCGACTGTCCAGAAGATGCACTGAATCTCATCTTCCGCAGGGTCTGGCACGAGATCACCTCGGTTATTGACGTGTACCTCCAAGCTCATGATGCTCATGTACTCAGTCTTATACTTGACGCTGGTCGAATTTTGCTTTTGTGAGAACTTGAATCCATGCTTGTTCTTCTGCGTCGGTCCCTCAATCTGGGCGAGGTGGTCTATGAACTTGACTTTTCGTGGCTTGGGTGATTCTACTTTCTTGTGTTTCGACGGTAGCCTCAACGGCGCGCTCTTCGAGGCTTCCCCTTTTAGCCAACTCTCCACTTCACCGATAGTCGGAGGTGGTCTCGCGATTTCCCAGTTGCGCAGACTACAGCGCTGGGATCTGATTCTGTCTTTCGCCTTTTCTCTCTTCTTGTCCACCAATATTGGCTTCTGTTCACCGAAATTGGCAGGATGCTTGCCAGATGGATCGAATGGAGGCAGATAGGGTAGCGTCATGCTTTGTAGCTTAAACTCACGACCAGCGTACTCGCGTGGTCGATCTGGCACATCTTTCTCGTTGCTGTAATAGGCATCTTGAAAGATGACAGGTGGCAAGCCAGCATGCATCATGGTGTCTGCCACCTCATCCAGGCAAGGAGGGAGTGTGCTGAAATACATTGTGAACTTGTTCTGAGGCAGCGACTCTGCTAAATGTTTGGCTAACATTTTTGCTTCATCAATTGCCTCTGGTCCGCTGCTGCTCAGTCTGATAGGTGAAGTCTTTTGGTGCGTCCAAGGGGTCACAGGGGTCATAAGTGTGCCCCCAGGCATAAGGTGCTTTGCGGGCGTCTTTGGTAGTTCTTGTGAGTTCGAGTAACTCGACTGGCTCAATCGTAATCTCGTCCCTAGGTCGTGTGAGTTCTTGACGACTGGAAAAGACATGGTAGTTGGCCCTCCATGTCCTTGAGCTTTGATGCTTATTCGGGATGACTGACTCAAAGGAGGCTCATCCTGAGCGGCTTTTCGAGATGTGCTTGTTTTCTTACCACCCTCAAGTCTCTCACGGAAAGAGATCTTCTTTGCTGTGAGCGGGGAAGAGTTCAAAATACGTTGGCGTTTCCGAGGAGAGGCGAATTCTGGCTCAAGATGCCTCTTACGGACTGTTGATGGACTGTTTGGGTCACCGACGCTGCCAGCCTCGCTAGGATCAACAAGATCGATGCCTACGTCAGAGTGGTCATCAGAAGTATCGCCGGTGCCGGACTGCTGGAGAAGCGACCTTGTGAGCGGATCAAGAGATTGATCTTCCTCAGTGTCAGACTGGCCGTCTTGATCCTCCTCAGCAGCGTCCACAATGATATCGGGAAGTTGTTCAACAATGCGAGGCATCTCATCTGGGCCGGGCAGAGCATTGACCAAGGTCATTGTACTTCTGACTTCCTCGTCTCCCATGGGCTCTGTTTCATCCGCTTGTTCTTGCTCGTCTTCATCTATCCGCTGACTCCAAAGATTCTCGGGATATAGATCCTCAACACTTTCGACTGTCGTTCTGATCTTCTCCAATCCAGGGACGTCCTTTACGAAAGTACCGAAACTGACATTGTCCCTATGTGGCTGCTCTTCCTCGATCAGACTAGCCACAAGCTCCCGGTACTCTCCCTCGTGTATCCATCCGCCCTTGTCTGTATTCCGCGGATCTGCAGACATGGAGACCATCACCTCAGCGGGAAATGGAGTGCTTGCTGTATCGCTGAGGCCCATCTGCCGCTTCCTGCGACGCGTCTCATCTCTCCATAGGCCGGCCATGGACGGTACAAACTTGTCGTCCGGGTTACTAGGCATCTGACTCGATCGTTCCAGGAAGTCATGGTGGATAGGTCGATACTGAAGTTCGTGTCGGTTCAGAATATCTTGTACACATATATCGACTTCGAGTGCGCAGTGGCTCATACGAGGATACTGATCGTCTTCCGTAATGAATGACTCTGGGACCGAGGTGTCGTGCCATTTGTGCGTCTTTGTGTCAATCTCGTCGCTGTCTGGGACTGGGCCACGGAACTGAACTTTGGTGCAATTGATGTAGTCGCAGCCAAATAGGTTATAATCGCACATCCACTGCAGCAGGTATTGCAGATGGCTCTCGTACGGCTGAAAAGTGCGGTTTAAGATGGCCCCTTGGTGCAGCAGATCGGCGAAGCGCGTCATATGCATAGGGTTGAGCATATAGACCTTGAGAAAGACTTTGTACCCAACATTGTATCCAAAGAATGGTATTCCCTTGACTAGGGATATATGTCCAACATATTCTGACTTTCCATCGTAGGCGTTCCGGCGGTACGTCAGGGCCAGAGCATGATCAATGGAGGCTCGAAGAGATTGGATGTAGACATTAACTGCATTACGTTAGTACTGCCACGATACAAAGATGTTCATCCTCACCAACATCGTTCTCCAAGCTACCTGTGTACTCAAGGTACAAGTATGGCAGGGCTCCGTGTATGTGCGCGCATACTTTCTGACCAGTTTCGGTGGCGCCGAACGCTCGAATCACTGGAACATCAGGCGCCTGCTTACGCGACTTTTGCGATGGCCCAGAACTTCGTCTTAGTACTGGATCGAGATCTGTCGGTGTCGCCTGGTAGTTGTCGAGACAATTAAGGCGGAAGCGGAAGGTGTCCATGACGACATCGGGGTCCCTGCGGTTATCTTGTCGCAGAACCGCGGTGTCATGGTCACAGAAGGTATCCAAAAAGGACCTGCCTACCTCCCTGCACGATTTTGGCGATTGCAAGAATGAAGCAAGGGTTGTTGCAAGCGCGACGCTGGACAACAAAAGACGCGTTCATCGCCACGCGCTACCACGTGAGGCACTAGTACTGCAGCCCTATGAAGCTACTAAATGCTCCACTCTTCGCCGCATCGTCGCTGCAACACCCGCGTGGGGCCTTCACCATACCTCCACAGCCAACAAACATCACTCAGCAGCCATGCCACCCGTCGGCGAACCGAGGAAGCCGGACAATTCTGCCGCCGCAAAGGAGCGCAACGAATACATTCCCTCTTTCATCTCGAAGAAGCCTTTCTATGCCATCGACGAGAACGGCAATGACAACGGCGACGATTACCTCGAGCACCAACGTTTGCAGAAGCAAGAACAGGACTCGACATGGTACGATCGCGGAAGGAAGCTAGGTCCGGCAGCGACCAAGTACCGCAAAGGAGCCTGCGAGAATTGCGGAGCGATGACCCACAAAAAGAAAGATTGTCTCAGCAGACCGCGCAAGGCAGGCGCAAAGTTTACCGGCAAGCGTATCGAAGCAGACGAAGTCGTTCAAGATGTACAGCAGAGCTGGGATGCCAAGCGAGATCGCTGGAATGGATATGATGCATCAGACTTCAGCCAGGTCATTGAAGAGTACAACGAGATGGAGGAGCTGCGTAAGAAGGCCAAGAAGGATACAGAAGGGGACAAGTCTGGTGACGAAGACGATGAGGGCGACAAGTACGATGCTGAGACGGACATGGGCCGGAAACAGGCAACGTCTACAAGGAACCTGCGCTTGCGAGAAGACACCGCGAAATACCTGCTGAACCTCGACCTTGACTCGGCCAAGTACGACCCGAAGACACGATCGATGGCGGATACTGGCGCAGGCTCAGACAAAGCAGCACAACTTGTGGCAGAAGACGGCTTTATGCGTGCATCCGGTGATGCTGCAGAGTTCGAAAGGGCGCAGCGTTATGCCTGGGAGACACAAGAGCGTGGAGACAAGAATAAGCTTCACCTTCAGGCGAACCCCACATCCGGTGAAGTCATGCGGAAGAAGCAGCTCCAGGAGCAAGAGGAGCAGAAGAAGGCCAAGGCCAAGACCCTCGCTGAGAAGTACGGCACACAGCAGAAGTTCACCGACGAGTCAATGCGCAAGCTTGCAGTCACCGAGAACGAACGATACGTCGAATACGATGAGCGAGGTGGCATCAAGGGCGCGCCGAAGATCAAGGTGAAATCAAAATACGCCGAGGACATGTTCCCGGGCAATCACACATCAGTCTGGGGCAGCTGGTGGTCAGCCTTCCAGTGGGGGTTTGCATGCTGCCACTCTACGGTCAAGAACTCTTACTGTACCGGCGAGGCTGGAAAGGAGGCTTTCGAGAAGGCAGAGGCTATGCGAACAGGCGCTGACCTTCCCGAGGAGGTTCCCCGATCAATTGCATGGAAAGAGGAGGAGGCTCTCGAGGAGCACGTACCCAATGCCCCAGAAAAGGACTCAAATGCAAAGCAAGATTCGGCTGCACGCAAGCGCACTATCGCTGAAATGACTGGCGACGTGAACGAGGAGGAAATGGAAGAGTACAGACGGAAGCGCACAATGGCAGCAGACCCCATGGCTGCCTACCTGAAGGGGAACATGGCCGATGTAGTATGAGCATGTGCATGATTTTCTCCATTGTCAAAAAGCTTCACTTTTTGTCTTAGCATCGCGTGGCGCTGGTACGGTGTTTATACCCAGGGTTGCACATCAGCAACGGCCTGTGAAATGACATAGAGTTTCTGATGATCGAATGCGTTGTCCTGCAGGCTGCAGTGCTGATCGGTGTCATGCAGCTAGGGCCCGAGGCTGCCGGCTTCCCCATGTGCAATTCTTTCCCTCCATTACAGATGCCAACTCACAAAGAAACGGATTGCGCATGCAGCCGCGCGTATGCGTTGTATGACGGCAAGACAGCGGTTTAGGAAATCTGCGAGCGTTGAGTGGTGAATTTAGAGTGGCTGAGCGATGACGAAAGCTACTCCCGGAGCCAAGGCTAGCCGCTAGAGCATGGGGTCCATGGGTGGGCACCAACCTCAAGGCGATCGCGCGTCCAAGGATTCGAAGCTCATGCTTGAGCGCCCGAACTCACCCCTCCCACCAATTCGCCATACACCTTCGCGCAGGCCCTTTGCATCGTGCCTGCCTGCCTAATTGTCTCCTTCTCTCTTTCTCTCCCATAGTAATCGCGACTGCCTCCAGACAGCTCTGGATAGGCAGCAACAACCGTCGAGATGGCGCTCTACGGATCCAGTAGGAATGTTGATATGGGGAAGTACGTCAATCGCTAACATTCACTATCATGTATGCGAATTGGAAGCAGTTATGCGATGCTAACGAACCGGCCAGGCAGGAGTCAGAGCTTGCCATCAACATTCGCAAAGCGACCAGCATCGAGGAGGTCTCGCCGAAGCGTAACGTCCGCAACCTCCGAGACATCTGATTGAAGCTCACTGTGACGGCAGGCAAGCACGTGCGAGCATGTATCGTATACACATGGGACCACAAGAGCTCTGCCTCGTTCTGGCAGGGCATGAAAGTGTAGGTCACGCCAGATCTCCTCAAGGACCCTTGGGTGCATTGGAACAGCCGAAAAGCTGCTGACTACTGACCAGGCAGCCAATCCTCGCCGATGAGATCCAGACATTCAAAGCGCTCATTACCGTACACAAGGTCCTTCAAGAAGGACACCCCATCGTTCTCAAAGAGGCGCAATCCAACACCAGCTGGCTGGAGAGCTTGTCGCGAGGCTCCACAGATGGCGCAGGTGTCAGGGGATATGCGCCACTTATCTCAGAGTACATCTATTACCTGATGGCCAAGCTGGCGTTCCACCGACAGCACCCGGAGTTCAACGGTATGGACAGCATGTTCCGAGAGACCAGACGGTATACTGACACGAGGCAGGTACTTTCGAGTACGAGGAGTACATCAGCTTGAAATCCATCAACGATCCGAACGAAGGATATGAGACAATCTCGGATCTTATGACGCTCCAGGACCAGATCGACGCATTCCAGAAGCTCGTCTTCTCACACTTCCGAAGCGGCGCTAACAATGAGTGTCGGATAGCTGCGCTGGTACCTTTGGTACAGGAGAGCTATGGTATCTACAAGTTCATCACTAGCATGTTGCGTGCTATGCATACCAGCAAGTTCTGCATTGAAACTTGCACTGAACTGAACTAACAAGCATAGCCCTTGGCGACGACGAGGCGCTCTCCCCCCTCCGTGGTAGATACGACGCTCAGCACTACCGTTTGGTCAAATTCTACTACGAATGCTCTAACTTACGCTACCTGACGAGCTTGATCACAGTGCCGAAGCTTCCCCAAGACCCTCCAAACCTTCTCTCTGAAGACGAATCAGCTCCGGCGCTCCCTGCCAGACCCAAGGTCGCAGAGCCTGCCCCCGCGCCACGCGCGCCATCCGTAGACCCTGAGCCAATCAACGAGTTCTGGAAGAACGACCAGAAGAGGCAGCAGGAGCAATACGAGGCCGAGCAGCAAAGACTAGCACAACAATGGGAAGAACAGCAGCGTCAGCAACAGCAACAGCAAATGCAGGCGCAAAGAGAATTCGAGGAGCAGCAGAGACTCCAGGCGGAGCAAGCGCGCCTTGCGCAAGAGCAGCTTATGCGCGATCAATACCAGCAGCAGACACAGGGTCGCCTTGCTGAGCTCGAGCGCGAGAACCTCAATGCACGTGCACAGTATGAGCGCGATCAGCTCATGCTGCAGCAATACGATCAGAGGATGAAGGCGCTCGAGGGCGAGATCGCCCAGATGAACCAGAACTTCAGCTCGCAGATGGGCTCTAGGGATGAACAGCTGCGGGCACTGCAGGAGCAACTAAATACATGGAGGTCGAAGTACGAGTCGTTGGCTAAGCTCTATTCTCAGCTTCGACACGAACACCTACAGCTTCTGCAGAAGTTCAAGGCAGTCCAGCTCAAGGCCAACTCCGCACAAGAAGCCATCGATGCGCGCGACAAGCTGCAGCGAGAGCTGAAGACAAAGAACCTCGAGCTGGCGGACATGATTCGCGAGCGCGATCGTGCCATGATGGATAAGGATCGCAGCTCTGGTGGGCATCGCGAGGAACTCGAGAAGCTCAAGCGTGAGCTGCGCGAGGCTCTGGACCGAGTCGACAACGCCGAGCGTGGCAAGGGCTCAGAACTGTCAGCTATGCTGTCGAGGCACAACCGTGAGATCGCGGATCTGGAAGAGGCTCTCCGCAACAAGACACGCCAGCTTGACAACCTGCAGATGAAGCACCGTGAGGGAGACTCAGATCTTGAACGTCTTCTGCGCGAGAAGGAAGAGGAGCTCGAGATCTTCCGCGCAGGCATGGATCAAACATTGCTTGAGCTGAACGAGCTGAAGTTGAATGGCCATGCTAACGACGATGTCCTCGATGGACAGATCGATGTTATTTTGCAAGACAGCCTCCAGAAGATCAACGACATCATCGATTCTGTTCTACAGAGTGGAGTGCAGCGCGTTGACGACGCTCTCTACGAGTTGGACTCTTCCATGCAGGCGGGTAACCAGAACGCGACCGGTCCTTACGTCCTTTCACAGATCGAAAACGCCTCGACAAGTACTATGGAATTCTCGACAGCATTTAATAATTTCATCGCAGACGGACATAGTGCCAAGCATGCCGAGGTCATCAACGCTGTCAACAATTTCGCTGGCGCGATCGTGGATGTTCTGATCAACACGAAGGGTCTGACACGATTTGCCTCTGATGACAACAAGGCTGATCAGCTCATCAACGGAGCGCGGGCTTCTGCGACATCGACAATTAGGTTCTTCCGTAGTGTCCAGTCCGTACGCTTGTACGATCTCGACGCTGAGCGCAAGATCGATGTTGTCATCAACAACAGCTCCGAAGTTGTCCGCAACCTGCAGAGTCTTAGCAAGCTTGCAGATGCCTTCGCGCCCAAGAGCAAGATCAACACCAATGGTGACCTCGGCGAGGTTGTCGATGATGAGCTGACTAAGGCTGCCAACGCTATTCAGGCTGCTGCCGACCGTCTGGCCAAGTTGAAGAACAAGCCGCGCGACCAGTTCTCCACCTACGAGCTCAAAATTCACGACTCGATCCTCGATGCAGCCATCGCAGTCACAAACGCCATTGCTCAGCTCATCAAGGCTGCGACGGCCTCGCAACAAGAGATCGTCCGCGAGGGTCGTGGCAGCATGACAGTCACCCAGTTCTACAAGAAGCATAACCGCTGGACCGAAGGTCTGATCAGCGCAGCCAAGGCCGTTGCGACATCCACAAATATGCTCATCGAGACTGCTGATGGCGTCATCTCCGGCCGCAACTCGCCTGAACAGCTCATCGTCGCTTCGAACGACGTCGCTGCCTCGACTGCTCAGCTTGTCGCTGCCAGTCGTGTCAAGGCTACGTTTATGAGCAAAACTCAGGACAGGCTCGAGACTGCTTCGAAGGCAGTCACTGCTGCTTGCCGTGCCCTCGTCAGGCAAGTACAGGATATCATTGCACAAAAGAACAGGGACGATGGCGATGTCGTCGACTACACCAAGCTGAGCGACCATGAGTTCAAGGTCAGGCAGATGGAGCAGCAGGTACGTTGTCAATAAAACTTGATATGAGAATAGACGCTTACAAAATGCACAGGTCGAAATCCTTCAACTCGAAAACCAGCTTTCGCAAGCACGCATCAGGCTCGGTGAGATGCGCAAGCTTTCGTACATTGAGGAGTAAATATGTATCGGCCACTCGTCACCCTATGCTCATAATAGTCCTCTTCGTGGTAGATAATCTTTACGCATTTTTTCATCATCGTTGGTCATAAAGTCAAGTAACGGGCAACAGCCAGGGATGGCAGGGGTTCATCATTAGGTTGAGAAAAGTACAGGCGGGTTTCCTATTGCCTGCATCAATACGTGGTCTTGTTTCCATTGTGCACACCGTTCTTGTACACTGTTTCCTGGATCTGCGCACATTCTAGAGTTCTTCGAGTTGCTCGATCACAGACTCCACTTCGCACGTTTCTCTCTCTCACCCTGCCTCCATCGCCTCCACTTTACCGAAGAACTCGTTGTCCACGTCTGTCTCTGTTCTATCGCCCCTGTTATTCTGCTGCTTCTCCCTTCCTTTGCGAGCCCTCGTGTAATTAAGAAGCGGTACTCTGCTCGGCTTGCTCCTTGCTTCTTGCTTCGCATCCTGCGTTACTTCGTGCAACGTTCCCTGCATCTATTGCTGTACATTCTCCTGCATCTTGAGCACCTTGATATGGTGCTCTCTTGTTACCTGCTTTTTAATCTCCTGCAATTTAAGGCGCTCTTCTCGAGCGGCAAGCCAATCGTCGCTCAGCAATCGCTGATCCGACACTAACACATGACCAACAAGCGCCCCCTCCTTCGTGGAAGCTACGTCTTCCTCTTGCGTCGCCGTTGGTGGCATTGTTGGCAGACTGCCCTCATCCTCATACTCTTCTGTTATCAAACCATCCACCAACGAGCGATTACAGATTTGACGATGCTATGCTGCCCAGTACTGGAAAGAAATGTTCGCTGAATATGAACCTGTACGTAGTGTTGACAGACCATTTCTGTGGATTTTGGCGCTTCGAAGTGTGCGCCCAGAATTATCTGAGTGCATCTGCGACGACGGAATATCAGGAAGCGTCCCATCAATGCGCAGCCAATGCACAAATGGAGAGGCTGTTGTCGACTCCATCTTGCTGCATGACAAGCTTTGCCTCTGCATGTGTATTGTCTATTCGCGCTTTCGAGCCTTGTACGAAGTGCTTCGGCCGTACAAGACTTTATTCATCCATACACAATACTTGCTATATTGCTAGTTGCATAGAACGAGATCCACTGTGAGTATGCATAGCTTGCCAGGTCGTATGAGACTCTGACCAACACAGCCTTTCTATTTGTATTGGAGGAGGCCCAAAATGGCGACTATGATGCAGGGGCTTTGATCAGGCTGAGCAGGCAGCCTCGTCGGTGAAGTGCATTTAACATCCTTCTGCACAGACGGAGCACATCTTTGGCACAGAGCAGTTCCGATTTCCACGCACAACATGTCAAACGACCGGAACAGCGATAGTGACGATGGCGAAGCTTATGCTTACGACAACGACGACCCTCGCACACGAGAACACAACGCGTACAAGATCTCTCAAGAAAATGGCGCACGAGATCGTCGAGGGTACAGGTACGGCGACGCCGTGGACGACGATGGCGAGAACTACTCTCCCGACGAGCGCGATAACCACGACACCATGGAGCGAAAGCTCGAAAATGCCCGTGAGGCGCGAGGCTGGGCCCTAGATTAGGAAGCAAGTCCCCAACGGTCACCGTCACGGCATCTTAACTGGCGTTCTCCGCAGTGAAGCAAACCGCCGCTACGCTTGGAATGGGCAATGGGCTGGTGGTGACCATGAAGGCGTGGCGCAGGAAGCCGACAGGAGGATGGAAGAGGTAGCAAAGTGGAACCAGAATATTGCCAAACTTGAGTACGCACAGCGCCTCGTGCGACAGACTGTGTACTGACTTCGAGCAAGACGGCAGATTGATCACAACAACGCCACTGAGGTGCACGCTGCTCGCGGTGATGACGGCGCAAGTGGATCTGGAGAGGACTCCAGCGATGAAGACGAAACTAGCGACGATGAGTACGAGAAGAACATCAAGGACGGAAGGAGCGTTCGTGCTGGGAGATTTGACGCGCAAAGTGATGACGAGGATGAGGACCGGCCTGAGGAAGCATCTGACGATGAAGAATGGAATGACGAGGGATACTGATTGTCACGGGCACCCTGCATCCAACAAGATGCATAGCGGTAGAAAGCGACGTTGTCATTCACATGATTTCAGACGCTCTAAATCGGTCGTACAGCGATCATGACACAGCGCACCAGGGCGCTAAACGCACGAGAAATCTCCCAGGACTGCGTTCATCCAAGTCTCCATCCCGTCCCGTGCATTCACTACTTACAATCCTTCGCCATCCATCTCGAGGCAGTCGTCGCCTCCAGCCAACTCTTATGTTGCCTCTCCATTTCATCCTTCCCAGTCCTCTCCAGCATCAGTCTGAAATGGGCACAGTGAGAGCAGCCGTCGGTATCATCTGACTTGCTGGGGTCCCATAGCTTGCTGAAGCATTCGAAATGAACGTAGTGTCTGCAACTTGGCAACAGCCAGACAACCGACTTCCCGTCGGAAAGTGAGGATATGTGCGTCCCTGTGCAGCCAACGCAGGTGAAACAACCCAGAGGCCGGCGGACGCGGAACAAAGCGTGGCGTAGAAAGTCCCGGTCGACAGTAGAAGGCTTGAGTATGCACCCTTCTATTGGTTTGGCTGGATTGGGCGTGCAGCTCTGTAGCTGCGGGAGCGTAGAGCTGTCGGTATGCTCGTGGCACGCGCTATCATAGCGCTGGTGGACGCGAGGAGATGAGTGAGGTGTGTTCGTGAGACCTTCTCTGTCTCTGTTCACCGGGCTGTCGATGCCGTGTTTTATCTCGAGGTATGTGCGCATGCTCTGGACGCGTTTTTTGCTCGCTTCCTTGCGGCGACGCAAGTGCTCTTGCTTCTCCTCGTGGGATGGCAAGGAGCGGGAAAAATGGTCCGCGAGCTCGCTTGAACAAGGCGTAGAGGTGAGTGCGCGGGCCGGCGCCGGTCGAGAAAACCAATGTTGAACTTCGCGCTGTGGGGTGCCCAGCGGTGATGCCGTGAGCGACGAGGAACTGGCTTTTGATTGCAGTGCAAAAGTGCTTGATTTATTTTTCAGGGATTGCATGGCCTTTGAGAAGTTCGATTGTGTCAAGATCGGGCATTCTGTAGACAAGATTGATCTGTTGTCGTCGTCCAAACCTTCTCGTGGTTTTGTGGGCGACGGCGGCAGAGGCACGCTCGTGGAGGTGCGTGTGAGCCACTTCATGGTGTAGGAGAGTTTTGTTGGTGACACTGGGGGTGTGAAGTCGAATGTCGAGGGAAGCTGCAGTAGTTGGGACATTCTGTCATACGCCCCGGATGTGTAAGTACACTCGACAGATGTTGAGCCGTGGTGGGAAGTATGAGAGCCGTGTTTGGAAGCACGAGAGCCGTGTTTGGAAGTATGAGAGCCGTGGTTGGAAGTATGAAATTCGTGGTTGAGGAACAAGAGAGAGCCAAAGTCTTGTCCGGTATGGAAGACCGGTATACATCAGAATACAGACGGGCCTTGTCCAAGGCGGGTGTCGTCGCTCAGGTCGCGTGTCGTCGCTCAGGGCGGGTGTCGTCGCTCAGGGCGGGTGTTGGTCCGTCTCCACCTGACAAGCATGGATAAGCTTGTCTAATAAGATTGAGACCAACAAGCGTAGGGCATCTCATAGGGTCGATGATGCAAAGCGCGCGTGCTCAGGAACGACTCTCATGACGTGTTCGAAGCTATTTGGGATCAGGGTCGATGTACCCTGAACCTTTGCGCGGCTCGGGTGGTGAGGCATGGGCGGCTCTACCTCGCACCACAGTGCCAACCAACCCTGATCCCAACCTTCGTTCTGCTCGACGAGTGCTGTGACAAAGACCATGGCTTGTCTGTAAGCTAGGAATAAGGTTGATATGTAATCATGGGTATCGTTCCTGCTTGCATGCAGGTGTGAGAGATGAGTGATTGCCTCAAGCGGCCATGCTCTTCCTCGGCCTTCCAGCAATACTCTTCCTCTTCTCCGCAACAGCTGGCCCCATGCCGCCCATCGTGACATCTGCTATGGGTGTGCCCACGCTTGGCGTCACATCACCACTCTTTGTCCCCGCATCGACTTCCATATTCCCATCCTTGGGCAGCCTGAACGCCAGGTATGTTTCTTCAGCACGTTTGCATGTATCAAATACCTCTTCCATGTATTTCTCGACAACGCTTGGCGGACGTATAGCGCGTGGCAGGGCGCTCTTGACCTCGTGCTCATCAGTCAGAACGAGGACTGTGACTGGCTGGTAGAAGTCGACGTCTTTCATGTCGTTTCGCTCGTCAAAGTCCTCGATGCGTGGAGGAGCGACGTAGGACGGTGTGGGCATGGACATGGGTGTGGCGGTCGGACCGCCAGGCGCTGGCGGAAACGGAGGGTTACTTAGCCCATTTGCGTTGAGTACATTTGGTGCGCCGGGAGCAGTTGGTGTTTGCGGTGTTTGCGGTGTTTGTGGTGGCACCGGTGTCGACGGAGTCTTGACTGCGCCCTCTGGCTTCGGTTTGAGCTTGGTTACGAGGAAACTAAATTTCGCGCCTGAGCCGTTCGGTAGCCATTCCATGAAACTGTACGAGGGGAAGTAGAAGCGGTCGCCGTTCCCTTCAACAAACTCAAATGTAAGGGGTCGGTATGTGACGCGTGGTGGTTGCGAGGGGGCGTAGTGTGGCGAGGAACGTTGGTAGTATGGTGGCTGGCTGTAGTTCTTCGCAGGATGTGCGTTTGGGGGTGGTGGTCTTGATTGGGGCAGGGGCGGTCGTTGCTGATGCGCTTGAGGCGGCGCTGGACTGAAGGGCTTCGGTGTGGTGGTAGGCGGCGGCCCCTGCTGCTGCTGTGGAGTGGGCGGCGCAGGTCGTGGAGGTGCTGGGGTCGGTGTTGGCGCTTGTTGCTTCGGTGGGCCAGGAGTATGAGGCAGCGGCATCGGCGCCTTTGCCTTCTTGTTCTTCTCCAATATCTCTGTCAACTCGTTGATATGCGTCTGGAAGAACTCCAGCTGCGCCTTGCTCGCTTGTCCAGCGGCTACTATCTTCATCACCGACTTCAACTCTGGATCCGTACCTGCCCTTGCCGCGAGCATGTGGATGACTGGGTCGGGGGCAGGTGTGGAGGCAGGCCCCGGCGCCGTTTGTGGCGGGGCCTGTTGCACGGGCTTCGGGGGCGGCGGTCGTGGCGGTCGTGGCTGGGGCTGCTGCTGCTTCGGCGGGTATGGCGCCTGGCTGTACTGCTGATACTGTGGAGGCTGTTGGCTGTGCTGGCTGTGGTTCGGCCAGGCGCCGTACTGTTGTGGCAGAGGCGGCATCTTCTTCTGAGCAGGTCTGCTGCCTTCCTTCGGTGCGTACAGCTTGATGGGAAAGGTGTGCGGCTCGATGACCAGCTGCGCATCCAGGGTGCCCACCTGGGGGAAGTTCTTCTCAATCTCCTTCTGCCGCGCCTTTCCGGCCTTGTCTGCCTCTGTCCGCTCCGACACCTTCTTTGGCATCGCGTGCTTCTTGTGGAAGGTCCGGAAGTTGACGCCAGACACCCAGACGGCACGCGACCGCTGCAGCGAGGCGCTGAGGACGCCGCTCTGCTGGATGTTCTGCCATTCCGCAGCTGATAGATCGAGGGGCTGCGGGTCGGGGAGCGTCGGGAGCGGCTGGCCTTCTGCAATCCTGAGCGGCAGCGTCTGCTTCAGTCCCTGCTGTGCTGCTTCCCCCACAGGTGTGCCCGGGACCGACGAGTCCTTGACGGCGACGCTGGCTCGCTTGCGCTTCAATGTCGACTTGGCGCCCTTCGCAGGCTTCTCGCTGCTTGTCTCGGGCACAGGCGGCGCAGCGTCTTCGCGAGCGCGCGCCCTTGTTGACCGCCGCGGCTCAGTCATTGCGGTCGTGATTAGTTGATGTTCATGTCGTGCACGGATTCAATCGAGAAATTGACCATGACGCGGTTGGGACGCGCCGCACTAGCTTCGCTGCATTGAACCATCTGGAGACATAATTAATTACCGTGATATGCTCTGGTCTACACCACCACCCATGTCTCTATCAATCGGGTCATCTGTTTCCAAAATCAACGTCATGAAGAGCTGGGGCAAGGCAATATGAGCAGGTTGACTGTGTGAGGCCAATGGCTTGCTCATGCACTTCGACTTGGGCGCTGCGAAGACGGAGCTGGCCTTGGGAGGCCTGATCAGATCGTGGAGATTTGCGAACCACAACGGCTAGAGACTGCCGCACGCTGCAAATGCTATCAGCAAAACGGAATGGCACGATATAATCCTGGCCGCAGTGCGTCCCCTGAAGCGAATGTGTCCGCCGTCGGTCTGGCCATGCTCGAGTTTTTCTCTTCCCCACATCCGTTGTGACCGCGCACTCTCCGAGCATCTTCACGATGCACGCACTCGCTCGACTTGTGACGGCTCTTGTCTGCAGCACGACCGTGCTAGCAGCACAGTGCTACTTCCCCAACGGCGGTGCTGTCGACTCAGACACTGCTTGTAATCCAAATGCCCTGGTTTCTGCGTGCTGTTACAAAAACCAGGCGTGTTTATCGAACGGACTCTGTGTTTCTGACCCGCACGACTCTGAAAAGGCGCGGCTGCATCGAGGAACGTGTACCGACAAGCAGTGGCTGAGCGGGAACTGCCCGCGCCAGTGTCTCGGTAGAATTCAACCTCACCCTCATATCAAGTCTTGCATCTGACGCTGATAGATATCGACGACAACGGTGTACCAGTCTACAGCTGCAACTCGACCAGCACAGACTCGTACTGCTGCTACGATGGCTGTGACTGCCAGGCCAACTCCGCATTCGAGATCTTCACTTTGGCGCAATCGCCAGCCGACGTATACACCTTGACAATCATCGGCGAATCGTACACCCAGACCCACACCTCCGCTGCTTCCTCAACATCGACTTCGATCGCAGCAACATCAAGCGCATCAGCATCAGCATCAGCATCAGCATCAGCATCAGCATCAGCATCAGCATCGGCATCAGCATCGGCATCGGCATCGGCATCGGCATCCATTAGCGCTTCCACGGCAGTCTTCACCGCCGGATCCTCATCATCGGTCGCAAGCGCCTCAGCAACAACAACAGTCGCACCCACCGCTGAACCGGAAAGGAAGTCCAATACCACCGCTCTCGGGGTCGGCTTAGGAGTCGGAATCCCCGTCGCCGCACTCATCGGTGCAGGCATCTTCTTCCTCCTTCGCCGACGCAGAGCGCATGCCGCAGACTCTCCACCGTCCGAGCTAGCCGCAGATGAAAACGCTCTGCATCCGACATATCCGAGCATGAAGTATGCACGCATGGCAGAGGCTGAAGTCACGACGTCACCTGTGCCCGTCACCCACGAATTGAGTGGGGGGCGTCATGAGGAGCGCGTTGAGCTGCCGGCGGGTGCGCCGAGTGCGCCCAGCACGGCAGGGGGCGCGCAGGCAGTAGAGCTGGGATTGCCTTTGCGTTCACCAAGAGATGCAGCGACTCGAGCTAGCTGAGCTATCAAAATCAAACGCCAGGAAGGGCCAAGTCGACGAATAATGCACTCTTGGCGGCGAAGTAGTCTTGCCCGTCCCTGGCGTGCCAGGCAGAATACCAGAGCGAAGCAGAGACTCGGTAGAAGACGAACCCTCCAGGCTTCATATCTACAAGACGAGCAGGAGCGCACCCATCCAGTGGCACCCACACGACGAACCTAGATACCCAGACCTCCCCTAGGGAGTATAGCATAATCAGTGATCAGCATTGTGCGATTGCTCTCGAGTAGCACACACATTCAACTGTACATCATGGACTCTCGGAAATTTGTGGCTAGTCAGTGACCATCTGCAAACCCCTTGCAGCCTGCACAGGTGAGACCTTCGAAGCATCAACGGCCGGTGCAATTGTGAACCGCACGTTCCAACCGAAGAGCCTCAAGGCACGGGCGTTTGCGAAGAATACGTTTTTAGATCGCTGCTGCATTCGACCAAGACACTCCGTCCGGGACAGCACCGTCTCTGTATCACGGTCGCCATACCCCAGTCTGCCCACACCGCCGTCGCTTGCCTTTCTCCTCCGCAGCGCCAAGCATCCTCTCCGTGCTAAACACTGACTGCGCTCCCGCCACCACTCGTCTGACACGGCGCCGCCACATCCTTCTTCCTGACCTGCTCCGCCAGGCATCGACCGCGCTCCGTACACATCCTCTCACCAGCGAGACGTTCCAAGCCTTCTCTCTTACTCTCCGGCACCAGGAAATTCCTGCAGGTGCGATGAACATCAAATCGAGGCCCCAGGCATTTTCGAAAAGTTATAGTGTCGTTGTTGCGGCGTCGGCATGTGTCTCTGCCGCCCACCCACTGAGCGTCGTCCGCAGCTGCTTCTCCACGCCCGTCTCGACCCAGAAATGGCCTGCGCCCGGGATCTCAACGCCGGAGAACCTCGACCCGTGTGAGGCCTTTAGGTCGGCGGACCAGTCGCGGATCTTCTGCGCAGATGCGAACATGTCTTTGTCGCCGAAGATTGCTAGTGACGCGAACTTCCCGATGGTCAGCGCGTGCGCATCTGCAGAGCGGCTCCATGGCTTCGGGCCCAGCGCAGGGGCCGCGAGTGTGGCTATGGGCGGTGTGAGTGGCGAGATGAGAAGGTAGCGGATCTCAGGGATCGCAAGCCTGACGTCGGTCTTTCCGAGCGAAGTCGTCGAGGTTCCGGCTCGACGACCGCGATGGCTGAGGCTTCTCAGTCGGTGTCCCAGATCAAGGCTGTGTGGTACGTCGAGGCTTCGCTTTACGTCTCTGCTTCTTCTCCTCTGCTCGGGGTTCGTCTCCTCTCCTCCGATCGTCAAGGATGTCTTGTGCTCATGTTTCCTGCTACTTCGCTCGAGCTCTGCGTCTCGAGCCAGGTTGATCCACTCTAGGTTGCTCTGGTCTGCCAGCTTGTGTGCCCTCAGCAAGATCTCGTCTACCGCAGAGCCAGCTAAAGGATTTGAGAAGCGTTGTGAGATGGATAGCACGGAAGGGAGGTGCCTCAAAATCAAAGAGCCGTAAGAGTAGCCACCGAGGATCACCAGAGGAGATTCACCAGGTAGAGAACCGCTTTCCTGTCTCGGTGGCGGACGGACAGGCGACTGGTCCGGCGTGAAGATTGTGTCCGGTGCTGGGAAGGGGTGTATGAGGCTCATATAATGTATGAAGCAGGCGGCGAAGGAGGTATAATCGTCGAGCTCTGGTCTTCCGGACCAAGAGGTTCTCCCTTTGTGCTTGGAACCATGGGCACCACTATGGCATGTCAGGACATATTTGGTATATGTTATGTAGCCGGATCATACCGAAAATTGAAAGTGCCCACTACGTAGCCAGCCTTCAGCATTTCCTCGACCACAATGCCTACGACTCGGTCATCATAGCTCCCTCCCATTGGCGCATAGGGATGCGCTATTGCGATGCCGCGCTTTCTCCACTGTGCTTCAGCATCATTTCGGGTAGAATAGTCGAAGATGTCTGGGTGGTATATGCGGCAATCGAGCGTTGTGTCATCGTGTATAGAAGGTATCGTGAAGCTATAGTGGGGCTCTGAAGGGGCACGCATCTTCTGGGCCTACGTTGAGCCCGTAGCGAACGTTCATTGCATGCTTGGTGATTGCAGCCGGCGTGGAAGTTCAAAGTTACCCCACAGAAGTGGTGCCTGGGCGTGTTGCAGGCTGATATAGGTTGTGGGGTCGAGGCTGCGGAGCGGGCGGAAGTCCGCGGCAGTGCTCTTGGTCAGGAACGCAAGCCCCCACTCAGCAGTGCACGTTCGAGACCACCTTGCAAGTCGGCCTAAAATGGTTCAAGACAGCTCTGTTGGTGCGGGATTCGTACAATTCATGCTGAAACGCTAAACTACAGTCCTGCGAATCGCTCGCAAGGGGGCATCCAAACTCCAAAGCGCCTCGCTCACAGCCAAACATATCTTACTCGCGCGGCGTGATTTCAATCGGTATCAGTGTCCTGATGAGAAATCATGAGCTCAGGATCAGGGTCATCATTCGGGTCGTCGGTTTCGAACAAATTCGGTTTGGGTGAAGCGGTCTTTGGCGGCGAACGCACAATCCTGATTGCTGACCCAGTCATCTCTTCTTCTGGCGGAGCCCTGAAATCTTTGAGCTCTACTAGTGAGCTTGTTGCCTTCTCCTTGCCCTTCCGCTTCACCCCGAGAGCTTCGTGCAAGAGATCTCGTCCTTGCTGGAAGGCTTCCAGCTCCGCTCCGATTGCACATGTGAGCAGGTTCCAGCTCCTGGAGGAAGCGTACTCCAGCTTCCCATTCAGGAAAGTAATGGTAGCGTCCATCTGATCCAACAAGCGTGATGGATCTGCTGTGCCAGTCTTGTTCACTTTGTGCATGTGCCGCTGCAAACTCGCTTCGTAGTCAACCACCTTCTTCACTGAATCATTCCACAACACCGACCCTTCCTCGAGTGCAGCACGTTCGACATCGATTTCCTCGCACTTCTCTGCCAGCCTTGTGTATTCATCCTGCCAGTACTCGTGCGCCATCTCGAGGGTCCGTCGTTTGGGGTGGAGCGTAAGGAAGGGCGAGGATGAGAGTGGCGTGTGATCTCGGTTTGGAGGCCGTGCGAGGAAGCTCGATACCTCTTTGTCCAGCATTGAGATAGAAGCTTTGTACGAGGAGAGCTTTGCCTCCTTAGAGTTCTCGGTTTCCGCGAGCTCGTCAAGAACTCGCCGTTGCCGCCGCTTCAGCAACCACAGCTCTTCTTCCTTCTGTCTGATGTCTTGCTCCAGTCTCGAGGCCTCTGTCTGGAGGGCTTCTGTCTTCACGCTAGCATCTTCGCCTTCTATACCCTGAATCTTGGTCTCTAGCCTCGTACGTTTCTGTGTCCAGCTCTCTGTCTTCTCAACATTGTATTGCAAGTTCCTTAGCCCTTCATCCAAGACGTTGAGCTCCTCTGCCTTGACGCTGGCGAGTTGCTGAATGCGCCTGAAGATCCCTCTCCTCGCAGTGCTGAGGCCCACCTTCCTCTTAGGTCGGTGCTCCTCGTCGCCGTTTCCTCCGTGTCTATCTGACGAGCGGACGCTGCTGACTGTCGGCGTAGTACTACCATTTGACACCAGATCGTCAGGCATGGCGTCGTTGCCAGTGAGACCGTTCATCAAGCCATCTGCCTGCGCGTCGAGTAGCTCTTGAAGCTGCTGCTCAAGATGTCGCGCCCGTCGTTGTAACGTGAGCACATCGTCCGGGACGCGTGGCACGGGCGATATGCTGGTCCTCGGTGCGCTCCATATCAGCGAGGAAGTCACCGGCGGAGGTATAGGTGGCGGAGAGTTGTAGTATGGGAGCTCATAGTCGCGTGCATGCGGGTCTTCGAACGACTTTCGAAAATTTGATGGCGGTGGCGAGAACGACCCGAGAACAGAATTAATTAAGGACATGTCGAATAGAACTAGGGAGTAGCAATGAATGCTGGAGCCATGGAGGCAGTCGAAGTTGTGTCGTGACTCGTGAGCCACTACCTCGAGCATGTGAACGAATGACATGGCGTGAAGAACTTAGTCATCAATGCTCCAAAACACTGTAGAGGCTGCAGATGACAACCTCGCGTGATGCACGCCGAACAGAAATAATACTCAGAGAAACCTGTTGCCTTGGAGGATCTAGGTTGAGACCAAGTGATCTCGTTCGAAAGGGTCTTCGATTCTTACAGTCAGGCCTAGTCGGCGCTGGCAGCGTACAGCCCTGTGCATGATGTTGAGAACGCAGTGATGCTCCCTGTCAGCAGACAATCTAAAGATTCAGGAACCCGCCTTGACATTCGAAGGGCATGATTGTAATCTGACAAACAGTGATGTCCCGAGTGCAGCTCATAGTCAAGTTCACAGCGCAGCGCACCGATGGTCCTACCACTAGCGCCTCGCTTAGCGCTCCGCACCTGCCTGCAATATTGGATCGCAACTTCTTTCGCGATGTGAACGTCACTAACACCAGGAACCTCTCCGTACGTGCACTGCGCCTGCTGTAATCCTCGACAATCGCTGACAGCACTCCCAGAGTAGTCCATTCCAACGACATACAGAATGGCTGACGCACCTGCTCCCGCTCGCGGCGGATTCGGATCTCGTGGAGACCGTGGTGGTGACCGTGGCCGTGGCCGCGGCCGTGGACGTGGTCGTCGTGGCGGCAAGTCCGAGGTGCGCACAACAGATATGTGAAGAATCCGGGCAGAGAGTTGACAATTGCGCAGGAGAAGGAGTGGCAGCCCGTTACCAAGCTCGGCCGTCTCGTAAAGGCCGGCAAGATCAAGAGCATGGAGGAGATGTACGTTCACGCGCACGGCAGGCACAGTCCGCAGGACAAGGACTGACAATTGGCAGCTACCTCCACTCCCTCCCCATCAAGGAGTACCAGATCGTCGACTTCTTCCTCCCCAAGCTCAAGGACGAGGTTATGAAGATCAAACCCGTCCAGAAGCAGACCCGTGCCGGTCAGCGTACCCGCTTCAAGGCTATCGTTGTCATCGGTGACTCCGAGGGCCACATTGGTCTCGGTATCAAGACCTCCAAGGAAGTCGCGACCGCTATCCGCGCTGCCATCATCATCGCCAAGCTCGCCGTCGTCCCCATCCGTCGTGGTTACTGGGGTACCAACCTTGGTGAGCCTCACTCGCTCCCCACCAAGGAGTCCGGAAAGTGCGGTTCCGTCACCGTCCGTCTCATTCCCGCTCCCCGTGGTACCGGTCTCGTTGCCTCGCCCGCTGTCAAGCGTCTCTTGCAGTTGGCTGGTGTCCAGGACGCGTACACCGCCTCCACTGGTTCTACCAAGACCCTTGAGAACACACTGAAGGCTACCTTCGTCGCTGTTGCCAACACATACGGATTCCTTACCCCCGACCTGTGGCGCGAGACCGCTCTCACAAGGTCTCCTCTCGAGGAGTACAGCGACATCCTTCGCGAGGGCAAGAAGTACTAAATGTACAGCGGTGAGGCTACGGTTCTTTTTCAGCATTCCTGGGTTATGGCGTGAGGTAATGCATGGGCCCCGCCTATACAATCAATAGGTATGGGACGTCCGGCACGAAATGAAAACTCCATTACGACCTTCCATATTTGTTCTGCTTTACTACTGCCCTCGTGAATCGCCTTTGTATCCAACCCAGTATACTTGCATGCTTCCACAGAAGAGAACATACAACAGCCTTGCGATTCAGTGTCTCAGAGCTGCGAGCTGTGTTTACGGAGTCAGCCTTCTGCCTTGTGAACCCAGTCATGCAAACATCTTAGGAACTGCGACTCGAGACTTCATCGTTGGAACCATGACAGGTTTCCCACTTGCACACTAGCTCGATACCTTCAAGCTTCATCTAATAAAGGGCAGAACCGGTCTTCGCCCTCGAGGTCTTTACCTGTCCACAAGCCGCCAACACCCGCGGGGTTTGCATATCGGTCCAGAAAGGTCGTTCAGCCGATGCATTACGTGACAGTACCCTCCAATTGTAACACTAGTAGAACACATGCATGCCTACTGCAGGAAGTGCACAGGCTGAGAGCCGCCCCTATCTGCACAGTGTGGGGCTGAGTGCGGTAGCATTGCCTTGTCGGTTACTATCCGGTATGAAGTCGCAACTTCTCCAAATTGTACCTCGCTTTGTAGCAGACAGCCTCTATCAACAACATGGCTGAAGTTGTGGGCTTGGTAGCGAGCGCGGTGACCTGTGAGTATCTTTGCGCATTGCAACTCCCCTTTCTCACCAAACTGCAGTGGCTGCAACCGCCCATGGAGCTGTCAAATTCGCCAAAGCGCTCTTCAAAGTCACCACAACGTTCACACATGCGCGAGAAAGAGATGGCTGAGATGGCTGAGATGGCTGAGATCACGCAGAGGCTCTCGCAGTTCTTTACGAGCCTGCAGGTGCTAGCCGACATACTGCGCAACAACGAGACGTTGTGTGGGCGAACTGCATGCAAGCACAACGAGCATCATCAAGGGATGGAAATTCGTCGAAGCCGAATTGACAAACCTTCTGGAGTCCCCAAGTAGTTTGAAGAGATTCATCTGGACTATAAAGAAACCTATGGCAAAACCCCTGCTCAAAAATATCGAAGGCATTGAGAAGGCATTGATTATGTAGCTTTCAATATTGCAGTGGCCGTGCTTGTGAATGTACAGGTAAATCACACGTAAGTATCTGTTGCGGTGCAATTCGGTCCTATAGGCCTTGATCGTCACCTTAGTTGACTACCTTGGACTAGCACGCCTCAGGACATGTATATATAGTCGCCTCCTAGCTAGCAAGCAACTCAGCGCAGTTTCCATCGACCATACAGCGGCTACGTTTGCCGCAACAGTATCACTAAGAGAGTATGCCACTCCGTTGCTGACCGCTGTAGACTGCCTAATGCGCCCGCTGTAGATCCGGCTACAACTCAGCGTAAGATCACAGAAACTGTTGTACAGACGAATCAACGATCGGTAGAGAGCGCGCGAAACGAGGTCGCTGAAGACGATAAGCCATTCGATCCTCTTCATGGCAAGCGGGCAGAGCCGGACCTTCGCGAACAGTACACCTTCGACACTGCGACCTGGCTGTACCATTTCGTCTTCGGGCCATCAATGTCAGAGTTACACAGCGAATCATCACATCAGCCTTCAGTCTCTGATGAAGACTCAGAAAAGCGCAATGGGACTGTGGTGTTGCCTTCTCCGGATCAAATGATGCTAACAAGCAGAGAGATCATCGTTTGGGGGTCTGGGACAGAACCAAGCATCGTAGTCAATAGGCTATCATCTGCTTGAACGACGCTTAGCGCAGAGTAAATCACCACCAGCTCAGCTCGTAATGAAGAGGATAAGTGGACACAAAGATTTTTGAAACTGCTCCAACAGTGGCAGCGGACTCGGTCAAAGACGAATTAAGCATGGTCGACGCTGACGAACAAAACGCAAAGAAATTCCAACATTACGAGAAGCTTTTGAAAGCGTCTCAACAAGCGTCTCAGAAGAAGCCGGAAGTCGTCGTTATATCTGTCTGAGACGCCTTATGGTGGAGGCAAGGTAGCATCGAAACTTTTTGGTCGCAAGAAGCGTCAAACTCTTGTCAGAGGTGATGTCAAAGCTCGTCTTCGTCTATCGCCCGCGCTTACCTCGTTGCCGCCCACCCACCTCCAGCTCACGGCCACACACACAGCGCAAACGACACGCTCTCACCATCAGAGCACCTATCTACAGTCTCGCCTCAATAACCTCGCGCATATATTTCCAAATCGTTCCCTCTCTCTCTCACCAAATCCAGTCATCTGAAAAGTTGGTCTGGCGGTTCACCGGACACCATTGTGTTTTGAGACTGAGTTCCAAGTAAGATTGGCTGCAGTCTTTGAGAGCTTATGGTTCGATTCTAGGTCGTGAAAAAATCCAAAGATCTTCTGACACTTTATGTAACTCCCAGGAGAGTGTTGCGGGTCTTCAGTAGTTGGTTTAAAACGGACACAACAATCCGAGGCTGGCTGTTCTTTTTGCTACTTTTGTTGCGCAGTAACACTTTTTTTTACTGTAGTAGTCTGGTAGGTGATGGTAGTATCGTTGTGGCGTGCTGGGCGTGGCGTGAAGGCAGTGACGCACAAGTACAAACATATTTTCTCTTAGGCCTTGACTACACGCATGTGTTGTGTGCGGACTAAGTACACCGGACATGAAGTAAGGACGTATAGATATTGATTATGTGAAGAACAAAGTAGAACATACTTGCGCCCAGCCAGCCATGCATACGTAATATTGAGGCCTCAAAACCTCCGCCATGGCACACTTCAACACCGAAAACGCCTTATTTACTGAAAACTGGCCCGGTGGCCTTATCCCTGATCATCCCTTCGCACCGGCAGGACTCGTCCAGCATCGACAATCATCTGTTCGTCCAGCCTCTTGCCTATGTCACCATACTCTAGCCTCTTCCATGTTGAAATCCGCGCGGTATTTGTGTCGATCTCGAATACACGTAGCCTACGGTGGAAGTTGTTGTATCCACCGTACCCGCCGAATCCGCTGCCACCAGCATAGCACATCCACAGCTCAGGCTCTTGTGTTGCGTGCTCCTTTGAAAGCATACAATAATCGTTCACGTGGTCATGACCACAAGAAACAAATTTTACGCCCTGCTTGACCAGCTCGTCTTTGAAGTGCGTATTGAAAGCAGGCGCTGTCACGCCCTCCGTCCAGTTACCGACCCACTCGTTGTTCCTGTCCGCATACTCAGGGAGGGGGATGTGAATGAATGCCATGTCCAAGTGCTTGTGAGTGTACTTGCTGTGGGTGTCCTTCAGGCTCTCGGCGGTTTTCTTGAACCAGTCGATCTGATTTGGTTTGATCCAGTCGTAGCCGCGGAAGTGGGCCTCGTCCGGCGAGTATGCATGGGTATCGAGCATGTAAAGTGTGAGTGCTGCGTGTTTGCTGGCATGTGCTTGCACCTCCACGTAGTAGTTGCCTACGCCGGCGATGGTATTCGGTCCGGCTTCTGACAGTGAGTAAGGCAATTGTTCGTAGAGGGACATCTGCGCGGCGCGAGACAATGTGCCTTCGTCGTCATGGTTGCCAAAGATGGCTGCGTACGGTATCTTGCGCTCGACGAGAGGCTCGATGATCTTGAAGAGGGCCTGGAAAGCGTGAGTAGATTGAAAAGAGAAAAATGATGCGAGACGTACACTCTGAATATCTGGTGCGGTGTCGCCGTTAACCTGATCGCCAGACAGCACTACAATGTCAGGTTTCTCCTCGTCCAACACACGTTCGACGAAGTCCAACGTTCTTGGATCGGCATCGCAGTGGCCACCGTTGTGGCCCTTAGGCTCCGGATCCCGGCACGCTCCCAAGCCAGTGCTCAGATGAAGATCAGAGATTTGCATGATCTTGAACTTACCGTCCTTCCTGATCTTAGGAATTGGCTTCTCAATCGTATGTGGTGCACCCCGACGTATGCTTAGGCGCGGGTCCTTCCCTGTGGCCTCCAGGTGCAGTGCGCCATTCTTGACCAGCTCCCACCCAGGTCGTGGCTCCACTGCGTCAGATCCAAACAGTATATCCACAGCAGTCACGGCCTGCTTCGAGTCGCTCGCGTGACGCTTGAGTGATCTCTTGATCCATACTCCTGCCGAGCGAGACTCCCACTTCTCCGAAGCTTGAGCCTTCTCGCCTACGGACGGGTCAAGCTTTCCGGTGCGCACATCGATGATGACCTTGTCATCACTCGTGAGCTCCTCCTCTCTCTTGCGCTTGATGTGTACGAATGCCTTCGAGACCCAGCCAGACCCAAGGTAGAGGTCCTTCTCCACGCGGTGCCACTTCTTCTGGTCTAGCATACATTTAGACAGCGGGTTCAGGCTCGAGCACGTCGTTACGGCGATATCGGTGATGACGAGACCCTCGTGGTGTAGGGGAAGGTGGCTGTGAACAGATTGGGGGAGGACGCGGTATTGGTTGTCCACGAAGAAGACCAGGACGCAGGCAATGATTGTAAAAGCAATGAGCTGAACGCCCGTTCGGACCTGTTGAACATGTTAGCAGTATACATGACCCCAGAAGCACATGAACGTACTATTCGGCGGGTCATGATGAAGTTAGTGGCCGTTCAGCCGCATATGTCTTTAAAGAAGAGAAACGTCGTGAAAGAGTCCCGTAGCGCTGTCGCCATGGCACACGCTCTTCAGGTTAATAGTAAGAGATTTGGGCGCAGGAGGCAGCCATCGATGGATGTATCCTTGCGCGTGTGATTGCTTGGCTTTTCGAATCCTTGATCGACGCTGGTTCACTGCGGAGGCCCCACTCACCCCCGAACGTAGCGTGAACCCTGCATCGTTCTTTCTTTTCATTGCTCGTCCGCAAGCCAGACCTCACCAACACAACAAGCATATTCAACGAGTACGCTGAGCTATGCGTACCCACTGCTTGCGGCAGCTTCGATGCGCAGCGGCCCCAAGACCTGCTAGAACCTTCAGCACCAGCGCAGGCCTACGTCGCGCTTTCAAGGACGGAGACGTCGTCCTCTTACGAGAGAAGAAAGACACAGTCGACGGCAGACTTGTAAAATTGGAAGCGTCGAAGTCGACACATACACACCGAGGAGTTCTTGAGCACGCCAATATCATTGGCAAAGAACCTCGCCAGATAGTGCGGTCATCGAAGGGCTCCGAGTATCGCGTCCATGAACCTACTTTAGCAGAGTACGTTCGGCTCACCCCACGTCTCGTCACGCCTGTGCGTCTATCGTCATTCGAAAACACGTTATATCTGTGTTGTGTGGGAACCAAGCTAAGTGTTGCTAGCTGTACCCTTCTGACACCAACCTGATTGTCTCTCTTCTCGACATCCATGTCGATACGCCCTCGGGCACTCCCACCGACGAGCCACCGTTTGAGATTCTTGAAGCTGGTACAGGTCACGGTGCGCTTACATTACATCTTGCTCGAGCCATCCATGCTGGCAACCCGCCTCTAGCGAAGACGCCCGATTACGCCATAAGTGTAGAAGAACCAGAGGACGCCATATACCTGGGAGAGTCTATATCAGATCTCCACGAGACAGCTATAGAGTCGTGGAAACCTGGCAGACGTGCCATTGTGCACACGCTCGACATCTCTAGGAAGCACTCGAAGCACGCAAAGAAAATAGTCCAAGGCTTTCGACACGGACTCTATGCCGGCAACGTCGAGTTTCATGTGGGAGATGTGTCTGCATGGCTTGCATCACAGAGGGTGACAAGACAGACTGACGAGCCATTCTTGAATCACGTATTTCTAGACTTGCCTAATGCTGACACTCACCTGGCAAATGTAGTACCAGCGCTGCGTGTGGACGGGCTGCTTGCTGTCTTCAACCCCAGTATTACGCAAATCGCGCAGTGCGTGGAGAAGATCCGCGAAGAGAAGCTACCGTACCTGCTTGACCAAGTCGTTGAGCTTGGAGCAGGCATGATCCGTGATTGGGATGTCCGGGCAGTCAGACCAAGATCAACACTAAAGAAGTCTGACGTCAAGGAGTCTCCAGAGCCTGGAGATGCAGAGCCTATCGATCCAGTGAAGGGCCAAGAGGCAAGAGACGGTGAGTTGGCAGAGATCCTAGCCAAGGAAGAGGAGAAATGGGCCATGGTCTGCCGCCCAAAGGCGGGCCAGATGGTAGTCGGCGGTGGTTTCCTGGCTCTGTGGAGACGCATGGAACGCGTCGAACGCCCAAAGAGCACGGAGCAGAGTGACAACGAGTCGACTTAGACCAATGGAACCGTCGATGTGACTATCCAGCAGGTTCACCGACATTTAATACAAGTAGATTTTCCAGTGTCGTGGATCTGCTTGAACCTTGACTCACACGTGATGAACAACACACGGCACTGAGCGAGTAATTCTGAAAAACCCCCTCCAGTGAACCGCATATGTCCGTGAACGGCTGCAAGTTTTAGCTGGAAGAAGACTAGCATGGTGAGCTGTTCACTTGTTCTCTCATGTAAACATGCCGATGCGGCACTCCAATTGGTCGCGGCGTCATCCCAATTGGACCCTAGTTTGACTCTCGTCATGCAGGCCGCGGTTAGAGAGCTACTGCCATCATTTATATCCACCACGGCATCGTTCCCCCGCCTCCCCCACCGATCCTCAGAATTGCGACAATGAGTGGCGTGGGCGAGAATCGGTATGCGCCTCAATTTACTTGGGTGTGCTGAAGCTAACAATCTTGCAGCTGGCGGAGGTCAGGACAAGGCAATCCGAAGGACGGACGGCAGCAAGCCTCACCAGCGCCAGGCAACGTGTGGGGCAACAAAGCTACTCAGAGCAACAAGCCTACAGGGCCAGGTCAGGCAGCGCCAGTGGGTGCTCCCAAGGAAGAGCACGTGCCTGTGCGCGAGTTCAATGCCGTTGAGGTCAGGGATTATCTGAAGAAGAGTGAGTGCCACCAACCTGGCGCACAAATTGGAACTGTATCCTGGTCCTCGGGATACTTGAGAAGAACTTTGCTGACACTCTGCAGAGTACCGTGAAACCGTTGCTGGTGCGACCTCTGCAGGCCTCAAGCGATCTGAATAGGTGCTAACGTTGCGCTCAAGAACACCCGGCGGTATACCACAAAGTGGAGGGCGACTCTGTCCCTAAGAGAAGTAGTGGCGTGTGGGGTGCCAGAGGTATACTTATCTGCCCTTGTTTCATGCACTTAGTCTGACATCCTACAGGCGCCGGCACTTCACACAAAATGCCCAACGGGCAGAACTTCTTTGACGTGCTCAAGAAGCAACTCGCCAACCTCGACCAGACCAAATGATCGCGCACGATACACCACGCATACACGGCTTCTGATTCAGCGGCATTTCAAGGGCATTGCGGGCGTTCTGCGGGACGCGGTTCGTCTATAGTAGGATGGCTTCTCTGCGGTGATACGCAGAGAAAGCCTGGAATGTCTCACACTATGGCGTTGGAGACATCGCCGGTACGGGCCTGCATCTTTCGGTTTGTGGGTACGGTCAGAGTGATACCCGTCTGCATTACGGGCGTCCTTGGGTATGGCACGAACATCGATTGAGCATTTGAGCGTAGTCAAAGCATGCATTTTGTTTCTGTACAAAGTCAACTGTGGTGAAACGCAGGAGGCCACAAAGCATGCCCGAGCGCGTTTTTATTACAGGAAGCATGAGAAGCATCTCATTGTCATATTTGCTCATGGACAGCGTGACGCTAATGTAGGTGTTGACCACCAAGCAGAGATCTGGCGTCTTCCTAGGTCAAAGCACACATTTGGGACAACAAACAAAGCATCGATGTCCTCCAGGGGATCCGAGAATTGAGATATATTCGCATGATTCAGGAGACACTCGTTGTCACTGACTTTATCGACATCGTTCTCACATTGGACCCTTTCACCGCATTCATCCAATCTCCGCGGCCAAGCTGAACTAGCCCCAAGCCTCACAATTCGTTGTACATTCACGAGACTCCACTACGAACGCGACGTTAGCCCACCACCACACTCTGACGCAGCGCTCCCCGGTTGTTCTGTACCAGGTGCCAAGATCTTCACCCATAAACGCGACGTAAAAGGAGAGGGCAATCACGAAGGGGACATAGCGCGCATTGCGATCAACCAGGGTCACTAACACCGTTACACTTTGCCGAGCTCCGATGCGCCAAATATTTCCACCTCGTTCTTCGACGCTACAGTAATTCTCTCGACCATGTCCTCCCCGCCACGGACGCCTACCCACAGGCCGGCTTCGTCCCACCGCCGACACCCGTCTAGTCCCGATATGTCACAGTCCAGACGGCAGTCGTTCAACCGCCCCGGCTCCAGATCCGGGTACTCGCCAGTTACACCACGCTCTTCGCACGAATTTGATCATGGCAGCCCTGCGCAGCGTTTCGACGGAGGCGGTGACAATGGTGGGGGCTTGGGCAATCTTGCGGACGAGTTGGGCGAATGGGGGAGTGAGGACGAGGAGATGGACAGCCAATTCGGCGAGGAGCTGGAGCATACACAAGAGGCTCCGGCAGATATTGGCACGGCCGTAGAGCACGACGGGTCAACAGGAGCGCCGGGCTTGGTGGATCTGAATGGTGTGAGGGATAGCGGGGTTGCACTGCAGAGCTCTCCTTCCACACACTCGAGAGCCACGCTGAGTCCAAGCGCGGCAATCAAGTCGAAGAGATACAACAGGCCACGGTCGCTGTACGACGGTTCGGACTATGGAGACGACTCGGATTTGGAGAATGAGGGCATCAATCCAGCCCTCGAGTCGCGCATGGCCGCTATCGAGAGTCTAGCACGGCGAGGCATGGAGGAGAACGGCAGCGCTTCAGACGAAGTCGTCAAGCGCGTCACAGAGCATCTCCGCGACCTAGGTAGCCAGATCGCCGTCGAGAATGGCGCAACACGGTACTTTCCACCGTCCTCACCCAAAGACGCCCCAGCTAACACTCCACAGTCTCAAAACCGCCCACGACTCCCTCACAACGCACCTGACCCACCAATCTCGCGTCCTCACTTCCCTCACCGCATCCTTCACCGGCCCTCGCGCTATAATCCCCTCGCCGGACGCGATCGAAGAGCTCCTCCCCCTCGTAGAACAAACCCTCCAATCCCTCCCCCACAGCTCCGCAGACCCCATAGTCTCGCTGTCGCACCTCACACTCTCTACGCGTGAACTCCTGCAACACCTCTCCAACGTCAGCGACACGCTGCACATGTCACGGCAAACAACCACGAACGCCGCACGGAGACTGCGAACAAGTAAAGAGCAGCTGCACGAGTGGAAGCGCGAGACGGAGCGCACAGTCGAAGGGCGAGAATTCATCGAGCGTGGGGACTGGGATCGACGGCTGCGTGAGCGCGAGGCGAAGCGCGCGTGCAGTGAGGTAATGGAGGGCTTCGAGGAAGCGTGCGGGCTGTGGCGGAAGCGGCTCTGCGAAGGGCTGGGCGTGGCGAGTGCGTAGTCCAGTGCGACTCCCTTTTAACTGCCCTACTTTCCTCTCGCTCGCATCACACACGGCCTGGCTGGGAGGAAAGCTGACAGGAACCAGGCGCCGACTTCCCCGCCGACGCGCACGCAACCTGGCCCCCGCACGCCGCGGGAAAGCCTCCAGACCCTCCCTCTCAACCTGCGCCTCGAGCCGCAACGCCAGCGTTGAGGGATTTCGCTCCTTCGCCCGCGCCAGCGGGTGTGCGCAACTTCTCCCGCCCCTCGTCCTCATCTTCGCGCTTCTCGAGCCGCTCGTGGGTCGAGAGCGTGTCCCCAGTCTCACCACGACATGTCCGCAAGGCGTCAGAGAGGGCGCAGAAATCCTCTTCGGACAGCGCATTCAGATTCTCGGACGATGAGCTTGATCAGAACTAGGCTCCTTTCATATACATACATTTCCTTTGTCTACTGGGCGCTTCATAGCCATTATTATTTGTTCATCTTTGCATCTGCATGGCCAGACCTTTCATGCATAAGGAGTCGGTGTTGATGGTGGACTATTGTCGTTTATCAGCGGCATTGGGTTTGGGGTTTGGTAGATGGCCCACGGGATGCATGTGGTTAGGAAACTGATAATACCCCTATATATGTCATCTAGATTGGGAATGGACGTGTTTGATCAAAGTGCCTCTTGCCTAGCTCTGAAGGTGCACGTATAGCTACAGCGTTCGTATCAATCCTTGTACATCCCTTGTTATTGGCATTCGGTTCCTCGTAGCAATCTCAGCACCAGCTCTGGATGTTTATAGCAACTCGTCAGAGAAACTATTCTGCGATGACGTCTTGTAGGTCCAGGCCGTAATCTCCTCTATGCCTCATGAGCTCTCGATGCGGAGCATAGTCGCGGAATGCTGAGAAGTGGAGGGCCATGAAATGCACCACGATCTCGTGCAGAGGGTGCATGCCCTCGCCATCACCTCAATCAGGCACGATTTCGCTATTGTATACATACCGGACCAGCTCCAGTACTGCTGAGGGCGTAGGTGGGTAAATGTCGATACGACCGAGATTCCTCAGACCAGCCTCTGCGTCTACCTGCAACTTTGTGATGAGCTGCCCGTCCGCGAACATGTAAATTCGAGCGTAGGAAAGTAGGGCTTGAGTAACAATCTGATTCTAAGCCGAGTTTCGTTGGTGTTTTGCCTTTTGACTGTCTCCGTCGAGGTCTTCAGGCCAGGTGAATCGTCTTCGTCCGGGAGCTCGAGGAACTTGAAACTCTTGTTTCTGTCGACGATATTGTTGTGAAGTACTTTGGGGCCAGTCCTGATCGGGGCGTTTGGCAGGCGGTTGAGGTCACCGGTGGTGTTACACAAAACATGTGTTGTCAGCTTGTTGTTGCGTATGCTCGCGCTACCTGGGCCTATAATGCGAGAGCTTGACAGCCAGTAGTCTTTTTTTATGTTGAGTTCGGAGGCTGGTAGTTTGCGGACTTCTGGGAGCAGTAGTTCGGCGCCATAAGCAACTGCGCAAATTCTCTCGAAATCTTCCACTTCGATATCTGGAAAGCGCACGTCGTTCTCTTGTGCACCTTTCAAATTACCATTAATAGCTCGGTCCAGAGGCACAGAAAGAGCTGCGATCGCACCTGAATGGACAGTCACTGAAGCCTCATCGACGCCGATAAGAAATGTGCAGAGCTTCGAGTGCAGTACACTGCAGCTAGTTAGTGACGGAGTGATGGCAGTACGACAGGGCACTTACCTCGTGGCGAACGGCATTTTGCGACGTTTTGGAAAGTTTGCCTGCCGATGAGGGATCTGGTCAGGTGTCGATAAACTAGATTTCCTCGAGCTCGCCAAGGAAATGACGACAGTGATAGTGAAGGTGGTGCTCGTTCTGCGTTTTTCGTGAAGCTGAAAACGTTTCATTGTCTTTGCGCCGGGGGAGAAAAGCGGATTGGGTGGAGGCATTGCATCCTAGTCGGCAGATCATGTCGAAGTCTCCCACAGTGATCTCAGGGAAACGAGCGATGTTGCCTTCAGCCTCTCATACAGGTTCATGGAAGAGTCGATCCAAAGGCGCAGAAGGAACTGCGACCGTGCCAGACTGAGCAGTGACGGGAATTTTGTCGTGGCCAATCAAGAAGGTGACTAGCTTTGTGTGAACAAAGCTGCAGGATATCAGTCCCTTCATTGCACATTGTTTATAGGCACTCAGCCTGCAAGCGAGGGTATCTTCGCTATGTAAGCGTGTTGATCCGCGATGGCCGCGAAGGTAGAGCGGCGGTTGCGGAATATTAATGTCAATTCAATTTCTGGGTCGGTGAGAAGGCGGCATGTGGCTATGCATGGCCAGAAAGGTTTGGTTGGGGATTGTTCCTACCCAAACTTGCTCACGCGCTATCCAGAGCATATAAGAGCGCGTACCTACCTAGGAAGGAGATAGGTCGATTAACGGCGGTAACGATGGTCTATTATGTATAGTATTAGTATGTGGTATCTCGCGTGATATCTTGCTCGCTCTTTTTCTTGCCAAAGCAACGGCGCACACCCTCCGTACCTATGGCTTCACGGCCATATCGTGATACACGATCCTCGTCTCATTCCGGACGTGGATCCCCACTTTCTCATCGCCCGAGTCTGAGTCTCGTGGAGTGAGATCATGCATAGCGAAAGCCTTGCTCGAGCCAGCGATATCGCATCCAGCCAAAAGGCCGCCCTCGTCGACGAATCCGACTTCCGAGTCCGAGTCGGGACGACTGCCATTTGAGCGTTTCACAGGTGCGCTGCCATATGTGGGTGTGGAACCAGTACCCTTGTAGTTTTGCGAGGGCCCAGGCGCGGTGGTGCCTCTTACTGAGCTGAAAAAGCCGCCGAAGGAACGGAAAGCAGGGCGGAGGAGGGGGAGTGACGCTGTGGGATGGTTAGCAGAGGTGTTGAAAATGATACGAGTCTACTCACTCGCCAGCGACGCGAGATTGACATCGCAGACAGCCCAGATTTGGTCCTCAAGGCCGTCCCATGTCAAGTCTTTGTCCATCTTCTTGTCGAGCGCGAGAGTATGGACGATTGTCATCAGGGCTGAGAGGCATACTGCAATACCAGCGGTGAACATGACTGCGACTGCCAGCCTGCGCCTCCATGGCAAGTGTAACTTCCAGATCTCAAACATGGGACAAAGGAGAATGCCGAGCTCGATGATGAAGTGCGGTATCCCTGCACCAAAGAGCGACATCATTGGTGTCAAAGGACATGTACCGGGTACATCAGCATCCCAGAATTTGCGTATCGGTGTGCATTGCAAGCAGATGAGCGTGACCTACTTTGTCAGCGTTCGGATTCTCACTTTTCCGATCGACGCAAAAGTAAACATACCCTAGCGATCATCCATGCTGCGGACAGCCCAAAAAGAGTTCGAATGGGCCACCGGATCATCGATAAGGAAAACATTCGCCAGTAGAAGCCGAGGATGACAAATTTGCTGAGACCGACGGAGAAGGTGTACATCCCTGTGCTTGTCAGTTGCCATAGCTTATAAGTAAGGACTACTTACACATGTCGGCCCAAAGGTCGACAAAGTAGTGATGGACAATCTCATCAGCCGGAAGATCGATGTCTTTCATTGGAAGACCGAATCCCCATCGTGTCTCTGCTGGAGTCAGCGGTATCCTGACGAGGCTGAGGTGGTAACTGTACTGAACAGGCTGATGAATGTAAACCCAGTTCCTATTATCTGTGGACATGTGAGTACCCGATCGCGCAACGAGTATCATGTACTTACGAAGGCAACTATCGACAAGTAGTCCTCCCAGACCATAGTCACTCTTGTTTGCCGCCGCGCAACATTCCGCAAAACTAGCGCAGTAGAAGCGGCAGTGTAGGGGATCAATGCAGCCGCGTAGAGTTCCGGCCGACGGTCAGAGGTCATGATGCCTTAACTTGAGGTTTGTGAGACCGTGACATGAGATACTGTTACCAGTCGCGGATTATACGTGGAGCTACCAACACAGATGTCGAAGGATGCGCGTATCTACGGCGTTGGTGTTTGCTTCTTAGTCGTGCGGACTCGTACCTAACGCGGTAGGCCGGTTCATGCCAGGAAGTACTTGCGTTGGAAATGGTCGATAAAGGACTTCCAATACATAAAAATACAGGCTTGGTGGGACACGATGCTGTACGCAAGGCTGTGCAATGAGAGTCAGTGTTTCCATGCGCCTGCAAGCTGGAGCTGGGATGTACCTGCAGCAAGGGCTTCCCTACGCGGACCGTGTGTCTCGAGGTGTGCCAATCAGTTAACACGATACGTATCGATTCGTACATGGCGCCGACCAGACGCAGCTCTTGTGACATGTTGCCAGCGAAACAAAAGTGGGGGAGTTGCTACTTCGGGCTATAGCTGCAGGTTGGCTTTCATATCAGCTTACTCGATCATCCAATTTGCATTCCCAAGTAGCTGGAAATTGAAGATGGACGTTTCAAATGAAGGCAATCGTCCTGCGGCACAGGCGGACAAGGCGGATATGCCATAGCCGATCCATTCGACAATTCATGCGGGGGTGTGCGCGGCTGCTGTGTAATGAACGATCACACGTGTTACTCGACCTGCACGGGTCGGACCGGTGGTGTGCTATTGTGCTCCCCAGCGTGACAGTACCGTGCAGTCATCTGTATATCTTGATCGTTGGCAACGCCTTCAGCATCACCAGCCGTGGAGACATACACTGGCGTCAACAATAGCTCACAGAAGGCTACGGTTGTGCAGGATTCAGTTCAGACACATGCCGTGCGAAAAGAGCCGCGGAGCAGAGCCCCTTGCTTAACGGCGGTCAGCTTGCTGATCGCCCGCCCGCGCGTCTGGGGAATAGAAGGACGATGGACCTTTCTTCTATTTGAAGATCTCAAGTTAGCGACCGTCTAGAGATGAATGACAAGCGCATCCCTTTGTCTTGATCGATGCCGTGCTTCTGGGCGCCCCACAGATGGGGCTTCGATTGTCCTTCAGGATTCGACCCTGCATCATCATTTTCCGCGTCTTCCAACGTGTTTTCCCTCGCGACCCATTGGTCGCAGGTAGACAACATTTCCAGAGCTATGAGAGTATAGACATATTCGCATCCAGTCTTGCTGCTATGCGAAAGGAAGGGCTGCCGACTTGCGGTAATCCGAACGGTGCGGTCCGAAGTTCTGCCTGTCGTCTTGCGCGTCTGGTCAAAAGTAGTCGTCTCAGAATAAGGACTGGTGATAGTGTGAACACGTCTTGGATTTTGTCCATTGTTAGTAATCATACAGCAGCCCGCGCCATGGCTTCCTTCGCTTCCTTCTCTCTTCTACGCGCTTCACGCGCCTCTCTGCGCATTGCGCGCAAATCTGGTGGCGTTTCAATGCCAAGTCTTGTTCTCAATTCGTTGATATCCGTCTCCAACTCTTCTTCCCAGTAGACGTTGACCACATCGTCGGCGCGGGCACCGTTTCTGACCGCCCAGGGTCCGTAAATATCTAGGAACCGTCTCCACTCGCCTTTCTTTAATGTGAGCGCGCTGAAGACAGCAAGCCCTGTCATTGGCAGTCCAGTGTTGGCGAACTCGAAGGCCTTCAGGGCGACTTCTCCTTCCCGAAAGACCGGCAGTCCCACCAAAGCGTGATAGAAGTCGTGGCACTCGCGGTATCGCTGCATCACGTATGCGCACTCCTCATCGTCTATGTACCGCACCTGCGCACGTGTGTCCGGTGTGACGCCCTCTGCATCTAGCCATGCAGCATAGTTGTGGCCGACCGTGTTGGAAGGTAACGCGCGAAGACGAGGAATGTCAAGTGATTTGGACGTTAATCGAGGTCTATCTCGTAGTATTCGTCGCCCAGTGGGGTTCATGAGCATGCGGTCTCGAAGCTTGTATATGAAGTACGGCTGCGCAGTTGCCTCACCAAAGTCAGCAACAGCATCTGCAGACACGTTAGTACGTAGCATGGGGAATCGGTGCAGTGTATGTACCCCCTTTCCTTGGGTCTAAGAAAGCCTCGAGACCAGAGCTGATTGCCAACTGCAGCCGCCCCACAGGACTCAGTGGCACATGCTCTTCGTAGGCTGACCTAGGGCGGGAGAAGAGGGAGAAGCAGCGCGCTTCAGGTCGGAAATTCCGTGACAATTGAGCGCATTTTGAGAGCACAGAGCTCGGTGACCGTAGTATTCGAATGCCAGTCGCCATTTGAACTGAGGGAAAGCAGATGGGCCGAGAGATCTGACATCAATGATGGAGCTCTTTCCATATCGATAAGCGCGCCACACCAACCACGGCACGCCTTTTCAACCTGTGTGACTCGAACCGTCCGAAGCTATTTAGGATTAGTTTCTACTCGCCGACGCTGACGGGACACGAGTACGCTGCGTCACTGTCTAGGATTAGCATCGTGTTGTGGAATGTGCTTGCGGCAGGAACGACCTTCTCTGCAACCTTCAATGATGAGCAACACCATGACGCCAGCACTAGATCCGGGTGAAGAGCATGCGAAGTTCGTTAAATGGGCCAAGGGTAAAGGTGTCACCATAGATGGCATTGCGCCGGCCAGATTTGTGGACCGTGGCATGGGTATTGTTGCAGCACGCAACCTTGAAGTCAGTACACAACTGAGTTTCAACAGCACGAACAACGACTGACCAGACAAGAAAGGAGATTGCTTAGTGCATGTGAAGAACACATCGCTTGTTCATGTTGCATTGCCATCCGTCAAGGCGCTCAGGCTACCCGATAACGTTACCGTACATGGCAAACTTGCAGCTTCCCTGGCGCTATGGTATTCAGACCCAGCGCACGATGAGCACGCCCTCTGGCAAGCTGTATGGCCTACAGAAGAAGACTTCCGGAATACGATGCCCATATACTACAACAAAAAGCTACAGGACCTCCTTCCTATCGCCGCCTCGACGCTACTGACAAGCCAACTCACCAAACTCGATAAAGACTGGGTCGACTTCAGACCTCATCTCCCATCAATATCAAAAGATCTCTACACGTACACATGGCTCATCGTTAACACAAGAACATTCTACTGGGACTATCCGGATATGCAAAACTCACATCCTCGACTCCCAAAGCGTAAGAACAAGCTGACAGGAGACGATTGCTATGCCATGTGTCCATTTATGGACTACTTCAACCATAGCGACCTTGGATGTGACCCGCAAGCCAACAGCAAGGGATATAGCGTGATAGCAGATAGAGCGTACAAGGCAGGCGAGGAAGTCTTTGTCAGCTATGGCGCACACACGAACGATTTCCTGCTCGCAGAGTACGGGTTCATTTTGGAGAGCAACAAACGCGACGCGATTCCTCTGGATCACCTGATCATACCGCTACTGGATGGAGATCAGACAAATGCGCTAAAGGAAGACGGCTTCTATGGCAACTACACACTCTTCGCTCCTGGCGCAGAGGAGACAATTTGTCATCGTACGCAAGCAGTTCTCAGGCTGCTTGTGCTGGACTCGAAGAGGTACTCCTCTTTTGTTGGGGGCAATGATGATGGAGAAAGAGAACAGGGGAAACTGTACGGATATCTAGTAGGCTTGTTGACGAAGTACTCGAGACTAGTCATGGACATCCTGGAGGAAGTCGACGGTTTGAAGGTCGATGTGGGGCCAGAAAGCAGCAGAAGGAAGACAAGGAGCAGCGATACTGAACCAAGCTTACGAGCAGGTCAGAAAGACACTTTGACAAAGAGATGGAAACAAATCAGAGACATCGTCAACGGAGCAATCGACCAGTTGCAAGAGTAGTATTTCAACGAGATAGCTACGCAGTCACATCTACGCGGCGTTCATTCTGCCAGGCCTTGCCATTGTGGCTCGAAAGAAGTGGCTTCTTTTCAGCTCATAAATCGAAGGTCGAATTTGAGAGTCGATTCATCGATCTTTGCATCATCGTGAGGCTGTCGAGACCGGGTGCATCCGCCGCGGTCCAGACTGGTTTGGGACGGTTGGCCGAGCAACAGCCATGTTTAGAGCAACACACGGACAACAAGCGGTGACTGCGCTATTACCTCGTACCATCCCAGCACACAAGAGTGGCAAACCTCCCACTGCTAACCCGCGGCTATTGCATACCCAAGTACACAACATGGTCGCCACACGTCGCGGAACGAAGGCCGCCCCGGAGGCTGCGCTTGCAGCATCGACACTGTCCGCACCGCCCAAGCGCGGCAGAAAGAAGGCGGTCGTCGAAGAAGCTACTGAGCCCACGCCCGCTGCCACAAAAGCTACAAAGACCACGACAAAGCGCAAGGCAAAGGCTGAGCCCACACCCGAGCCAGAGCCTGTCGTCGAGGCGGCATCCACAGTCAAGAAGACACGCTCGACACGCGCCGCAAAGACAGAAGCAATAGAAGCGGAGCCCGCTCCTGTCGCGTCTAAGAGAGCTACACGTGGGCGTAAGGCTTCTACACCAATCGTTGAAGAAGCTGTCGTTGGGGAAACAATTGAGGACGAAGAGCAAATGCCACAACAGCCTGTCAAAATTCAGGTCGCGACACGTGCACGCAAAGCGCCTGTCAAGAAGACACCAGCAAAGAAGGCCGAGCCTGTTGTTGTCGCAGAGCCTGCTGCAGATGAGGCGGAGGATGTCCAAAGGACTGCGACACGGACACGCCAGACCGTCACTATCGAGGAGCCAATTGTTGAAGAGGCACCCAAGCCAGCTTCGCGAGCGCGCAAAGTGCCTACGAAGAAAGCCCCAGCTGCGAAGGCTACCGACGCTCCTGCTGTCGAGAACACCATCGCTGCTGAGCCCATCAAGCCTGCATCTCGCGCGCGCAAAGCAGCAGCTCCTCTCGACACAGCACCAGTGCTTGCGCCCCCAAGCAGAGCCACACGCACCACTCGTAATGCCGAGTTGCCCCCGGCTTCACCCCTCAAGGCGCCTGCGCGCAAACCGACAAAGAAGGCTACACCAGCTAAGTATGCGAAGGACGCTGTTGAAGAGCCTGCCCCGGTCGAAGCGATGATCATCGACGAGAGCGTCGCTGTGCCTGAGCCAATTCAGGAGCCCTTCGCAGAGTACCCTACTGTACCTTCAACACCCGCACACACCACTCAGCCGCTCACCAACAAGCGAGCTATGTTCGAGCTTCCTCAATACCCTAAGACACCGGCGCACATTGTCGCACCTATCTCATCGAGAGCAGCACTCGCAGCACTACCAGGTTACCCGAAGACACCTGCTCACATCCGTGCTCCCATCTCGAACAAGGCTGCGATGGCTGAGATGCCAGAATACCCTAAGACTCCCGCACACATCAAGGCTCCCACAAGCAGTAAGACGGCGCTCATGGAGATGCCCAGCTATCCCGAGACACCTGCACACATCAAAGCACCTTTGAGCTCCAGGCAAGCACTCGCTGAGCTGCCAGACTATCCCACGACTCCTGCTCACATCATGGCTCAGTCGCGTCTCAGCATCATTGAGGAGGCCTCCATGGAGACATCTTTGACCCCTCAGCAGCCTGGCATGCCACCTGTGGCCTTCTTTGCAGTGCCCCGAACACCAGCAGCGCAGTGTTCTCCTGCACATGTGGCAAAGAAGGAGATTTTCACTCCGCAAGGCGTTACGCCTGCGGTCGTATTCCCTGCCCCTTGCACACCACGAGCGCAGTCGTCACCAGAGCATATAGCTGTGAAAGAGACCTTCACTCCGGCGACCGCTACCCCTGCGACCGCTACCCCTGCAGTAGTCTTTCGGGTCCCCAGTACACCTCGCGCGCAGTCGTCGCCAGAGCATGTAGCTGTGAAGGAGACCTTCACTCCGGCGACCGCTACCCCTGCAGTAGTCTTTCGGGCCCCCAGCACACCTCGCGCGCAGTCGTCGCCAGAGCACGTTGCGATCAGGGAGGTCTTCACACCTGCTAGACAGGTTGCTGGTGAGACCCAGGTCGAGGAAGCCGCGAGTGCGACAGTCGCCAGTCCAGCTGAGGCAGTCACACCTATCCGCGACAACACACCTGAGATTGTGCAGAGGACACCGGCTGTTCGATTCACAGCTCCCTCCACGCCACCTGCGCAATCCTCACCGGAACACATCGCTCCCAAAGAGATCTTCACTCCATTTTCCGCAACTCCAGCTATCGAGCTGAAGGCACCTTCCACACCCCCTGCACAAACATCGCCCGAGCACATTGCAAACAAGGAGAACTTCACTCCTCCGTCAGCAGCTCCAGTGACACCTGTTCGCGCTGCCAGTGCGAATAGAACGGCATTGGGTGAGCTTCCTGATTACCCAATAACCCCTGCGTTGGCTATAGAGGCCGCGATCCAGGAGGAGATCCGGGCATCGGCAAAGAAACAGACTCCGTCACCATCGCATTTCTCTACCCACGATGCGTCATTTGACGAAGACAGTGAAGTCAACGACCTCAGCATCTCAGAACTTCAGAACGAGAATACCCCGGCGGCGGAGAAGCCTCAGGTTCAGCTTGCACCTCTGCAGCTGAAGCCTCTCACATTGGCACCGCCAACAACAAAGACACCTTTCTTTGCGCCGCCGACTTTCACCCCGTCGGTCTTCACACCACGCGCAAGCAGCTCACTCTTCTCTGCTCCTGCTCAAGCTTCACCAGCAAAGTCTGCGACATTTGCGCCCGGCACAAATTTCTCGGCATCGACGATAGTGTCGCCCATGAAGTCTTCTCTTCGTTCTCCTGTCAAGTCATCTCTACGATCGCCCGAGAAGAAGAGGACTTCTAAGACTCCGAAAAAGGCTGTTACCTGGGACGACTCTGAGGAAGAGAAGTCCCTTCTCTTTGATGGCCCTCTGCAGGGCTTGACCTTCTATGTTGATGTCATCTCCGACAGCGGCAAGAACCAGTCTTTCCTGTTTGAGACACTCCTCATGGATCTTGGCGCAAAGATTCAGAACGAGTGGAGCGATGCTGCCATTACACATGTTCTCTACAAGGACGGCAACCATGATACAATCAGAAAGGTCGTCGCAAGCAAGGGTGCTATCAAGGCTGTAAACGTCAGCTGGGCTCTAGAGTGCGAAGCGAATAAGAAGCGCGTCGACGAGACCAGGTACCTTGTCAACCTGTCTGCTGCACTTCCTGCGAGTCCCAAGATCTCGATGGTCCCATGCACACCCGCAAAGACGCCCTCGAAGTACGCCGTCCCGCCCTCTTCTGAGCGCAGCCAGCCCGCTACACCGACCTCATCCGAGTTCGATCGTTCCTTCAATGCCGACGACAAGGAGAACAGTGAGCTCGGCATCTACTTCGAGCCCGATGGCAAGATGGCTGTCCGCACGCTGCCCCAGAAGAAGTCTAACTTCCTCATGAGCCGTAGCCCGATCAAGACGCCTAGCAAGCAGAGGATGATGACTGCTACACCTATGCGCCCGTTCTCGACAACAAAGAAGAGGAGTGCTGAGGTCTTCGCTGGTATCACTATGGCGCCGCCAAAGAAGCTGAGGCTATTCTAAGCCAAAGCAAGTACATGTTGATTTGGATATGGGAAGCATGTATGGAGTTCTGGGCATCGTCGGCACGGGAAACAGTTCTCAGCCCGTCACCCACCGTTTCCATACTGACCTTACCGTCAAGGCTTGAGCTACCCCATTGCGTTGCAGCACCTCACAGTGCTCCCGTGGGGTCTGAATATAGCCGGATGGAACACTCGATATGGAGTCGTGGGTGTTTGTGTTGTAGAGACTCGATCGACCCGCTTGATCTTTTGAATAATTCTGGGATACCCTAACACTCACTCGTCCAATGGACTGAAGGGTTGGCGTTGTACATGGAGCTGGGCTAGGGCTTTGTATATCATTTTTTTTTCAGTCGCGTACATACGTACATAGCTGCAAATCGAGTACATTCAGACAATGCCCTCGGCCTTCAAACACAAATGCAAAATGCAGTGCTAGACGAAAGCGTGCTCTCGTGACCGTTACCTCCATCAGTGTCTAAGCGCATCCCGCAGGGTTGAGACTCAGGTGCGTTTCCCCCTGGCCCTCAAATGAAAGCAACTGCCACGCGCCTATCCTTCCGCAGCCGCAGCTCTTGGTATGCACGGGTCGCCACATGCCTGGAACCCTATGGACTTCCACGAATGAAGTTAGGGTTCGCTTGCATGTTTCCGTGAACTGCATTCCAGAAGCTTGGGGCTTAGTGTCGCACAGCAGAAGATCCGTATACGGGTGTCAATACGTGCGCCTGCATGACGGATGGGCCGAAGCCTCTGGGGAAATTGCGTTTCTTGACTATGTATTGAACGCTTTAGCTTCGTGCTCGATGGAGACACGAGACTCGAAGAGTGACCCATTCTGTCCACAGTAGAGCAACACTGTTGCATCAGATCACATTTGTCCACCGTTTCGAGCCATGATCATAGAAAGCTCATCGGAGGAAAGAAATTCTGAAATGATATAGGTACAGAAGTCTAAATCCGCAACAAAGTCCCTGCGCCAGCCCACTGCTGGCTGCAACGGCTCATCTGCGCCACGCTATGCATTATACGACAACACCTCCGCGCTGAACACCTTCGTATCCCTTTTACAACGATTCAGCACCATCACTCGGTAGCATTAGCAGCAGCAACGCCACTGTTCGCACCAACAGTCAACATGTTATTCCCACCAAGCGTGTTCTGGATGAACCTCGCATTGAACTTTACAATACTCTTGATCGCATTGTAGTCGGCAACAGAGACATCAAGAGGATCCTTAACGATGAGGAACGTGACGCCCTCGGCGCAGGGAGGAGTAGTCAAGGAGCCAGAGTATTGCAGGATATCGGAGGACTCGATCTTTTCGAACACGCCGCTGAAGTCTAGGCCGTCTTCAATCGTGGTCTTGGTGCCGGGGGTGGTGATGGCGTCGAGGCTGGATGAAAGGCCGGCGATGATGGGGTCGCTGTCTGAGGCCGAGACTTGGAACATCAAAGCGATTACGGCGAGCTGGGTGTTGTCCACTGCAGACTGGTTAGTGAGTGCGGTCGAAGCTGTAAAGGGGTTGACTTACAGACGCCCTGGTGGACCATGTGGACTTCGAGAGGGAAGTACTCGTCGTTGATGTGGTGCTCAGAAGGAGTGTGCATGTGGAACTGCACAAGGCGGAAGTCCGTTCCGTTGAAAGAGGTCGTGCCGTTGACGATAACCTCAATGGTAGTCCCTAGGTTCTCAAACTCTACCGCCTGGTCTGGAATGTCCACGATAGGACGGTCCACAGCAGGGTCAATGGTATCACCTGAGGATGATTCGTTAACACAAGCCCGCTTGTGAATGATGATATCCCGTCTAGTAAGGTTTCCTGCTGAGGCTTCCGTATCGATGTTGATGGGAGACTGATTTAGGCCGGCCTTGCAAGCTTCATTTTCAGGAGCGAGGGAAGCCCAGTTGAAAGGTCCGTTCTCAGGTCCATAACCGAAGGTATTGACCTCGACGGTGCCATCTTCAGTACCAGCGGCGCGCTTGAACATGGAAAGTCCGTGAAGACATGTCGCCGAGGCCGTAGAGGCGAAGAGGAGGGACTTAAGAAGCATGTCGAAGTGGTTGTATGCTGCGATACTGGGACCTGAAAGGACTGAAGTTGTTGGGAAAGATGTTGCTATCGATGATGATCCAAGTCCAGGGGAGTCCAGATACTTTATGTAGGTAGCAAGGAGATCCACAGGTGGAGTGAGGTTGTGGGGAAGGGGTGCCGACGATCAACGTCCAGAATGGCTTAACAGGGGAATAGAGTAGCCGCAGGTTCTAGCTGATCCAGCGATACGGCCTTGAAATTACACAAGAAAGCTAAGACAATACTGCAAGTAGGAATTGTAAGAACAAAAAGGCCGCAGAAGAACGCTAAATTGGGATAGACGAATGCCGGGAAGAGAAGGACCGCGTGGAAAGATAGACTGAATTGACTTGAGATGATACCCAGAGTAAGAGACCAAGCCCCAAGATATACGCAAGACACGACATCAGCTTGGAGGCCGAAGGTTGACCATCTTACCCGCGCTGACCAGCCTTCAGTCCGCATGCGCTGCCAAGGAGAACTGTGGGAGCCAAGTCATACACTCAAAACCCCGAGGACGGCAAAGCACGTATTCAGCAGGCGGTATACGGGTGTGGATGAGGATCCAATAAAACCCGTACGAGCCCCCAGAGAGAAGACATTGCCAAGGCTAAGCAGTGTCGGAGACCTGCCCAGAGCATAGCCCTCCTAAGCCTAGATAGAATCTATGTTAAGACTTCTGACAGTTGCTTGGGTGCCCCTGCGTCTCCCCGAAGCGTCAAGCTCGTGTAAGCGAGGGCCATATGCCGCTGACAGATACGTCCAGGATAAGACACCCGCAGAGCGCGAAGCCACACTTCAAAAACACCATAGTCTTCACAATCGGGGTTGCTTATGTTCCTCGATGCTGATCGGATTTGTGATATCATAATCAGCCCATCATGACCGTACATACCTTGCAAAGGCCCACCGATAACCTGCAGGCTGATGCAACTCAGTGGGCGTTAACGGTTGTGATCTTGGCCAGAGACGACCATCAACAGCCTTCCCAGCTCTGAAACTCCACCTCGGCCTCCTCGTCGTTCTCGGCAGACTCCGACCTATCAATTGCGCTTTGGCTTAATCAACCGGGGCATTGAGACACGATGACAGGCATACGCATCCTTCTACAGCCGGTGACGAATCCTAGTCCCGTTTTCCTCGCCAATACCGGTACCGACGCCTGTTGTCCTTCCTCAGGCATCTTGGCTGAGATGTGCCTAAGGCGTTTGCTCACTCGAGCTGCCAAACATGGAAACTCCTGGAAATCAGCTCATTTGTGAAATGCGACAGTTAAGAGATGAACGCCAGGACGAGGCGTCAAGCAAGCATTAGCAGCCACGTTTTGCCTGCGTTTCTCGTGGCGCCGGGTCTCCCGATCATATACCAACAACTGAGGCATCGTATGCAGGCGACAGAAAAGGAGCTTGGAGCCAAGCGGTAGGGTGTTGGCCTGGCAGCGCCAAGTGCAGGGCGGATGAGGCGTGCGGCTCGACGCCGCCGTGCAGGAGTCCGGCCTCGAAAGCCGGGGTCGATTAAAGACGCAAGTCAACGATAATATCCCGCCGACGCATGCAACATCGCGGAAGACCGGGCAGTGTATGATGAAGGAGAAGTCGTTACTGACGACCGCAGCTCGCCGTTACATTAGGATGCTGTCACAATTCAAGCCGTCTTCGATCGTAACTTCCAAGCGATTAGCTGCAACGGTGGTGCTAACGCTTGGGGTTATTTCAACACCACAACTCTTTCCCGATAGACGACTCTTGGCAGGGCTGTGCCTGCTAAAGTCTAACAATCGCCCAATTGTGTTCGTACTCGCCGTACTCATTCCCTGGAGCAACCGCTCAGATCTCGGTGCTTTGGCGGCCTCCAAGCTGTCTAATCTGCTAAACACCATGCCAAGTATCTTGAGGTCCTCCAACTGAAGCACGTGGGCACCTACAAAATGGCGTGCTTGGCGTCCGGTTTTGTACTGTTGATTCTTTTGCATGCTATCTTGACTCCCGTCGTCTGTCCCGCCTACTCGGTCTTCCAAAAGTGGGAGGAGATTACAAGCAGAACGCCTTGCACGATCCGGGATCGCGGTATAGACGCGTCCAGAAGGTATCAAGCAGGTACAAAACAACTTGTTCCAAGATGGTCGATATCTGGGCTGGGCCGATAGGATTTCGACAGCCTGGACGGGCTGCTTACTCCAATCATCCTTCCGGATCTACAAGCATGATGCATCAGAGCTCACTATTCAAGCCTCTCAGTAGAAGCGTCGCAATTATAGCACAGTTTGATATATTCGTCTCGGAGTGGGACAAATGCAAAAATACACAGGGTGACACCGAATTGCAAGATGCTGCATGTGGCTGACACTTTCTTGGTCTATCCTTCGATGCATCATTCGGCCTTGTAATGAGATGGAAGCACCCCTCTCTATCCCGAGCACAATTTAGACGATTGATGAAGGAGTTCAAGGGGCAGACTTCTGCCAAACACGAGACAATCTGGACGAGACGATCACGAACCAGGCTGTGCGTGTTTTCGGCGGCCGTCGACGTGCGCGTCAGATTCTAGTAGTCCCGTATCGCAGATTTGGTGACCTAGAGTTGCCCGTACTTGAGATTCTTTTGGAGATCTTCTCCTTTCATCCCATACACATTGCAGAGACACCCAAAGAAGACTGAAGATATTACTGCCGTGACTGAAGCTTCGACCTTGCCCTGATCACCTCTTCCCTGTACCCTTCGGCCTTATTTCAACATCACTACACGACTCAGAGCCCCGGATCCGCACGTGTCCAAATTCCCCAAGATACAGGTACTTCAGTCCCACAGCATAGAGCGGAGACGCCTTCGGTTCTGCCAAGAAACCGCTGCCGTATTTCGATCTTGCTCTGATTGTGTTGTTCCTTTCGTCCTTCGGTCTTGTCAGATCACCCCAAGATGGCTCAGCAATCTGGCACTAGCCCTTTGACTTGCTCAACACGGACATAGGTACTGCTCGAATGGCTCTCATTTGGACTTGTGCCTGTCGCGCTGAGAAGGAATGACTCGATTCCACCAAGCAGCATAGCATGGCAACATCCGTTTAGACGTCTTAAGTGGCTACACACGACCTGCTTCACTTTCTCGTCACTCAAAAAAATTCGGGGATTCTGCCTTGCGTACTATTACCCATTGTTATTGCCGTGGTGTGAAGTTTGGCAGCTACCTTTCACCGCGAATAGCATTATACTGAACAGACAGTGATGCGGGAGTGACGCGGGAGTGACGCGAGGACCTCAAATTCGTTCTCAGTCCTCAAAAGGCCTTCAAAATGCAACTGAAGTAGTGACGGATCAATGCGATTGAACAAACATGAATTTGGCTCTCACATCAAGTTCACAGCCGTGGAGTTCATAACCTGTTCCTATTACATGTATCTTAATGATATCATTCCGGAACAGTCTCCAGCTCATGTTTCCAAGCAGCAATATACTCTTGATCCTCCGTCCCACACTCACTCTGTAGCTCCTCCACCCAGGCCTGCGCCTTACTCATTCGTTTCTTCGTCCGCTCATCCATCCGATCCCACTCCCCATATCTTAACCATCAGAAGAACTGCCCCTCTTTCTTGCCCTCTGGCGCATCGACCTTCTCGCCCTCATTCTGACCATACCCAGTTATACCCGACAGCAAGCCACCAACGCCCTTTCCAACACCACCGAGCGTGCTGCCAACGCCGCCGATTACATCGCCCTTTCCGAGCTTGCCTACGCCGTCGCCCAGACCACCAGTGACTCCGCTGACCGCATTCGAAGCGCCTTTACCCACGTTGCCGACGACGCCTCCAACAGGGCCGCCGACGGTCTTGCCCACGCCTCCCAGTCCGTCGCCGACGGTGGTTCCTAAGCCTTTACCAGCGCCCTTCACCGTATTACCAACGCCAGATGTAGCGCCTGCAACGGTCCCGCGGACATCGCCTCTGCTCAGCGCACCTGTGGTCTTCGACACCGTGCCCTGCACACCTTTCGTCGCCGCGCCAGCAGTGTAGTACAAGTTATCACTTGCGCCCGTCACGATCTTGCCAGCGTTATCCGTGACATGCTTGACCGGCTTTCCTACACCGCCAGGGAGTCTGTTAAGACCATTGCCCACCACGCCTGTGGTGGCATTGACTCCCGAATTGATGCCGCTTGTAGCGCTGTCGCCGACGGTGTTCACGAGCCCCGTTGTAGCGCCGACTGTACTGTTGACACTGCTTGACGCAGCGCCTGCGCCGCGCGAGACAATGTTCTTCTTCGCAGTGGGCGCAGCTTGGCCTGGAGCCTGGTGAGCACGAATCACGGAGAGGGGGGTTGGCCACGTACCATCGACGTTCTTCTTCACGGGTGTAGCCTTCGCTTGATTGGTAGCGCTTTTGGTTGCAGAGTTGACTGCGGATTTGGATGGGTTGGCAGTCGTCTTGGTGGGTGTTGGTCCTTGGGTAGATTTCACTGTGCTGGCTGGCTTCGAGGCAGTTGGTGTGCCAGTTCCACCAAGTTTCCTTGGGGTCTTCTTGACGGGAGCAGCAGCTGTGCCTGCTGTGCTGGTAACTGCGGGTGTCACCTTCTTGGTGGCAGCGGTTCCGGCTGTAGGTACTGGCTTTGAAGTATTGCTGACATCCTGCTTTCCCGTTGAGGCAGCGGGTGTTGCGGTCTTCTTGAGAGGCGCAGCAGTCTTTGTTGGCGTGGCTGCTGTAGCAGGCTTTGTCTCTGTGGCTATCGCTGGAGTCTTCCGAACAGGAAGCTTCTTCTGTGTACCCAGTGGTGTTCTTGGCTTGGTGGTAGCTGAACTTGAGGCAGCCTTCTTCACAGGAGGAATGGGTGTTGTCTTCGATGCAGCAGATTGTGTGGCCTTGGCTGGACTCGTGTTGACGGTCTTCTTCGTCGCCGGTGTATTGCCTGCAGTTTTGGCAACGCTATTGACGCTTGCTTAACAACTGTGTCAGTCATTGAGTGTCATGTTCATTCGAAGGTACTCACATTGCAACGCGCCAGTCTGCTTTTTGAGGTCGCCAACGATATCTGTCATTTTGAACTTTGGAAATACGATTTACAGATAAAAAGAACGGGAAACGATAAACAGATCGCTGGAAGATTCAATGTTAATATGGAGCTTGCATCATGAAGTCACACGCGTTAGAGTTCAAGACATCATCCCTCATACGTCATCCTTCGACTGCATCCCTGTCGTGCAACTTGCGAGGCTGTGGGGAATCTTGTTTTCTGACACGGCTGGTCGCCGCTGAGCGCCATTTCTAGGATGTTTGGAGATTCCGGCCCCTGTTACTGAGACCCGAATCGCGCGGAGCGGAGACCAATCCGCGTGTTGGTTCCTGGATGTGCCCCGCTTGGAGGCCATCGACTGGACAATCGCGCAGGTCGCACCGTTGAAGCTAAGAGTTGTCCCAGCCAAGTGTAACGGTATCGATAGTTCTATCTGCTTGAAGCTACGCGATGCATCCAATGCTCCAACCATCCGCGTGAAAGAGATTTCTTCGCTCATTTGCTGGTAGGTGCTCGATCTTCATACCAGAATTGATGCATTGACTTCTCCTGAGGTTTACAGGAGCTGCCCCATCCCAGATTGACGGCCATCCTCTGCGTTCTCATGCTAAGACGCAGGACCCGCAAAGAACTGCGAACATCCTCAATCACCTTCAAGCCACTATGAAGGAGTCCTACTCTTTGTCTAGCTCCGCCTCTAAGCTGCCCAGCAGATCTGGTGTGTTTCCTGCTGGCTCTGCAGAAGACTGTTCATGAGAAGGCACTGCTGCAGGTTCTGGTGCTGGTACGGACACCGATTCGTCGGTGGGTTCGCCTGCTAGGATGTCTACGCTCGCAGGTACGGACTCGGTCTCTGTAGATGGGACGGGAGCTGTAATTGGTTCAGACGCAACTAATCCAGTTGGGACTGACTTCGATGATGCTGGGTCTGCTGATATCGGCTCTGCTGGTGCTGTCTCCGATGCGATCAGTTCGATCGCGGTAGCTGAAGTGGGCACTTGACTTGTTGAGTTTTGCCTGCTGTGGTTGGCTGCGGACAATGGAAGTTCTGGTGAGCTGGATCGATCTTGAGCAGTAGTCAGTTCTGCAGCCTCTGCAGGCTCAGGTGCCGATATCAACGCCGGTTGAGCTGCCTCTACAGGAGATTGCAAAGTCTCGAGTGGAATGATCATAGCCTCTTCTATGACAATTGCTGACTCTGTAGGGGCGACAACATTAGGAGCATCGGTCATCTCCACGACTGGGGCGCTCGTAGGTGCAGGTGCCGGTGCTGATGCCTTCGAAGGTGTCACTGGAGTTCCGTCATCCTGGTCGTGCTCCTGTTCCTCATCTTCTGAGCCTTCCTCTCCAGACTCATCGTCCTCTCCAGCTTCACCCATGGGCGTGTCGCGGTCAGATGGCTCCACAGATCCTCCCTCGCCCTCTTTCAATTCGCGGATGGCAGGCATGACACCATCACCGCCGGGTGCTGGAGTGCCTTGCCTTTCTGCACCATCAACGAAGTCGACCTTCTTTCGGCCTCTCCCTGGCCCAGGTCGTGGGATGTGCTTCGTCTTCTTCTTCTTAGGCGGAGGCGGTCTTCTCCTTGGCGGTGTTTGCTGTAGGATGTCGTTTGCGACCACTATGCCTTCTGCGTTCACAACGCCAACTCCTTCGACGACAGTGCCAGGCGCCGCAATGACTGGTGCGACCTCAATAGCAGCATCGGTAGGTGCGACTTCACCCTCTACTACCTGTCCTTCTGGTGCCAGGACCTTATATACTGCAACATTGCCTTCGGCGTCAAGCTTCTTGACTTTGGTCTCCCTGAGCGGCGCTTGAACCTGACCATTCAAGTACTGTGATGGCAAACCTTTGCGCCTCTTTGCAAGGTACTCCGGTTCCGGCGCTTCGTTGTGTCGCGCGACTTTTACATACTTCTTGATGGTGAATCCTATCGACACTTGCTTGTGCTCTGGCTCCTCGTCTTTCAGCTCATTGTCATCATCTTCAGGCGGAGCTGGAGGTTGGATGGTGCGTCCAGAGCGTGCAGCGCGAAGTAGTTGCTGTGAGTGCTCCGGTAACATGTGAGAATCCCGTGGCATGTGTAGTTCGGGCCACGCGTTGACGTCCACGGGCTTGCTGTCTGCAGCATTGGGTCCGACCGTGACTTCGATCTCTCTGTACTGGTTGATTGGAAGCCCCTCGAGCACATTATGCTCGATCTGACCACGTCCTTGTCTGTTGGACCGGTCTCGGTTGCGAAACTGATAAGGTCTTGTTAGCCTGGTATCAGGAATCAAGGACGGGCTGCCTGGAAGCGTGAAATCGGGAAGTGGTGTTTGCATGGCTGCGAGGGAGCACGAGGATAAGGGAAGGGAACGTCTGTCGACAAATTTGGTGTAGTGAGATGGTTGGCTCCGCGAGCTCTGCGAACGTGTGCGAATTTATTGCCTTCTGCAACCACAAATACTGAGCTAACCATGGTTGACGATGAAGAATAATTTCACGTGGCAAAGATGAATGCGCCGAATGTGTTTGCAGGGGTCTATGCAAACCATGGGTGAAGACAAAGTTGGGCAGTGGGAGATGACGTACCCGGGACATTATGGAGAGTAACTGCCACAGCAGTGGGGCGTGCAGCAGTTGTCAAGTATTTGCGCTTGGTCGCGATGGGGCGGTGAATGGTAAGGGCAGGCGCGTTGGACGTGACTTCGAGGTCGAACGCGACTGCCTGCACCGTGCGCGGGGCTAACGCCCAATCCGTTCCATGAGCTCGCCAGTACCAGACATCAGCGACGACCTCCGGCATCAAGCTCAAATCGATCTAGACTGAAGATCAATGGATATTTCCAGCTACAGGTAGACAGAGTGTTTGTCAATATCAGTGTTGTTTGTGTCCATGCGCAATTACTACAATGTTGTTGACGAACAGTAAGCACCCTATAATACACTCGTGGTACCACAACTGAAGGCATCCATATTCCCACAAGATTTCAGATACCACCTGAAGCACATGCCAAATCTAAGGCCCATCTATCTGCTCGATTGTTCGCTCGAAGGGGAGTGGATAGTGTTGTTACATGATCCAACATTGATCTCTGCTCAATTATAGCACTTATGATAGGGCTCAGTCCCAACTGCGTTCGCATTAGCAGGGCTTCTTACACGCACATCTTTTGCACTTACCCTTGATCCTTCTGTCTGATGATGTCGTTCCTGTTGCCTGTCTGCTTGCCCTCCTTGCCGCCCTCGACGACCAATCGGTCGATCTGGTAAAACTGGCTTATGACGGTTTGCCTCTGCAATGGTGCGTCAGCTTGGTACTTTGATAATTTACGGCATGAACACGAGATGATTTCCGCTGTCCTGTTGGTTTGCGCAACGGTCTAGCGTCGCTCTTCCAGTGTTCACCATGCTCGAGCCTGGATGTAGGTGCGACACACCTTCAGCATCTGCAACTCCTTCAGCCCCTTCTGCATAAGATCTTGCACTCTTCTCTCCTCCGCCTCTTTCTGGTGTTCCCGGAAGGCGTCGCGTGTTCTTCGTTTGGCGTACTCGCGGAAGTTGTAGGCGGCGAATTGACTGCCCTGTCGAAGCAGAGAACGATACTGTGCGTGTCTTGTTAGCTTTTAAATACCTTCAGCTAGTAGTGGCATGATTGCGCATCACATGCTGTCTTCCTCATCCGGCTTGAGCAGGAAATGATTGCTCAATGTCGAGTCGCAACGAGGTGCAGCAATGTGAACGCAGCGGTAACGGAGGCGCGATCGGGAACGTACAAGTGAGCGCACTTGGTAGGGCATATCGCCCTTTATTGCTTGTGCCAAAGACATGTTGATATGTGTGGAGTAAGGCGTCGGTGTCGAGCTACAGCGATGGTATGCGCCGCGAAATAACGTTACTGATTAGGTCATAGGTTTGGGTCTGGGTTGCGGGCGAACTTTGAGCCCGGCCGGCGAACGCGGAGATACCTCCTCACTCTTAAATGCGGCTCAATAATGCGCTTCACGTAGGTGTTGAATTCAGCCATATTTTGAATGTATGTATTTGATCGATGCTACTTTGAGGGCAGTTCAGTGCCACAAGACGTTATACAAGATCTCTGGCTTGGTCTCCACCCACCCTGGGTATACTTCGTACATGCGTCGAAACGCCAAAACTCCAACCCAATGCAGTTGATATGAGTACATGCGAGCAGACCATTCACGGCACGCTGCGCAGTAACTACGGAGCGCTTTTCAAAAACATAACTTGACCTTACCAATGGAGCCTTAGTGACGATGCTTTTCCTGGATCCTTCGCAGTTGCTCTTGTACGTTCATGGACTGCATCTGCTGAATGCGCGCAGCATCCTTAGCAGGGTCTGGCTGTCCATCGTACGATAAAGCTGCCTTCTTTCTGCGAGCTTCTTCTTCAGCAGATATGCTTTGTCCAGTAGCGCCATCGTAGATATCGTCACGTTGGCTAGCAAAGCGCTTGAGGTTGTTCGCCACGTCCGCCGTGTTGATCGTCGTGGAGTAGCGTTGCTCGGCTTTGTCTCGTTGTTCTTTCCAGCGTGGATCAAGCAGTTCAACTGAGGAAGTGGTCAGCAGTATCCGGTATCTGAGAAGATAGGGTGGCATACTTCGAATGTGCTCATCAATCTCGTTGGCAGGGATGTTCTGCTTGCAGTTAGGGCACACGACCGTTGCAACGTTGGCTTTCTTCGCCGCGCGGGGAACATAGTCTGTGACAATGCGGCCAGGCGCTCCTCTTGTTGCCGCCTGCTGGCGTGCCCTGGCATCAGCTTCCGCCTGTGCCCGCGCCTGCTCTTCCTCGCGCTGTCTCTGAGCTGCCATGTAGGAGTAATCCTGAGGAGGTGGAGCATATTGTGGGTAGGCGACCGGAGTCATAGGTACGGGTGGTGGCACTGGGTAGGCCTGGTGAGGTGCGGGCGCCTGTTGCGAGACATTGTAGTATGTCTGCTCGTCGGGCATAGCTTCTTCGAGACGTCTAGTTGACAGCGAGACGGCGGCCTTCTGTTCAAGCGACTGTGACTGCAAGTCATTGAGCAGCGCAGGCGGAGGAAGATCTGCGGCATCGTCGGCCTCATCGAAAAGCACTGTTGCAATAACAGTGAAGTCGTGCCAGTCGATGGTGGCGTACTCCCTCTTCTCATCCTCGGCCTTCTTCTCCTCCTTCTCTTTCTGCGCAGAGACGTACTTGACGTACTCAGCACGGCCTTTTGCTCGCTCCAGAATATGAAGGCGGTTCTTGATATTCTCCTGCAATTCTGCAATGCGCGCCTCTACCGTCTGCTCCTCCTCCAGCAGAATCTTGTACTGTTCGACGAGCGACCTGAAGAACTGGAAGAAACTGTGGTTGGCGCGAAGGAATTCGAATTGATGGTTGCCAGACTCGCGGTTTCGTAGCTCTTTCAGCCAGTTCTCGCCGACACGCGCTGTGTACAAGGCTGTCAGCTTCATGACCTCAAGATCCTTAGCGTTGATGTTCGGCATGCGCGCTGAGAAGCGAAACGGGGCGGGCTCTGGAGGCCCCTTTGGCTTCTCTGGTACAGGCTGGGCGGCGCCTTTTGCGGTGGGGCCGTGGCCGGCCTTTAACTGCTCCAAGTACCACAGAAAGTACGGGTTATATGGGTCGTCATCTAGGATGAAGGTGATTTGGCTTTTGGAATCGTTGGAAATGCGCTGCTTCAGGCTTGCGAGCAGCTGATCGCCTCTGCGGTAAACGAAATCTGCGGTTTTGGCGACACCAGCGCGGACGCTGGCCGGGGGGATGACGATGTTCTCGGGCGGTCTGACATCTAGTTCGGTAGCAGCAGCACTGTCTCCGTTTGCGACCGCCATGGTGATGTGCGGTTTGCGATTGAGCGGCGGAGGTGGAGCTGCAACGCCGAACAGAACTTCTGAACGGCAGGCGCGTTCGAGCTTGGCGGATCAGCAGGCCGGTGCGTGCACGGTCCCGTTCACGTTCGCATCTCGAATCGTTCGGCGCAACACCGAGGACAATGACAGAGGTTTGATAGTGTGCATACACCTTTCAAATTGTAATTCACTTGCATCAGTGCTCACGTCGAGTGAATGTTTGCGTTACAGGCGATGTTCTTCACTTGCTGATACTGATGACAGTGAATACGCGGCTGCTCCTCGAAATAGTTCTCGTTTCCCTTTCGAGATAGCGCTAGCTTCGCGGGAGAGCCAGCTGTACTCTCTCCCCGAAACCCCCCAGTATTAAGTAAGGACAGGGTACTTGATCTTCTGTAGCCCCCCTGGCGCTGCTCATAACCACTGCGCTGCCCACCCCCGGCATTGATCTGCCCTCCCTTCTTACTCTCGTTCAGACTCGTTGCTCTTAATTGGGAGCTGACAGGTGTTCTCCCACCACTTTCTGGAGCTCTCATAGTAGCTTCAGCCCACCACCTAGTCGAAACCGCAATTCCTTGGGACCATCTGCCGCCATGGCGAATCGCACGGCATCGAACCAGTACCTGAGCGAGAAGCCGCAATCGCGCCGCTCAGGCAAATCCCCCTCGCGCTCCCCAGCACGGTCACCAGCACGATCGCCCGCGCCAAATGCACGAAAGCAACAGAAGACACAGCAAGTCCTTGGCTACCAGTCCGAGGGCGTGCAGGATCATGACATCTTCAACCTGCCGGGCTCCGACTGGCAGCTTCTGGGTCTCCTGACGGTCGTTGCAAGTGTTGTGCGCCTGTTCAGGATCGCCCAGCCTAGCAGCGTTGTCTTCGATGAAGTCCAGTATGTTGACCCAATTGACATGTGAACGCGAGTGGTGTCTAACGTTGTGCCTCCAGCTTCGGTGGATTCGCGTCCAAGTATATCAAGGGCAAGTTCTTCATGGACGTTCACCCGCCGCTCGCGAAGATGCTCATTGCTCTGACCGGCTGGTTGGGTGGATTCAACGGCGACTTCGACTTCAAGGACATTGGCAAGGACTACTTGGAGCCTGGTGTCCCATACGTGACAATGCGTCTATTCCCTGCCATTTGCGGTGTCTTGACCATTCCCACTATGTTCCTGACTCTTAAGGCTGCTGGTTGCCGTACCACCACCGCGGCTCTGGGAGCAGGTCTCGTCATTTTCGGTAAGATTGCATGGTCTCTGGGTTCTGACTTAAACTAACTCCTGCAGATAACGCGCTCACCACTCAGTCCCGTCTGATCCTCCTCGACTCGCCGCTCATCATCTTCACTGCGTGGACTGCGCTCGCATGGACTGCCTTCACAAACCAGCACGAGCAGGGCCCGAAAAAGGCTTTCCAGCCTACATGGTGGTTCTGGCTGGCACAAACTGGCCTCGGTCTTGGAGCTACAGCTAGCGTGAAGTGGGTTGGTCTCTTCACAATCGCATGGGTTGGCAGCTTGACGCTTGTTCAGCTCTGGGTCTTGCTTGGAGACACAAGGACCACCACTCCTCGTCTCTGGTTCAAGCACTTCTTCGCCCGCCTGTTCTGTCTGGTTGTTATTCCGATCTCCTTCTACATGGCTATGTTCGCGATTCACTTCGTCTGTCTGGTCAACCCTGGTGACGGTGATGGTTTCATGTCTTCTGAGTTCCAGGCCACCTTGAACTCCAAGAGCATGCAGGACGTTCCAGCCGATGTCGCGTATGGTAGCCGTGTGTCGCTCCGCCACTGGAACACACAGGGTGGTTACCTCCACTCTCACAGCCACATGTACCCCACCGGTAGCAAGCAGCAGCAGATCACTTTGTACCCCCACAAGGATGAGAACAACATATGGATCATGGAGAACCAGACTCTGCCAATAATGCCAGAGGACTACACTGGCCCTAACCTGACCAGCCCTAAGGCTTGGGACGATATTGGCCCCTACAACATCGAGGATGGCGGTGTCATCAGACTCTACCACATCACCACTGATCGCCGCCTGCACTCTCACGATGTCCGCGCTCCCGTCACTGAGGCCGACTGGCAGCAGGAGGTCTCTGCTTACGGCTACGAGGGCTTCGAGGGCGACGCCAACGACTTGTTCCGTGTTGAGATCGTTAAGAAGCAGTCTGAAGGAGCCGAGGCCAAGAAGCGCGTCCGCACCATTCAAACTAAGTTCAGGCTTGTTCACATCATGACCGGCTGTGTTCTTTTCTCGCACAAGGTCAAGCTTCCCGATTGGGGCTTCGAGCAGCAGGAGGTGACATGCGCGAAGGGTGGTACTTTGCCGAACAGCATCTGGTACATTGAGGGCAACGTTCATCCCAAGATGAACGAGACTGCTGAGCGCGTCAACTACCGCAATCCGGGTTTCTTCGGCAAGTTCTGGGAGCTGCAGAAGGTCATGTGGAGGACCAACGCTGGCCTCACTGAGTCCCACGCCTGGGACTCTCGCCCGCCATCTTGGCCTACTCTCCAGCGTGGAATCAATTTCTGGGGCAAGAACAGCGTAAGTGCTTCTATGAAACTCACTGATCGCCTCCCAGCTAACGTCTTGCAGCGTCAGATTTATTTGTTGGGAAATCCTTTCACGTGGTGGACATCCTCAGCTCTGATTGCCCTCTACGTCGCCATCAAGGGCCTCGCTGTTCTTCGATGGCAGCGTGGCTTCCGGGACTACAACAATGTCACCTTCAAGCGCTTCGACTATGAAGTCGGCATGTCCATTCTTGGATGGGCGTTCCACTACTTCCCGTTCTACCTTATGGCACGTCAGCTATTCCTGCACCACTACCTTCCAGCGCTCTACTTTGCCATCATGGCTTTCTGCCAGATCTACGACTTTGTAAGCTACCGCTTCGACATCTTCCGCATCAAGAGGACTCCTGCTATTGGTCAGGCGGCAGCTGTTGGTATCCTCGCCATTGCTATCACTGTCTTCACCATCTATGCTCCTCTCGTATATGGTAATGCATGGACCAAGAGTCAGTGCAACAAGGTCAAGCTCTTCGACACTTGGGACTGGGATTGCAACAATTTCTTGGACACGTACGAAGCCTACAACGGTCAGAGTACGGCTGTGCCCTCCATCTCAGCTATCCCGTCATCCGTAGCACCTCCGCCACCTGCGCCTCCCGCCGCTGTGCCCGATGAGCAACAGCCGCCAGTTCAGCAGGAGAACAAGGCTGAGGGTGAGGCGGTAGTGTCCCCACCACCTGAGGGCGCCCCAGCTGTCCCGTCTGACCTCCCCGTCGTCTCCAAGGAGGAGCGCGTTGAATACCGTGACGAGAACGGCCGTATCCTGAACGAGGACGAGGTCAAGGCTCTCGCAGATAAGGTCAGCTTCAAGACCCGCTACGAGACACGGACACGTATTGTCGACGCTCAAGGCAACGAGATCTACGAGGGTCTCGTTGAAGCCCACGAGCCCGCTGAAGAGCACGGTGTTGCGCCCCCTCACCCCGACGTCGAGGGCCGCAACCCCGAGACTAAGGAAGCCAGTGAGGCCGCCGAGGCCAGCAATGTTCCTCCCACTGTTGAGGCCGTCGAGGACCAGAAGAATGAGAAGAGCATTGAGCGCGAGGCAAACGAGGCTAAGCCTGCTAGTGAGCAGCAGGCTGCTACACAGGAGACGGAGTAGCGTTTCGTATGTCACATGTTTCCGGAAACGATGATAGGATTACGGCATACTACCTGTAGATGTACATTTGTTTATGTGCGTCTGGTAGTGCCGTCTCTCTTTTGTATCTTGTATGATATATTAGCGTTGGCGTGGGCCATGGGCGCGTGGTTTGGGTCTGGATGGGATGGACACATACATTCATCACTAGTCTTTCAATACCAACTGTAAAAGCCACATCTCGTCTAGCATGCCAGATTGAAGTATTCACGAACAAGATAACATTGTGGCCATCTTGCTACCCTTTTACACGCTGTGCTCTGGCAAGGGACGCCTTGAAGTCAGCGGTCTTTCGATACCAGTGGACGTGTTACTCGGTAGCGTTCGCAAAGAGTAGATCATGAGATAGTGTCACTTCAATCGCAATAACCCAGATACTCAGATGTCAAGATTCAAGCTGCGCATAGATTCAACAAAGTACATCAGATGCCCAGGCCATCAGCACCAACTACTCCCAAACGCCATCCTTTTGGTATGATCATCCTGCATGCCTCTAGACAACCCTCAGACTGAGCGAAATCATCTAGATGGCCTCGGCCGCGGCCTTAGCCTTGTCCAGCTTGGCCCTCTTCCTGCGCAGGCCCTCGCTCTCGGTATCGCGCTTATTCGCGCCGTACTCGATGCGCTTGAGGAGCTTCCTCTTCTTGTTGCTCAGCATCATCTTCTGGCGCTCGCGCTCCTCATCCTCTGCCTTGCGCGCCTTGGACGCCTTCTTGCGGATCGCGGCGTTCTGCTCTTTCTTTGTGGGCGCCACCTTCTTGAGCGTCTTTCCTGTGGCTTCGGCTTCCAGCTCGGCTTGGTGCTGCAGACGCAGGGCTTCGGAATCGGACATATCGGATTCGGCGTCGGATTCGTCGCTCTCGTCGGCCGCAGGGGCGGCGTCGTCGTCGTCCGATGAGACGTCAGAATCGTCGGAGTCGCCGTCAACGTCCATGCCCTCGCCGACTTCGACGGAGCCTGCACGGTCGACAATGGCGTCCATGTCCTCGTCATCGTCCTTGGGCTCGAATGTCTCCTCGTCGGCCTCGTCTTCGAACGCTTCGGCCTCGCCCTCGGGCTGCTGGGCCGCGAGCGGCAGATTGGGGTCGTACTCGCCCTTCTTGGGCTTGACCCAGGGGCTGAGATGGGGAGGCAGTTCGGCGCCAGGACCGTACAGGTCGGGACGCAGAAGCTTGCCCTGGTTGATCGAGTCCCATACCCACTGAGGCTGGATGTATGTCCGGCCGGGCATCATGGAGTGCGGCCATTGTGCTTTCGGTGCGCCGTCTTCGGTGTCGTTGGAGACGGGGGCGGCGGCGGCGTTTGCGAGAGAGGGACGGTCGATGACCTGATGGGTGATGGAGGGGTCGGACTCGTTCGTTGTGAAGGCGCCGTCGCCGAGGATGCTATCCCAGCCTACGCGCTTGCAGCCGAAGGCTCGGAGAATGAACTCGAGGGATGCACGGGGTGTCTCGCGGGAGAGGTAGACTGTGAAGGGTGCGAAGAGCGAACCGGCTTCGGCGCGGCTGGCCTGGGGCTGGGGCAGAATGTCACCGCCCTTGGCGGTGGGCTCGAACTTATCGATGCCCTCAGTCGCTTCCTCTTCATCGTCGCCCTCAGCTGCGGCGACGATCGCTTCAGCGACCTCCTCTTCGATATCGCCCTCAGCTGCGATCCTGTCCGCAATAGCTTGTGCCTCGGGGTTAATCTCCGCATCCTCATCGTCGTCATTGACAGCCTCCTTTCCGTTGACACCCTTGCCTTCCAGCTGGAAAGCAGCAAGCTCACCACCCTGCTCGTCGCTCTTGGCGTTGAACTTGGGAGGATATACGAGGCCGACAGAGGTGTAGAGGCGGTAGTTAACGAAGCCGAGCAGTGTTGTGTAGAACTCGACGAATGTGCCCATGATCCTGAAGTCGATGTCTCCACCTGTGCGCTGCACGAAGCGGTAGGGTACGAGCCACAGAATGTCCTGACCCTGGATTGTTGCCTGGTAGTAAATGCCCTTGATTGACAAGAACGACTTGCGGAGCGCGTGGGAGGTGATAACGTAGTGCTCGAACTCGCGGGTCAGGCGCTGGCAGAGGGCGATGGTCTTTGCGGGGATGTGTTCGCTGGAGGGCAGATTGGCGAACAAAAAGAGCATGGAGAGGGCATCGTCGAGGTCGCGGAGGGCGTCGACGAAGGTCGGGTAGCGCTCCTTGATAATGTGGTCGAGCTTGACCTTGGGCATCAGGTTCTTCTCGAGGCGCGCGGCATCGCCAGACTCGCCGCGACCGAGGGCGCGACCGATCTTCTTTGCGACGGCCTTGTGCTCGCGGAACTTGGCCAACAGCGGCTCATGCAGTAGGTACTGGATGTCCTTGGTGTAGTAGAAGGTGGTGGCAGCGGTGGAGCCCTTGGAGACCTTCTTCTTGTTGCGCGGCTCACGGGGGTAGATTCCCTTGAAGATGCATAATCTTCTGAAGTCTGGCAGCGAAATCTGCAGCTTCTTCACGGCGCGAGTGCGGGTGATGTAGTTCTTCGCCGCACCAGAGGTGCCTGCGCAAGTCAGTATGTCGAAGAGAACAGGTGAGCGGGGCCATCATACCCTTCTTCTTGGAGCGACCAGCCATTGTGAGTTCGGGTGTGTTTGCTGCGTTCTCGAGACCGCGAACTTTTGGAAGGCGGGACTAGAGTCGTTCCTACTTTTTTTGAGAGTTCACCGAGCTAGTGACCCACTCCGCGGCCCTAAAACGGCAGGGGTCCACCGAGACGCCAGAACACCACCAAAGCTGCGCGGCGCTTGACATGGTCGTCATGGCGCGTCGTTCCCCATAACACCACAACGATGGCTGTCGACAAGCAGAAGGCACTCCTGTTTGGAGGTGCTGCTGCACTGCGGCTCCTGCTGTTCACTGTCTCTCCCGGGCTTCCCAATCTCCTTGCTGGCCGCGTCGAGGTGTCTACTCCCGTGACGAGCTTCAAGAGGTGTATGTTGTATACCAACATCTATTTAGGAGGGACGATGGAAATCTGACATGGAACCCAGTACAAGAAGGACTCTTCCTCTACACCCACAACGTCTCGCCCTACGATGGCGGCCTGTACCACCAGGCACCCCTCCTTCTGCCTATCTTCTCCCTGCTGCCGAACCCATCCTACCACCCAATCGCTGCGAACATCGTCTTCACTGTCGTCGATCTCTTGAGCGCATACGCACTGGCTCAGGTTGCTCAGAGTGGGACCGCTGCCGTCTCCCGCCTATTCTCGTCCTCGAGAAAGGACTTGAGATGGAGCAGCACAGCCATTGCAACAGGGTACGGCACATCGTGAACTTGCATTGATCGCGCGCTGATACGTGACAGCTTTCTATACAACCCATTCACGGTCTTGACGTGCCTCGCGCGTTCGACCTCGGCACTGACAAACCTGTTCGTGCTGACCGCCATGGCTAACGCGTCGCAAGGAGCCAGCAGCACCTTCATACTCGCTCTCTCGTTTGCTGCATATCTCGGTATGCACCCGATCCTCCTATTCCCGCCGCTTCTCGTCCTTCTATACGACGCTCGCGCCGCGAAGACGAAGACCGCGCCGAATGCCTGGTTGTTCGCCATCACACATACACTGGGCTTGACTGCGGTGTGCAGCGCGCTGCTCGCTGCATCTGCCCTCTTGACAGGATCATGGGACTTCCTGGCGGCTACTTATGGTGTGCGCCTTCTGCTGCCAGATCTCACACCGAACGTTGGCTTGTGGTGGTACTTCTTCATTGAGATGTTTGACTCCTTCCGCGAGTTCTTTCTTGGCGTCTTCTGGTTGCACGCAGCCTCCTACATGCCTGGTCTCACCATTCGACTGCACAAGCAGCCTCTTTTTGTTGCCTGCACTTTGACTGGTATCTTTGCAGTCTTCACGCCATACCCAAGCATCGCAGATGCAGCGCTGTACTTGTCCTTGGTACCGCTCTTCCGGCACCTGTTCCCTTGTGAGTCGCCCCCAGCATTGTGTGCCCGCAGAACTAACCGGTCGCTAGTGATGCGTTACACCTTCGTGGCATCCGCAGCTGTACTGTATGCATCGTTCCTTGGTCCTGCGTTTTACCACCTGTGGATCTATGCCGGCTCTGGAAACGCCAACTTCTTCTATGCCATCACGCTGGTGTGGAGTCTTGGTCTGTCGATCATCATTGGAGACTCCCTCTTTGCTGCTCTACGAGACGAGCTGGACGTGGAAAGGCCTGAGCTGAAGGGCAAGGACGTTCGAAGGATATAGAACCTGTTGTTGCCACAGCAAGAAAAATGCAAGTGGAAAGTCACTATCATTGCAAGCTCCGTCATTATCACATCGCAGATTCACAAAGGGCGTTGCAGCTACCAGGAGCAGTCTATAGGAGCTGCTGTCATGTGGCCACACAATAGGGCCACAACTTAAGACAGGCTGCCTAGAAGAGCTTCGTAGTCTCACCTTCACCTACCTTACTGAATTTCACTGTGATCTTGAATGTCTAACAGCAGACACTTTAGCGCATATTCTTACGTTCTTTAGTCGCTCCTGCAGGAAGATAAAAGAAGCGCACCGGCCCCCCTTCACTCAACCGTCTCCGACACTTTGCCACGTCCGCTCGACTTCGACAACTACCGAACAGCAGCGCGCAGATCTGTCTCGCACCGCAACAACCACCACAACATCATCTCCACTCAATATGTCCAACCCAAACGACTTGACTTCTCGTGAGATGGAGGTGCTTGCGCTTGCGTGGCAATGCATGGACACCGAGCCCAAGGTGAGTTCTCCGCCCAAGGCCAGCAGATCTTTCGCATGTGCGACGAAACGCTAACCGGCCATGCCAGATCAACACAAAGAAGCTTGCAGAGCTGACCGGCGTACGTAGCGAGCCACGATCTCGTTCCACTGCTTTACTGACAGTTTGCCAGTATACCGAAGGCAGCGCCTCCGTGACCATGGGTAAAATCAAGCGCAAGCTCAAGCTCAAGGCCGCCGGTTCGTCTAGTGTCGTTAATACCCCCAAGAAAGCTGCGACTCCTCATGTACCTCGCACTCCCAAGTCAGCCAAGCGCGGTGCTGCCGAGGCTGTTGCTGGTGGCACTCCCTCTAAGAAGGGCAGGACCAGCAAGCCCGCCAACGACGATGATGACGACGAGGAATTCGGCAAATTCTCGATCAAGAAGGAGGAGGTAAATGACATCAACGCCGGCGCGGACACCTTCCAGGAGACCAGCCACTACGCTGCTATGGGCGGCGATCAAGACTAGGTCTGGAGATGCATTGCCCTGAGCGCAAAGCGGTCACGAGCGGTATTATGAAGTGGATCACGATAGGGCAGCTATAGAGACTGTCCACATGGTGTGCGTCTGGAAGGCAAGAAGGTCAATAGGCATTTGGCGTTGCATTGCATTGGCATGCATATGGTTGTTCTCTTAGATACAAACTAGGGACGTCAAACTTAGATCTACGATCCTCTTTCTTACCTCCATCTTCATTTGCTCACTCTCACCGCTACCGTGAATGTTGTTCCTAAATGTGTCTCCAGCGCTTGGTGCTGTTACCTGCAGCTGGCTCTCACCTCTCCTCCTAGATATAAGAGCTACATCTCCTTATTGTCCGCAAGCTTTCCTTTCAATACTCTCCCGCTCGACACAACTTGATCTCAAAGCAACACCAACCCAGCACACAACCACACAACTCAAGCCCTCGCCCTCAGTCATTATGACCAAAACCATAAACACTATGACTATTCGTGAGAACGAGGTGCTTGCTCTGACCTGGCAATGCTTCGAGGCTGAGCCCAAACTGAGCTCTCAACATTGCAACATGTACCTGAGTCAACTCCGACAAGCATCAGGTCAACATGGACAAAATCGCATCTCTCACAGGCGGTAAGTACCCCATCACCAACACCTCGATGCTCGCCTCCGTATCTGACCATTAAAACTGACTGCCTTTCAAGATCTTTCCCGCCCTTTCTATCGCGCTCTCCATCCAAGAACCATGCTAACAGACCGCAGTCTGTAACATCTCCATGACTCGCCTCCACACCAGCACGACGCCCACCCACCAACTTCCCCATCCCTCGAGTCCTATGGAGCCATAGACTACCCACCACAGTACACAACCGGCTCCGCGCGCTTCACCCTCGGCAAGACCAAGACGAAGCTCAAGGCCATGGCCGCAGGTATCAGCGAGGACAATCCCACGCCGCTTGCGCGCAAAGAAGGGGCGGCAAGAAGCGCGCCGCGAAGGATGTCCAGTGCGATGATGACAAGGAGCAGGCCGAGATTTCCAAGTCGAAAAAGAGGGCTAAAAATACTGTCAAGGGCACGGAGCTGGGTGGCGGGAAGGTCAATAAGATGCTGGGTCTTGGAGGTGGAGAGGATATCAAAATCCAGCCCGAACCGGAGGATGTGGGTTTTGGTTGGGGCGACGGCGGGGATGGTGAGGAGGAGGCAGCATGAGGAGGTCTGAGGGCTCTTTTCTTTACCTACGATGTTGGCGTTCAGCTCGAAAGTGTTCGACACACGAGGGGAGCATGATCGGTAAACCGTGAAACGATAGCTGACGTCTTCAATGATTTGACGAACATGGCGTCATCTGCTCTGATACGGAATACGGACTGAATATGGACGTCTACATCTGGACACGTCGACTTTTGCTCTTGCATATCCCTCTTTGCTATCTACAGAAAGGAAATCTATTAAAAACTTCACAACTCCACTACTCCCATGCATGCTCATATCCGCTTACAACAGCTCTTCTCGCCCCACCCAATCGGTTTCTCATCTCACGTTAACCCCAGTCCCACACCCTCGCCGTTCGCCCTACTCTCGCTAGCATCCCTCCTCTCCCTCACGCTCCTCCCCATCTCCCTAATCCGCCTCCCCTCCATAAGACCCCTCAAGCCACGTTTCTGCAAACCCACAACCGCGCTCTGAACCCCGCTCCACACCTCCCTGTCATTCAGACTGCTTTTGCCATATTCGGAATCACTGGCGCTCGCACTAGTCCCCTCGCTGACCGCGGAGCTAACCTCGTCCTCACTCGGCGATACAGACGTATCGATCCGCAGCGCCCTCAGTCCGGCCGACATACTGCTCTCGCCCTCGATGTGCAGACTAGATCCGTTTGTGCCGTTAAGATTCGTGGAAGACAGGTTGTTGACGCCCATGAACGCGATACCGCTACCGCCTCCTGCGGCCATAGCTGCTGCGTTAAAGACGGCGGCTGTGTTGCGGTTGTCGAGCAGGACGTGCAGGCGTTCAATGATGGCTTCCAGCAGCCCATCGATGTGATAGGGGCGCGCGAGTTGGAGGAGTGAGCATAATATCTGTGGTGTGCAGAGTTGGCTGCTTTGGGGCGGGAGGGAGGATGTGTAGAGGTAGTGGATCAGCGCTTGGAGTGTGAGGTGAGTGTGCGGTAGATAAAGTGTGCGTGGACGCCGTGATGGCGGTTGTGTCGTTGGGTCGGGTGGCGAGAGGGAGTTGTATGCTGTACTTGAGACGGCTGTTGTTTCTGAAGAGGTGATGGTGTTTGCTGTAAGGGTTGTGGCTGCCGAATGGGTGGTGCGGATTGATGGCGTGATAGTTATGCTGGACATGCGAGAGGGGTGGCCGCCTGTGGCTGGACGCAAGGTTGCAGCATCTGCGCTGTCTTTTTCGGCGTTCTGTATGCTTTCGCGGAGGAGTTGGTTGAAGTAAGGGCCCCAGCGTCGTGCGACCATGCGCGAGTTGACTGGTATCCGCTCACCATGTATAGCGAGGAAGTCCATATCTGCCAATTCGCGCATGCCTAACGTGATCTGGCCAAGTTCGATAGCTGGTGGTGATAGTGCCCTGCCACCTGCCAACATATCGAGGCCATCACTCTGTGGTGGAGCGCTAATAGACCCAAATGAGGAGCTTGGCGTGATCTTGCGAGGGTTGTCATACAACCCAAAAGCCTCTAGTTCGACTACGCACATGTTCGAGAAGTTGATCCGTCGATGGTTGTAGTCTTCTACAAGGCTTCGTTTGCGGTTGCCCAGAATCACAAAGCTGTTTCGTCGTTGCCATAACACGCCTCGGTTCCAACTTCCTTGACTGAAGATGTTGCCCCCAGCTTCTATCCGGCCCCAATTTAATGTTCGCAGATCTAGCGCCCATAGTGCGTACTCTTGTTTCGACGATGTCAAGAATGTCCCACTGACGACAAAATGATTGTTGATCACTCCACCATTAGGGAAGCGTAGTCCTGGCGGTGAGAAGTTACCGTTCATTGGCCTCTCAGACAACGACCCGTCTGGATGTCTGACCTGGAGTTCCAGCTTGACGTCCAGGAAATTGTAGTTCGAATAGATGAGCATCGATGATTCGCCGGTTGGATTCGAAGATGGCTCGTCCAATGACCTAGGTTCTCCACGTGTCCCCGCACCTATCTCGTTGGCGGGCATGCTTGTCAAAGGTGATACAACGCTGCGGTACGCGCCGCAACTCCTCCCTAGTGTGCTGGTCGTCGTCCACTTCAAGCTTCTCAGATTGAAGACACTTATTTGTTCGATATAATGGTTCGCGCTGTCTTGTCCACCCACAACTACCATTTCAGCACCTCCATCGCCCTCAAGGTTGATACCTATCGACCCCTGGTTAGGGTTGCCGGATGACGGATTGTGCCTTATAGCTGTCATGGCAGCCCCAGTTGAACTGAAGACAGCAGACGATGGCAGTATTGTCGCGCAATGAGCGTAGCGACCCTGAGGCGCATCATTCGTGCCAACGTGCATCCAGGTCCTCATGGCTGCATCATAGATGTGGACGTCTGACATTACGACGACTTCAGGCTGCGCATCTGCTGGTGTGCCCTGCAAGATCTGGGTTGATTGGTTTGCCGGTGATGTCGCAGGCGACATACCGCCATAACAGACAAGCTTCGTGTCGCCGAGCGCACATACGCTGTGAAAGTATCGCGGAGGTGGTATATCTCCTTTTGTTTCAACCTTTGTCCAGTGGCGCTTGACAAGATCTAATTCATACAGATCGGATGTGAGTTGCGGTCTTGTCCGTGACAGTCTCCTTCCTCCAAACACGTAAAGTTTGTCGCCAAGGATCGTGGTGGTCGCGCCAACCAGGGGATGTGGTTCGCGACCAGTGGTACGATGTACATTACAGACCAGACCAGAGAGCCCTTGAGTTGAACTCGAGGGTGTTGCTAATCCAGCTGTTTGTGCCATCGCTGGCGACGGGGTCATACCCGACCCTGGTGTGCGTGCAGCTGAGGTTGGTGGCCTGTCGGGCCCACCTTCTTGGCTATCTTGTTCATGAAGACTAGTCTGGCTGCTGTTCACGCTTGAGTTGTAGTTTCCGCTGCCACTTCGAGGTCCGCCTGTATACAGCTGTGATGGTGACGGCGCCGATGTTTGTGAATCAATCGTGCTGGTTCGACTTCCGCTGGGCGTCTGTCGGGCCATCCTAATCGGACTCTTGGGCCGGTAGGCAAGAACAGGGATTCTGACCCGGTCAGGTTTGAGAGTACGCTTGATAGGTGACGTAGAATATCGGTGTGTAGGCGTGACCCAATCCGGTATCACGATCTCAACATGCCGGGACCTCAAACTAGAGGAGTCGCCAATTGAACCTCGATTTGGGGAAGGTAAACCGGAGAGGCTGGGGTGGCGACTCGATTCGACAGTCGAAGAGCGAGAAGAGCTGAGTCCAACAGAAGTGCAAGGGCTTTCAGGTGCTACGGAAAGATCATAATCTGGCACGACAATGGGGACGTGCTTTGACCGCGATCGATGCGACGAAGCAGAACTTTGAACAGGAGACAACGAGCCAGATTGGCCGGGCTTCCTGGCCGAATGGGTCCACCGGTACGAACGGATAAGGGAGCCTGCAGTGGACTCGTGAGAATCTCTTCTCTGCGTCGACAAAGCCCGCTTGAGTTTCAATGCTTTTGGCTTCTTCCAAATGGATGAGAGTTCGTTTAGAGGCTCGGTATTGGCCGCTGCGGAAAAAGCGAAAACACCTAGTGGGACGGCCATTGTCAGTGTTTGGTCTACTGGGGTAACCAAAGATCGAAGAATGACATGGAGGATGCAGAGAAACACAGAAAGAGGAGAAAGCCCTAGTTTTCAAGTACCTCAGACGCTCCCAGCTGCAGCGTATCTCCATTGCAGGCCTTGCCGCAAGGTGGATGACCACTAACGAAGCGATGCGCAGCAGAGTTCGAAGCCATCTTTGCAGATTCGGAAATGACACACGTCTGTTGTGCAACTGTTCGGTGGTTGACCAAGGATACAGCTTGCAGCACCAAGCGCCCTGAGGTGTCACAGAGGCTGGTGGAGGGAATATCGAATCTTGCAGTTCCAAGTCGTTCGGACAATATATAGCTCAGCTGAAAGGCCGAGTTTGGAAACCCCTCCAAGACAAAAGGAAAGCACGTGCGCAGGCTTTAATAGGAGTAAGGATGGTGATGGGAGGAAACGAGGGGTTGTGAATGAGATCGCTGGCCTTACCTCAAGAACCTTGCCCTGCACCAGTAGCGGGCGGGGGAAATGCGACAGCCGAACGGTCGACGCGGGCGGAAGGGAAGACGTGTTGCGAACTGGCGCTGTGGAGGCAGCACACCTGGGCAGCGAGGATGAGAAGAGCGAAGAGGCTGTTGGAACCAGTCCAGATGCAGCAAGGGCTCTCGGCGTGAGCTGTTGTCCTTCCGTCCTGCCACTCCTTGCACCAGGTTCCAGCTGAAAAGAAGAGGCTGAAATATCGACAAAAAGTGCGCTCAAGGCACCAAAGGTATAACGGCAACGCTTGAGCGATATGACAGTAAGCGGAGTAAGTTCAATGCGGGTCTTAAATTAGTCCCCGTCAAGCTGCTGGTGTGCGCCGTCGCGTGGTCTGGCCTGCGCTAAGATCAGCTCGTCTCCGAGCGGCCAGTAGACGTACTACTACAACTGACACTTCTCGAAAAGAGTGCGATCGAAGATGGCGCGCTTGCGTTGCTATTGGGCTGTTGCAGCACAAGACAGGAACCAGGTGTGTTTTGTTTCGCTTGGAGTCTGCCGACTGGGCCGACTTAAGCCTATCTCCTTGGTGGCCGCAGACTGCCGCACAAGTCAACGACGCGAGTGCAGGCTGCGTTGTCCAATCTGCCTTGGTACCTGCTTCAAATGTCTGTCAACTACCACCTGCCCTGCAGGTACTCGCGCGGCATTATAGCGAATCAAGAGCTAGAAGAATGCATTGCGGACCTATCAGCACATCGAGTCCGACATAGGCTCCCTGAAGAAACGTGTGGACAGCGGTAACCCTGGAATATCTGGAATAGTAAACATCGCATGTCAAGACCTACACAGTACGCGTCAACGCCGCGTCTGCGAAGCTCCTTATTTAGACATCGACATGGACCTTAAGCAAACATGCATTGAAATGAGCAGGGGTCATTAATGGTTTTTATTATGCCGAGCGTTTCAGCCCTACGAAGTAAATCGAGTCCACGAACATCTACAAAATCGGATGCCCAAAAACACCCCACTTCAATCGGAAGGCACAAGGTCTAGTTATTAGAGCCAGCCCTTTCAGGTAACAGCCCAAAATTGAGCTCGCCATCTACGATGCCCGATGCTTGTATTCTCCGTATCTACTCCGAGAGCTTCATGCAGCTCCCGCAGTGCCCACCGGTCAGTTGAGACGTTCATGCGGCAGTGGTCTTCTCCTTGGGGAGAGGAGTGAATCGGAGGTAGGGCTTAACAATCCTGAAGTCAGGGAAGAGAGTCTTAGCCTCCTCGTTCTTGACGCCAGGGTGGACAATGACATCGTCACCAGGGACCCAGTTGATGGGGGTGGTGATCCTGTGCTTATCGCCGGTCTGCAGGCTGTCGAGGACACGAAGGACCTCAGCAGTGTTGCGGCCAGTGGAGGCGGGGTAAGAGAGGATGAGACGGATGGTCTTCTTGGGGTCGATGATGAAGACAGAGCGGATGGTGAACGCAATGCCCTTAGAATCAACGTTGGTGGCATCCTGGTGGTCGATCATGTCGTAGGCAAGTGCGACCTTGCGCTCCTTGTCACCAATGATGGGGAACTTCAGCTGAGAGCCGGAGATCTCATCAATGTCCTTAATCCAACCCTCATGACTGTCAATGGTGTTGGCAGAGAGACCAATGAGCTTTGCGCCGCGCTTGGTGAACTCAGGCTCAAGCTTGGCGAAAGCACCAAGCTCGGTAGTGCAGACGGGTGTGTAGTCCTCGGGGTGGGAGAAGAGAATGACCCAGTTGTCACCGATGAATTCGTGGAAGTCGATAGGGCCCTGTGTGGTCTCGGCCTTGAAGTTGGGAGCAGTGCTGCCCAGACGGATAGTCTCGTTAGACATTTTGTGGTCTGTTCAGCCTCGTCAGATCTGTCCAAACACTGCAAACATGAGGGGTAGCGGGGTAGCGCGGGGTGACATTGGAGCTTCAACTGAGCACTACAGGGGGCAATCCTTACATGAAATGTGAGTGTGTCTTGAAGACGGGTATCTGAAAATGCAATCGTTGCGATGAAAATAGCAAGCAGGAGTTGGAGGGGCAGTGAGGCGCTCTTACGCTTTTCTAAGACCCTCTGCAGCGAAGCTCAAAGACCGAACGCAGCTAGCGGGCATTGCGCAATACTCACGTGTTGGCCATACAAGAGAATTTCTGCCATCATACATCCCACATCGAGCTGCGTTGGGCCAATCCCTCATTCCGCATCTAGGGCGGTGTCAAATTGCCAATGGTATGCCCCCCAATGCCCAGAGCACGAGATGGTGCGGACACGTTGGAACAGCAGACTGGACTCGCGCGATTTGAGGCCATCATGGTGCCTTCAGCTTCTGCGCGCTCCAGGCACAGCCCGACGTCGCGTGTCGACTATTGTGAAGCCTGCTCGGAGTCCGAGAGTTTGTCGTTGGTGGGCGCCGTTGATCAAGACCGTATTAACGTACCATCAGCGGTATGCCGCTGACTGTCGATACGTTTGACAACCAAGCGCGGCTCCTGAGAACTCTACTCACAGACCAAGAAAGATACACACGATAATCTGGATGTTCCAACTGTCCCAACCTCGGAACAAGACTATCTGAGTCTCTTGGGGTGTTTTCGACAACCTGCTTTCCTAACACACATTGGTGGCATTCGTTGAGATGCAAGAATCAATCGTTGTCGGTGACAATCTTTTGAAGAAAATCTCGGTAGTCTGTCTGAGTATGTCACAGACGATACCTAGGCAGTCGCGACTGGATGAAGCCGACAGCCACGTAGCGAATGTGAAGTCTCAGAGGCGGCAGTCACTGCGAAGTGTACGCAATGATCGAACCTCCGCAGCACTCAACCGCGAACAAGAGAAATAGATTTATCTAGCTACGGTCTCTCACTCTGTAAATCATTTCGAAAGGGTAAGATCGGAGTTAGGCGTTAGCAAGCGCTCCATTTGCAAGCAGCGAGGGGGTTTGCGTCAGCCTTCGGCAGCGCGGCAGTATCCGCAGTCAGTAGACGCTGATCGCCACTGTATTCGTGGGTTGCTCAAGTTACATGTACAGGTCTTAGGGTAGGCTGACAGTACAATCGTGAGCTCGAATGCGACACCCAAGAAGTGATTGCCATTCGCTATAAGTCCATAGTGGCCAGCATTAATGGTCGCACAGCAGACGCACATGGGCTCACGTCAAGGGCTATGCCTCTGCATTGCACCAAACTCTCTCCAGCTTGTGAGCTCTACCGTCTACTCCGCATGACTCATCAACTGCGTTTACCTTCCTCTCTTTTCGAACCACAAGCTCCTGGTTTTGTGCATGCTCGCGGGAATAAAGCGGGATGACAGTAAATGGCGTCCTGGCGTCTCCCCACAGCGCTTGGGGAGCTAACGTTAGATCATAATCCGAAGCCCGAGTGATCTCCACTGCCCAGGAACACTTGCCTCCATGCTCCCTGCCTCGCGCACGCAAGCTGAGAGCAGCCCACCGCTCTTTCAACGACAGTATTTGCAGCAGAGTCATAGCGACGAATGCTCCGATTCGTCAGAAGTAACGTAAGAGCGTTTAGCTGCTCTCCACTCAACGAGCGTGCAGCCAGCCTCAGCCAATGTTATTCCCGACAACTATCAGACTTCTCTACCAGCGGCCCGGATCTGTTGAAACCAGCAGTAACTCCGGATAAAGCTTGAGCTTGCTTGGTTTAATCGACTCGCGGATGCCCAGCTTTTCTTTACGGGTGGGTTCTTCTGGGCTGTTGGGACTATGAAGCTCTAGATCTTGATCTCATCATCATTCCCACAACTTGGCTCGAAATCACCTTTACTCATTTCCTCGAACCTCAGCTAAACTTTGACAAAGAAGACGCCTTGGGCACGTAGATGGTAACATGTCGGCCAGCCCAGAGATCGCATTGCCGAAGGACTCAGAGTTGGGAGTCGAGACACTAATTTGCAGTCCGGAAATAACGACCTTCCCTGTGGACAACTTCCGACGAAGTTCTGACCCCGCTTTCAGCAGCAGCAAAGATCTGGAGAGAGGAAGTTACAATGAGCAGGAGGAGGATGTGACAGACAGCGCGGTTCCTGTTGATCTCAGTGATGGGGAAATTGTTTGGCGATATCTGACTTTTGAGATGGAGGTTCCACATCCGACAAGCTTGCATCCGTCAAAACGTATGACGACGGGTGGCGAACATTGCCCACCTCCAGAGTCGCCAGACCTTGTCAAGTACACAAACCCGTTCGATTGGACTGAGAAGAGAAAGAACTTCACAATATGGGTTGCGTGTGCCATCACAGCTCTGACAGCCTATGCGGCTGGATCGTACACCCCCGGTGTTGCGCAAATGTCGGCTGAATGGGGCGTTAGCAATGTTGCCATCCTGGTTGGTATCACAACCTTTACCACAGGTATGTGACCAGGTGTTATTGAGCGGCACATTGAGAGCATGTCTAATGTTTGTACAGGTTTTGGTGTCGCACCCATGGTGTTGGCTCCATTCTCCGAGATCAATGGCCGTCGCCCAGTGTTTATCGCTTCCGGCATCCTGTTCGTTATCTGTCAACTATGCACGGGCTTTACACAGTCATACGCAGGCATGCTCGTCGTTCGTTTCTTAGTCGGTGTGGGAGGCTCTACGTTCTCGACCATGGTGGGCGGTGTCGTCTCTGATATATATCACGCCGACAGCCGCAACACGCCGATGGCCCTTTTCTCTGGCGCTGCGCTATTTGGAACAGGCTGGGGCCCCTTGGTGTCTGGCTTCATTGCACAGAATCTGTCGTGGAGATGGATTTTCTATATTCAGACCATGGCGGCTGCTGTGATGGTTGTCTTCATCTGCATTATCTTCAAGGAGACACGAGGCTCCGTGCTCCTCTCACATAAAGCTAAAGCTTTGAACAAGTGGTACGATGAGCGCGAAGCAGCAGGCTACTACGGCTTCAACATTCCGGATACCGAGAAGCCGGAGATCATGGTCTCGCAGCGAATCCGGTGGAAGGTCAAATCCGACGAGGAGCGCGCCTCGCTCAAGACCATGATCAGCGTATCCTTGTACCGACCATTCCACCTTCTTTTCACTGAGCCTGTCGTCTTCTGGTTCTCGCTATGGGTCGCTTTCTCGTGGGCTGTCCTGTATCTGACACTCGCCGCCATCCCACTCGTCTTTCAGAGAAACCACGGCTTCTCTCTGCAGCAGTCCAATGCCGTCTTCGCAGCAATGTGCGTAGGCGCAATCATCGCCAGCGCTCTCTCTATCTACCAAGAAAGGATCGCCCGCAAGGCTGGCAAGTTCACCAACACCCCAGAAGATCGGCTTTACTTTGCATGTGTGGAGAGCGCATGTCTGCCCATTGGCCTGTTCATGTTCGGTTGGACGAGCTCAGGCAGCATCCACTGGGTCGTACCAGCAATTGCCATCTCAATTGCCACTATCGGCATCTTCACCGTCTACCTCTGCGTGTTCAACTATCTCGCGGATACATACCACCGCTACGCCAGTTCAGCACTCGCGGCTCAGTCGTTCTGCAGAAACATCCTGGGTATGGTTTATGCCGATAGATCCTACACAGGAGCATTGCTAACATGGGTATAGGTGGTGTCTTCCCTCTCGTCACAACTCAAATGTACAACGACCTGGGGTTCGGGCCGGCAAGCAGCTTGCTCGGAGGCATTGCTACTCTACTCACAGTGGTTCCGTGGATTCTAGTCTTCTATGGTCCGAGAATAAGAGCGAGAAGCAAGTTCGCGAGTGAGATAATGAACACATGAGTAGGCGATCGATGTCGCTGTGAGGCCACAGATGTAGACTTCAAAAGTAATATATTCTTTGCACAGAAGAACGTCACAGCCGTCATCATGAGGGTTCACGTTTCTGTCATTAGACGAACACCTTGGCTTTTCACTCGAGCATACTTTCGCGTGAAATCACCTTGAGATAGCTTATGACATGATTGTTTGAACACAGACTCGGAAGCCTGGCATTCCAAAGTGAGTCTATTGTCGACGCAAACTAAGAACAATATTTCTGTCCCAATCATCAAAGTCCATCGCTTCTACACGCTTGGGGTTAACAAAGTTAGTTTCAATGTCATCAGGGTCGATCATGAGGCGTGCAGCACATCGTTCATCTCATCAGGAGGTATTCTATCGCGCCATTTACAGTACAATGTCTGCGATTGGAAGTGTAAATCGTGGGGTCTAAGAGCTGCATGATGCGGAGATTGGCCTCGAGAGATTGAAGCTGAAAAGGTCGGCATTACTTTCAAGAACATAGTCGCTCTCAAGGCGCACTATGACAGGATGTGGAGGAATGTAGATGGTGTTACTATTTGCCGGCTATATTGAGCGTCACGATCAAGGTCCTAGAGGCTTACATGCGCCAGGCTGGCGTCTCACCGACAGCGAAGGAGCCAACATCCGCTGCGATACCCTGCAGTCTCGTCTCCACCCATTCCTTCTCCTTCTCCACAACATCTACTTCGATAGTCTGCATGGTCCTCAGCTCTTCCAGTAGCCCATCAAGCAAACTCTCACAGCAACTAACAATAGTCGCAATACTCGACCCAGCACCGGGCTGAGCCAATCCGCTCATATCCCGTGCAAAGCAAGTCAGCTTGCGCATGAGCGCCGCATTCTCCGATTGCCACTCATCCCCCAGCCCCTCAATCGATCCCATGTCGCCCTCTACCCGGTCCTGTCGCGCTGCACGCACCTCCTCGACCCACAACACCCACTGCTCGAAAGCAGCGACGTGCCGCTGGAACCGGCCGCCATTTTGCGTCAAGGAAGGAAGTTCGTGCAGTGGGCCAGAGAGGACTTGGATGTGCTTGACTAAGCTGCCCGATGCTTTGCCCCCGGTCCATTCAAGGAGGGCCTGCAGGTTCTTCTGCTCTTGACTGGAGCGCTCGCGCTCGAGCATCACTTGGTACATGCTGGAGACTTCATCGAACTTGGTACGTAATGTGCGTTTGGCACTTGCCTCCCACTGTTTGCTGACTTCTGCGGCGTCTGAGTGGAGGAGGTGCAACTGCAAGAGATCCATTTGCAGAGTGATGAGCTCAGGTGATAGACTGTTGTTTGTCGTGACTGGGGCTGGATGGAGGAATGTTGAGGTTGGTGCTTTGCCTGTCTTGCGCGGTGTGAAGTGTTGCTGCAGCGTACTAAATGCAGGCCTGGCGGGAGCTTTCTTGGGCTCTTCGTTGACCGGTTCTCTAGGTTTTGGTGGCGGAGCCATGGTTCTCGTGTGTGGAGGAGCAGCCTCATCAGGCTTTGTTGCTGCTCTGGGTCGCAAACCACTATTCGATGCACCGGGCCTTGTCTTGACACTTTCTGACCGGCTCAGCCCAGCAAGACGCGTGGAGACCCTTGCAGTTGCAGATTCTGGCTGTGACGAACCACTGCTGGCCGATGTGGCAATATTGGAGGGGATGTGCACAGATTTTGGCCTCTCCGCAGTAGTCCTCGGTCTTGTTGTATTGCTCCTATTCAGTGTTACAATGCTGGTGGATTGGGTGCGCAAGTGAGACGCGGCAGGCGCAGAAGGACTGAATTGCGTTGGAGCAGCTGGTCTGCGTAACGATTGTGCTCGCCCAAGTCCTCCTGTCGACGATGCTGCAGAAAGTTTGTTCAATAGGCTGGGTGGCCGCATTGATTGTGATGTTGCCGGTTTCTCGACTCCGGTGGTCTTCTCTGTTATGAGTGCTCCTGTCTGATATGTGGAACGTGGTCGAAGTCGTCCCAGCCTTGAACCAGTCACAGAGTTGCCGCGAGTCAAAGGTATCGAAGCTGATGATTTCGGGGATTCAGGAGCACTCATGTTGGAGTGGCTATTATCTGTAAGTTCCATTATGGATCCTGGGCATGCAATTGTCCTGATAGTGGAGGTCGGCGTTCCAGGTTGCGGCAGGAGACTGCGGCGCTTTGGCCGGACGCTGCTCCGACTTGATGAGGGTGAGGTTTCACTGAGGCTGTCGCCGTGATGTTGATCCATCGCATCTGCGATAGGCCAAGGGCTACAAAAGAGGTATAGGTCAATGCCTGATGTGATTGTAGTGGCTCATGCTTCACGCGCTCGTGCATGTGAAACAAACAAGGCGGGCAGTTGCTAGGCGGGCTTACTCATCACGGCGCACAGACACTCTTGCACAAGCAATGACTGCAGATGATCAAAGTGGAAGGTATATTGAACGAAAGGTTTCATGATCTATTCGTATCGAACCTGCGAGCGAGTGGCCCAATGCTTACTTCGAGAGGCGACCTCCGCACGCCGTGGTAAGTCTACATCGCGAAAGCACAAACGAAAGCTCTGAAGGTACCTATCAAAGGCTTACAGCATGCAGAGTGAACGACTTTCCAATCTCGATCCGAAGAAAGCAAGGGACTGATATGCACGAATAAAGTGGTCCGCAACCTACAGGCTGCCGCGGCGAGACGGGAATGCTACGCCATCAATGGCGGGGTAGTCGACGAACCAGCTGACTCGCCCTTCGCCCTTGTGGTTGACCAGACCGCACGGCAGCTGGTGTCCCTCGTCTGAGTCAAAGATCTGTTTCATGATGTCTTTCTTGCCGGCGCCTGTTGCTACGAAGGCGATCTGAAGGCCAGCCTGCGCGACAGGTAGGGAGATGGTGATGCGTTTGGGCGGGGGTTTGGGTGAATCGGTGATGTACAGGACCCAAGCATCTTCTTCCCGCAGGAGGTCAGAGCCGGGGAACAGGCTGCAGGTATGGCCGTCTGGCCCACAGCCTAGCAGAAGTAGGTCGAAGAGGGGCAGTTTGACGCTGTCTCGTGCAGCGAACACGCTCACAAGCGTCTTCTCGTACTGGTCAGCCAGTTCTTGAACGTCGTCCAGGTACTTGGTGTCGATTGGGTAGACCTTGGGTGTGCCTAGCGCGGACGGGATCTTGTCCAACAGCTCCTCCTTCACAAGCCTGTGGTTGCTGTCTTCGTGGTCGAGGGGCACGGCGCGCTCGTCAGCGTAGAAGATTTCCCACTTGTCGAACTGTGGCTTTCCTTCGCCGTTGGTCTCCTTCAGCAGCGCCTGCGCAAGGGTCTTCGGCAAAGAGCCTCCCGAGACTGCGACGCGAAAAACATTGTGGCGCTTGATCGCGGTATTCTGCGCGTCCAGCACGTAGGTGCGTAGGCTCGGAGCGAGCTCGTCGACGTTCTTAAAGGCGTATAGATTTGGTGGCTTTCCCATTTTGGCGACGCGAGGTGGTGTGGTGTGATTTTTGGGGGACGAGGTGGAGGGGTTGTGGCAGGACAAGCAGCAAGCGGCCGTTGGCGGGGCGGGCGGATTCTCACGATAGTGACGTATCGTGCAGACCTCAACCAGGCCCATATGTGGGATGGAAACCCTTCGAACCGGCCTGTGCGTCCTCTCAACCAGGCGGCGCAATGACTGTCAAATTGGAGGCCCGCGACCGCCGCCTGCCTGATTGCCACGGGCAATTGGGCCGACACGAGCGTTTGCATATGCCTGCCCGATGTGCTACCGCGCATTGCGCCAGAGCCTGATGCCTGAGGCCGCTCAACAACGACATGGCGACTTGAGGAGATAGGGAGCAGCGTCAGGAGAGGCATAGGCCGAGTACAAGTACTCAATGGCCACGCACTTGCATGTGTGCACCGTGCACATGATCGAATCGCACGCTTCCAGATGTTCACCTGAGCTCAGCTCGCGGTAGCGCAGCGCTTCCAGATACCTGCGCTAGTCTCAACAGCGCAGCAACACGAGCATCACATTCCACAGCCGTGCAACTGGGATAGGAACAACAAATAGGTACCTAGTACGTCGCAGCAAGTCACTGGTAAGGCTTGAGGGTCCACCTGGGTGAAGAGGATGAATGTTTCGCTTGCTTCATATGTCCGGCTGACATGTGTAAGCCTTGTTGTCACTTGGTGTTATCGTTCTCAAGAATACACTCAAACCCTTCTTACACATCATTCTGTTGGAAAATCTTACATCTAGATCAACCCAAAAAGGTAAATAAAAAGTGCCCAGCTCAACATGGACGGGCTCAAGGCGTCAAAGGAGGTGAACGACCGCTTGCGGGCAGTAAGCAGCAAATGTTGATGATTAGGAGAACATCGAGTCCTTTGAGGTGACCGGCTTTGCAGGCTTTTGACTTTCCCATGCGCCTTGTCGTCCCTCTGACCTGAGCGTACGATCCACGGGGTCGCCGTACATTTGCCACCGTTGCGTATGCATGTAATCATCCCTACACAGAGGTCTGCCGCGTATGAACATGTCCGTTAAACGCTCAACAGCCGTCTACCGTTGCAGCGGAGAGATGGGTCCCGTCCGGTTGTTGGTGCTGCTGTTGGGGTGGGTCGGTCTTTCTGACAACAAAGAGAAAGTTTATCGTTTGGTACACCTGTTCCCTACGCGAGGTTGAATGCGGGGAATTGAACCGCAGAGCAACCGGCTCCACTTTGGCTCAAGGCAACATAACGATCTGAGGCTTATCAAGTGAGCATGATACGCAGAGTCGGGAGGGGTTGTTACATAAAAACCGTATATCGTACGATCTCATGGCAAAAGTCTAGACAGATCTTCACAAGAACCTTCCTTGGAAATCGCCGCTCGCTATGCAAAGCGGCGTCTGCGGCAGCTAGGAAGCATCTCCGGTCCTTCTGGCAGCTGCCGTAAGCTGAAGCGCTCTGTGCATCTTTGGGTGTATCGGAGCTTCGATCTGGGCGCCTTTCCACTGCACCGGACGCAAAGACGGGCACCGTGACAGTTGTAGAGTTCAGCTGCGGTTGCAGACTTAGTCCACTGTCACCAGCCCCAGCTTGTGAGGCGCTGGTCCAGAGCCGCCACACCTTACGAGCCACCACGAGTGATGTCTACACGATCCTCTTGTCATTCACAGCCCGCAATGCCTACGTATCTGCGACATCCGTCCGGAGTGCTGGACTTGAGCGCATTCTCACGCAGGATCGATTAAGAGCTGATGCCCTGATGAGGTGAAGGCTGGCGTAGCTCGGTAGAACTTACGCTGGTGCAAGCTGTCCTAACTAAGAGATCGTGTTTTAGTGATGCAAACAGCTGTCTTCCCTTGGCGCTAGTCTCTGGACAGGGTGGTGGCAAACCCGAGATTCCAATTCCGGATGTTCAATGCCAGCATTCGAACTGTGGTCTCTCGCATACCACAACTGGTTGCCTATGCCGGTGTTGGCTCAGCGTGTGTTGGCTCAGCGTTGGTGTCGCCGTGAACGTTGGGTTTGTGTCTTGCGTTCTAGAATGGCCGGCCTCTCCATCCCAGCGGTGCGGCCCGTCTAGACAGCAAACCACTCGCTGCAGGTCACGGGCCCGCAAACAGAACAGCAAATTGTCGCGGGGTCTGGCATGCGTTTACATTGCTCAATCAATGTAAGGGGCGTTGCGGTTGCTGAGGAGATGAAACTCGGTGGCCGGAAGCTGGAGGTTATGCAGAGACGCGTTGGCAGGCTTGGGTGCTGCAAGAGTGCCTAATCTGAGGCAGCCCAAGCGTTTAATAAGACTCATCATTCGGCTCATGGGTTGAATTGCGGCCACAGAACTCGCAAGCTGTGTGGCTGCCCAGCAACGTAGACGATGGCTGTGCTGTTGGATGCGAAGTCAGCAAAACACATCACCACGACCGGTGTCTGGGGCGCGCAGGTAGCCTGCGTGAGCCCTTGCAGCTGCACCCGAGCCTCCGCGTTGTGGGCAGGAGAGTTGACAGATGGCTGATGAGTGGGGACTCCCTGGCTGGATCGCGCCTTCTGTCTAGGATCGAGCCGGGATGGTCTTTCCAAAACCCCGAAGGCAGAAACTGCGCACCCCAGCGCCCGGGAGATCAGGGCACGTTGCGAGCCAATCAGCTGAGCAACATGGGTCACGCCTTCCGTCGCTTGCGATTGGTCACCCAGCTGAATCGCACCGATGCTCGATCGCAACGCCCTTGTGTCCCTATATCAAGTTGCTCCGCCGTTGGCGTTCTAGCAATAACAGGTCGGCCTGATCACCAAGCCCCCGTCATACACAACGAACAGCCGCGCAGGCATAATGAACGATCTGCACCCCTTTGGACCTCCATCCATCTGCTACTTTACCTTGCCTGTGTCCACTTCACATTATTCCGACGAAACACCTCAACCATCACCTCAACCTGTCTTCTCCTCAGCTACATGGGCCAGTCCTACCAATCCACTCTTAGCACATAGATCACTACATATGGCGGGCCCCACCGTCGACGCTTCACGGCTTTTGCAACTGCAAACCCAGGCTGCCCACCGCCCTTCGACACAGCCACTCCAGCCCAAAGGCAGCCCTTCGCCAAGCAACTCAGATTCTAGCATGTCGTCGCAGCGTAGCAGCATCTCCATGTCGCTGTCAAACCCACTCTGCTGCTGCCGCTGTCGCCGCGAGTCCCACGGCCATTCAGGCACGTTCCAATTTGGCACCAACCTCTACTACTGCAGTCATTGCGCCAAGATGGTCGGTTACAGCGCTGGTTGAAAGACCAATTTCTTCGGTTGTTGTGACCAGCAACAATCTCTAATTGGACGATATCACTATAACGGCTTTCGGTCGACCAGCCCAGTGTCTCCACCCGACTTTGGTCAACACCTTGACCATCACGCCACCCAGTACACATAGCATCATTGCTACCACCGGCGCACTATCGTCTCATCCTGCAGTCCACTTTCAGACAGTGGAAAAAGAATTGAGAATTCATTAGCCTCAATCAGCGCAAGATTACGAGCATGGAACATCGCACCAGGTGTTATGGAAGGTCACATGCACAGGATGCAGCGAGAAGAGCCGCTTTTAGGTGGTCCAAGAGGTGGATGAAAGCAGGTCTTCACACCATGATCGCTCGGGCAGCTTGGAGTTTTCGTCAGCTTGAGATATGATACCCGTCGCTTCGAGTGTCTCTACTTGATCCGTATTTTCATGCCCAATTAATGAATTCATTTCACAACCACACACCGCCTTCATGATGCCCAAGTGATTGCATTGCGTGAGGCCGAAGATACTCTACCCTAATCTTTATATATTGCACTCATCTTCCATACATGTACCTGACTCGTGTTGTCGATGACCTGTCGCCGACGATCTTCGGATTTGTGACTCCCGCACCATTAGGGCTAACCACCGCAAGCTTGACAGCAATCTTATCTGGAGAAGCAAATACGATGTCCTCAAGAGGGCCTGGAGTGCGTCTCTTAGTAGCGAAGCGTTCAATACCTAGTCGCGCAAGTCTTCCATCCATCCCGAGTATTATTATTCCCAGCCTGAACCTGCATCATGCAAAACTCAATCAAAGGAAAACTTTAGCCGCAAACATGTGCGATAACAGCCACCGATCCCAAGAGTACGGCACTTGCGGCAGCAGCTGCCAGTCCGTATCTAATCTTGTGTGTGACCCACAAGGCCCGTGGTGTTTGACCCTGACCTGTAGCTGCCGATGCACTTTCAAAAGTCGATGCAGTTGTACCCGGTAAACGTGTGCCGAGCTAGGCTCGGTGCTACTAAGTGTGCTAGCCATTTGGAGTCAAGGCCTGTCGATCAGCTCGCGCACCGTCAGTCAGGTCGTTCGTCAGGGTCCAAAGTGGCTTGGGCGCCGACTGAAAAGTCGATGAAGGCGCAATTTCCGAGATGCGTAAACAGAGTCCAAATTTCCACGGAGCGCGTGGACGAGATGAAGCTGGTGATTCAGAACCCCATAGCCCACGCGGATGCGAGCACGGTTGAGCCTTGAACGGCGATACGATCTTGTGCAGGGCCTCGCTCCGGTGAAACGTTTGGGCGGACTTGGAGCGGCCTTGGGATGTGGCGAGTGAACGCATCGTAGAACCACGGCGCTAGGGTGTCGCATCGATAACACACCTCGATGCCGATGCGTGGGGCGAAAACGCATCCAGCGTGTTTCAACGTCGCTCAACGCTGTGTGTCCACTGATGTAATCGATGCAAAAGTCTCAATCTCCATCATGCCATCGGCCCTCAACTGAGATCTCGACAGTCTCACATCAAACCCACCCCTCTTTCCCAAGTGAGATCAAACCTTCTCCCCCGTCTCCGCATGTCATGTGCCAACGACTAATTGATCATTTCAGTCCTAGCTCTTAGCCCCTGTCCAATCGCCGCGAACTGTCAAAAGCCCATCGACGATGCTGTCCTGGATCGAAAATCTCCCGCTTTGTGGAGTGTCAGACATCGCACGCCTCCAAGCAGCAACCCTGCCCGGATGAGCCGTAACTTTGGCGCGATACGCAGAGGCACTTGTGATGCAGAAACATTGGCCGCGTCGAATAAGAAAGTTAAGGCGGCCTTCAATGTGGATCTGTAGGATACGCGTCGACCCGCCTGCTAAATGTGCATCTAGGTAGTTAGCCAATCGAGATGTTCGTGTTCCACCTTCGATGGGGTTTTCATCAAGATGGAAATGGCGTGGAAAAACGTCTCCCGTAGTGCAGATCTGTAACGGTGTGCTCCTTCAAACGTGATGACATCATCGTCTCTGGTCAGGACACACATCCACGTGTGCGGTCTCGATGCGGCTTTCAGTGGGTTATGGGATCGCACGATGAAGGCGCGGTGGTGTCTTGAACGTTGCCCCTCCGCAGTTTAGAGTGCCTTAGAACGACTAAAAACAGATCTCACGATATCCGCCACCGCACCTGCCAAATCTAGTGGCTCGCTGTCTCCGCACGCCTCGCTGCATCGGTCGCATCGGTCGACTGACTTTGCACACGCCTTGCAAGCGTGACACTCCGCGGATCTGGGTCCCAATAAGGCTCTTAAAGGATCTGCTAGCGACCGGAAGCCGTTCCTCCCCTGTACTCGAATTTACGAGGGAATCCTCCGCCAATGTATTTGCGATGAAGCGCCTGGCAAAGACTCGAGAGTCAAGTTTCCTCCGACAAATGCGCTTGGCAGACCTTGGATGCGCTTACAAAGAATGCTGCTTTAACTATTGAACTCGCACAGTTGTAACAAGAACATATCAACCACCGGAGGTGTCCCGTGAGAATGTCACAGGGCACTGAGGGCTGTCGACCGGTGTTGCATGAGACGGCGACCATCGTGTATTCAGTCGAGCATCCGCGTTCCGGGAACGAGTACAACGCGCTAGCAGACAGGCGAGGAATCAAATGGCTCGTGCGCGATCGCGTCCCCACCAACACATGCAACACCCATACTTCTCTATAGTAAACAACCCACCACAATGCCTGCAGAGTCAATTGCGCGTCGCAAAAAGTTCAAACATAAGCAGTATAACCTTATCCGACCTTCAAAAATAAATCGCCCTGAGCTGAGCAAGATTGAGCGCGCGTTCGCGGTAGGTGCTCTCACTGCTACATGAGGCGACTATGCCAACCAATGCGACCTTGCAATGCTTTGTGGGACGAAATATTATATGAGAACGATCTGAGACGTGAGAGAAGTCGGATGTTGACGCAACAACAAAAGGACGCGATTATCCACATCACCGTCAACCCACGCGACTCACGTGAGCAAGAGAGCTGGCAGGCTATTGCAAATGGCAATTTCAAAGACGTTGTACCAGAAATAAGCGTGACAACGTTTGAAAACGTCATGTACGAGGCAGGCTACGCGCGTCGCCGTCCAGGTTGGAAACCGGCACTCACCTCCACTCAGGAGAAGAAGCGGTATGAGTGGGTACTCGCCCACAACCCTGTTAAAGATTGACAATATTCGCTACCACGCCCTCTCATGGAGGGAGAAACGATTACGAGGATGCTCGGGCACTGCAAACGTATCGGTCGACAGTCACGAAGGGAAATGCCGCAAGTCAAATGTTTGGAAACTTAATTTTCGATGAAACTAATCGATTCCACAATATGCATCATTCATTCACAGCTAATGAACTCACTACCTGTTTATGGTAACATGATACCATCACCACCAAGCTTGGCCTCATGCAGGTTGGTAAACACGTCGAGCGGATAATCCTGCTCTCTCAGCTCTCTCCTCCATTGGTGCATCCTCCTGCTGAGCGCCTTCTCGTGTACACTCAGCTCCCTCTTAGCCAGCTTAGAGCCAGTAGGGTAGCCGCCAAGGTCTCCGGCAACGCAGTGGCTCTTTCCACCCCAGGTTGTATCAGCTACAGCCTTCCAGATCGCAGTAACATCGACGGTCATCTGCTTGGTGTACAAGATGCGGCAGTCAGATGGCTCGTAGACGAACTGAAGAGGCGTCTCCGTCTCGTCTCCGTCACGGATACCGTCCCGGAAGTTGATATTGACTGCACTGCCGATGGCAAGACGATCGAAAACAGTGTCGCTCCAGTACTCGCCCAGTTCGGTGCTGTTGAGCTTGGCTGCCTCGGTGCTATCAGTCAAGTTGTTGACTGTGTACTGGACCAGCGCCTGGATGTAGGTCCATCCAAGGTTGTTGGTACCCTTAACACCGCCAACGGCCTGGGTAATACCCTCACGAGGGCGACCGCCAAGCGAGACGTACTTAACACCAGCACGCTGACGCATGAGCTCAGAGAAAATAGTGCAGGTTGATGCACAGTAACCGTCAGTGACAACCACAACGTCTTCAGCGGCGAAAGGCTGTTGGGTGTAGTTGTTGAGGGGGCCGTATCCGTGGACGTAGATGCCTCCCGAGTTCAGGGGCGTCAAAACATCAGAAAGGTTCCAGCGAATAAGGTCGCTGAAGTTGTCACCCTTCTCGTGGACAAGAGGACCAAACTTATCAGCCCAGTCGACAAAGTTGGTACCGTTGGCCGAGACATCGGATTGATAGTTGAAGAGCGAGGAAACGACGGTGTCGGTAAGCTCGAACAAAGTCTCGTTCTGCTCCTCAGTGACAAGCTGGCGAGGAAGACCCTTGGCAACTTGGGAGAATTTCTGGCCGAGCAGGTCAGTACTCTCGAAAGCGCGGAAGCGGTCAGACGCAGCGTGATCGATGTCGTTGGGGAAAAGCAGCTTGTACAGATCGTATCCCAAGAGGATAGTACCACCACCGTTGGCAGAGACATCGACAACAAGCTTTTTCTTGCCAGCAGCCTTCGCCGCAGCGAGGAACTTGGCAGCAGTGTCTTGAAACCCCTTCTGGGCATTGATGCCTACGAACGAGGGAACAGAAAGGACAGCAACGTCAGAGTAGTCGTCCTCGAGGAAGTAGCCACCTATAAGGTTGTTTGCCTCGCGGACGACTGGAGGTGGGTACCCAGGAGCAGGAATAGGAGCGACAGTGGCAGAAGCAGTTGCCGAGGAGACAGCAGAAGATGTGACGTTTGAGGAGGCAGTCGGTGTGGGAGTGGCAGCAGTTGGCTGGTTGCCGGTGAACCAGATCTTGTACAGCGCCTCGCCGTCGTTGATGCCATCGAAGGGGATGAGGACCTTGGCATAGTTCTGGAACGACGTGCTAGTGCCGTTCTCGAACTCGAGCTCAGTCGTTGCGCCAGGGTAGACCCATCGGCCGCGTCCGCTGCCTGCGAAGGTACCGATGCCAGATCCAGAAGGACCAAGAGAGACTGTGGCCAGCTCGTAGAACACGTTGTTGTACAACGCGTCGCGGTCCTGGAGTGAGCCGTACTGGGCCCAGTTCTCCAAGTAAGTCTCGGCATCCTCGCCATTAATCTTGGTGATCGGCGAGGAGATGAAAGTTGCGTTGCCGAATGACTCAGCGAGAACATCTGCATACACGTACGCCTTAGGGAGCTCCTTTCCATCGGCAGAGACCGAGACAAGGGGCACAGGGCGCGCGAAGTTGAAGACTGTGCCAACCACGTCGGGGACATACACAAAGTGACCATCGTGTGTGCTTTGGAGAAGGGTGTACAGCTCGAATCCGAACTAAAGGAGGTCAACGGATGCATTCTAGATCGTTGGCTTCTTGCGCACCTCGAACTCATTCTCGTACTTTCCATCAACAACCTTGCCGCGAATCTCCTCGAGCTCGCCCCAAATATCGACAGCGGGTTGGACCTTCTCAGCGTATTCGGCTGGCGGGTCCTTCAAGAAAGCAGTGTTACTCTGCCACTTGAAGTAGGGCACGACACCGTCGACCAAAGCTAGAGCAGCAGTCTGGTTGAATGGCACGGAGGTGATGCACTCGTACGCCAGCTCAGCAGCAACAGTAGGAGTCGCAACGGACTTCTGCGCCACGGCGGATGCGCTCACCTGCGCGCAGGGACTTGATGCATTCTGGCGAGCATATAGTTGTCCTTGAAGAGGCGAAGACAGAGCAACAGAGGCAAGGGACAAGCCCGCAGCGGCAGTTGTGAACCGGACCATGTTCGCAGCAATTGTAAGACCGAAGCACTTGCGAAGAACGGATGGCAAAAAGGAAGATATCGGAGGCCTTCAGTGCATTTATACTCGTGTTGCAATCAAGGCGCTTCATAGTACCAGTACCAGTACCACGGGCTGTTGGATGTTATTTACGTTGTATCCTAACAACTATCCATGCAGGAGGAGGCAAATCGACCGATTGCAGCCAATGAGAAAACCCCATGGTAGCTTGAACGGACGTCGAAGATGCCTATGCTCGAGACGATGCCCAAAGAGGCAGTTGTGTTGCGATAGTTCCCGTTTGTAGATCGTATCCAGGAGGGGTTTGGCAGCCGTGCGCTTCCTTTTGCGCGTGTCCGGGCAAGTGTGTGGCAGAAGCACAGCGATAAGATCTCGCCAGCCGCAATGACTGCGGCCTGCTACTCCTGACAACTGGCACTTGAGTGAGACCGAGTGGTTTGCGAATCAGCTGTTCGAAGCTTTGTGGCGAGACGGAAGCTCTTGCAAGCATTCATCCAGAACAGTTGTGCTAGGCTTTATGAGGCAGGAGCTAAGGAAATCAAGGAAATTACGGGTCCCTGCCTCATAAACTCAGTCCGGCGGCGAACTGCAAAACCTTGAGTCGTATGTTACAACTCCTGCCCGATTCGTCATAGTCTTTAACCGGCATGAAGTCGCTGCGAAGTGGCAGGGTAGCGATTGCGTGCGGCGTGTCCAACGGACCGTAACAGTAGTTACAGTTGCTAATCATCACAATTAAAGACAGATTCTTGGTGTTATTACGTACCAACAGTTTAAGGTAGAACAATTTTACTGCGGTAACAGTACTACAGACAGTAGATGACAAGCCTCTACCTAAATGGTCAGAGGGGGGGGAGGGGCGAAGGTTGGTCTACCTCGGTCAATTTACCCCTGATACGCCTATTTCCTATATATACTCAGTCACGTTCCTTCACCCGTACTACTGTCAGTAATACTGTTGCTCCTCTCATTACGCATCAGGTACCGTACGGTCAACCTTCCCTCTATAATCGTACCGATCAAGTGAAAGTACTACGATCCGTTGGACACGCTGATTGCGTGCCAGCTGATGATCGATGGCGAACACTACTTTTGAGTCTACGTAGAGTGACTACAGCTTCCGATCAAGATATTCATATCCTAAAGATATATGTGTAGGCGATGTACTGGGCCACGATTGACAAAATCTGCCAGCACCTCAACATGAATGACAGCGAGGCATGCTGCACGCAGTCTTGCAACAAGCCTAATGTGTTACCGCACGCTGCAAGAGCCTTTGCAATACCTCTTTTGGGCTAAGCGTCCTCAAATTCGTGGCTCTCAGTACCATATGTCCGAGTTACGAGTATATTCATACATATGGTGATGCTTAGCCTTTCCCTAGGTTTGCCAGCGATTCGCAGTGAAGGGCTGAAATCGTGGTGAAAAAAGTGAGCGGGTTCTGCAGAGTAAAAGCACAAGTATGGAAATGACCCGACCCAGGAGAAGATGCACGAGTTTGAGACTGTCTATTCATCGCCACAGCCAGAGGCTCATGCAAGCCGAGTAAGCCTGCCAGCGTCGCAACTACCAGCAGTATTTAGAGATAAGGGGCGAAATATTTGAACAACGGACCAGGGCATATGAGTCTACCCAAGATGTGAGGCCACGCTGGATAACGTTACATCCGTCATTTGGTGCTAGTTAACGATACGAGGTCTTATACTAGCACGAACTCGCTGCCAAAGTATATGTTCGTAGCTTATCACTTTGCATGGGGCTTCATCAAGCGTTCAATGCGTTCAATCCTCGTCAACCAATAGTTCCGAATCTTGTCGTTATGGCCTCACTCCAGCATCCAAGCATCAGGATCGTCATACGTCTCCTACAGCTTGCGTTCGCCTTCGCCAGCCTCGCAATCCTGTGCATTAAACTCTAAGCGTACGGCTTCGCATTATGACCATACTTTCTAGATTCAGATATACCGCTGGCCATACTCACACTCTCAGCCACTGTCGCCGGTATCTTCCTTTTCGGCAGAACGTCGGTTTCGCAGCTATACCAGTATGTGCTTCAAGGATGTGCAAACACCGGCGTGTGTCATGTATGTATCCACAATACTACTGGGGATAGGAACCAGCACCGTAGGCGAACCACCTTCAATATACCGAATCAGCCGACTGACGTGGAGATAGCTGGTGGCGATCGAACTGAGTGAGAGGAATCTCAAGCTGTGAGGAACAATGAATTGCGCACGTCATGTGTAACGATATTCCTGCCCTGTGCAAGAACAGTCGAATCGTACTCATCTATTTGACTGTGACGATCGTAACTCTGGCCGTTCGTTTGGGCTTGGAGGTACTGCAAAAAAGTAGTGAGAGTAAGAGTCTGATGAAGGCAAGTCGCCAGTGTAAGAGTCTTGATTGACATCAATCACTAGAGCTTAAAGCATGATGCGGAGGACTCCAAGAAGGTCGGTGCAAACAACAGTGTCCCTAGAGGGAATAACGTCTATAGTTATGGGGTGCTACCAACAGTAAGAACCCGTACCAAACCAGGATATGTGCAAGGTTTCAGAAACCACAAACCTTGCTTCGTTACATCCGCGAGATTGACATTGAGTAACATTGCAGGAAACTGTACCTCATCGTTGTTGGTGATACCATACCCAGACAATTTGGTGACATTACAAACGACGATCTCCGCATCAGTGCGTGTCAGCCTTAAAATAATATCGATGACTAGTTTCCTTTGTGTCTCTGCTATGGTGATTGCCATCCGCACCTCTCTCAACATAACCGTTCGCCTCTCGCAGATCGCTTTTGCATGCACCATTCTCGCAGTGTCACTCTCCCTGAAACACATCGATGGGGATGCTGAGAAGTTCCTGAATCATCCGCCGACCCTTCTATTCGTAGCCGCAATCGGCGGTCTGACCACCGCTGGTGGGCAGTTTGGCCTAGCTCTGACATGGTACACATATCTCGTCAAGTATGGCCGCGTGGTGGATCTGCTGGGTATCGTGCTCAATCTGGACGCTGGATCGGTAAGTGTATGCCTTGTGCTGGGAGCCAGATCGCTGGTAGACTGGGAGCTGCTCGCGGTCAAAGTTAAGTGGATAAAAGAAGACTGCCCGACACAAGGTAGGTGGGGAGAGATGTACAATGGACTGAGAGAAGCTGCTTGTGGCGAGGGGTCAAAGATGAGTTGGCTGATTGGCGACAAGTGCGAAAACGTGGGGTTGCGATGCAGATTTAGTCGAATTGCATCCATCCTGTGCTTCGTTGTAGCAGCATTGCTGCTTGTGACTCTGGCGTTCGGGAGCTTTGTCAAGGGGAGGCCTGGACCTCCAGCAGTAAAGGCGAGTAGAGCGACCGAGGACATCCTCAGAACAGCTTGTCTTACAATTGGCAGCGAAAGTAACGCCAAGACGGCGATGTTGAGATAGACACGGGCATCCAAATAGCTTGAGCTGTTGATTTCGTCTCGGTTCAAGCGCGATATGCCGGAAGTAGAGCCAGCAAGGAAGAAAGAACGGGGGTAAACAAACAAAGTGGATTAGATAGACACTCGAAGAATTGTGGCATGCTCGTACTTAGATGTCATTCGCTCCTATCAATCTCCTTCCTGAGCCATCATGGCTTCACATCGCTATCCTTGCTTCTCTTCAGCATTGTCCACCTTGCTTTGCTCAAAGCATCAAAGTCGTCTTCTAGACAGGGCATGACTACTTTCATGTTAGACTTTGCTATCTCGTATTTCTGGAGTCACTCACGCTGCCGCAAGAGCTGCAGGACTTGTTGTCGCCGTCGATGCTAGCACCGCACTTGGGGCAGCTGCCGTGGAAGTTGACAAGGACCGTGGATGACTGCATTTCGCTTTTTGTGCAGATGTTCGGTTCTCTGTTCGTTGGATTCGAGGAAGTCGGTTCTGTTGTTGCTATTGTGAAGTCGGTGATAGCCAAGTGAGGTTGGAGGGGTAAGTGGGGTTGATATGGGAGCTATGGCAAGGCTAGTCAGCTAACGCATGCACCTCAGCTGACCTGGGGGCGGCAGCAGCGCTGTGTGGCCTGATTGGGTACGGTGCTGGCGAGCGTGGGATGAGTTGGTGAGAGAGAGCCGGCCAGGGTGTTGCAAGATCGGACATGGAAGAGAGAACATCCCGATGCTGACGGTGAGCCAGCAACAAGGATGTGGAGCCCATGGATGGCTTGTGATTCGCCTCTTTTACCGATTCTCTACTTTACCTGATGTGACAGATTACTTGGCCGTTGATGACTGCAAACCAGCCGTCTTCCTTCTTCTCCATCTCTCGGAATGTCGCTGCAATTTCCTCGAGCTCAGCCTCCGTACCGTGGTTGCCGTCCAGCACTCGTTGCTTGTAGTCGCTCTTAATCGTCCTGTCCGCCCAAAGGCCGCACCACTAAGCTGCTATCAGTATTGCGTCGGGGATGAATTGTATGATGAGCTTACCCAGGCTCGTTCCTCGGGCGTAGAGAAGCACCAAGACCCAATACTCGCCTCGATATCCTGTCTAGGTATCCCAGCCTGCAGTGCAATAGAATGCAGCATCTTGCCCATGTTGGGATACGCCTTCAGCCCCTTTGCTACCCTGATGTATAGGTCTTTCCACTTCTGCATGCCTGGGTGCTCGGGGTACCAGTCCATAGCGCCGTAGTCACAGTCACGCACTGCAACAATACCACCTTTCTTTGTGAGGCGCACCATTTCCTTCATGCAACCTAAAGGATCCTGCAGATGTTGCAGTACCTGATGTGCGTGGACCACGTCGAAGCTGGCTTCTTCAACACCATCAAGACCCTGCCAGTTGTGGATGTCGCCGACCTCAAAGCGTACGTTTGTGACGCCCTTCTCCTCAGCATGTTGTCTTGCTTTCTCAATCACATCGGCGGAGGGGTCGATCGCGTACACGAAGCCCTGCGGCAGGCGAGACGCGAGATCGACTGTGATGGTGCCGGGACCACAACCCACATCGAGGACTTTTAGATTGGGTCTGAGGTAGGGAATGAGGTGAGGCGCGGAGTTCTCGACGGTGCGCCAGCTGTGAGAGCGAAGGACCGAGGCGTGGTGCCCGTGAAGGTATGGCCCGGACATGGCTGGAGACCGAGGGTGTTGTCAAAGATATGTCTGTTCGGTAAGCAGTTGAATTATGGGTGTCTTCGCAAGAAAGACAGATGAATGCAGGCAATGATCGTAAAGCTGCTAGCTGCGCATGGGAGCTTTATAGCTGAGCGCCAACCGCACGAATCCTATAGCTACGGCTGTGCCGACTTCGCTGCTTTGCGAGTGCGGAGATATGCGTCACTAGTGAGCCTGTGAGATGACTACGACTGAAGCCGTTCGGAGGATGTTGCGTCGATGATGTCGAGGGGAAAGCATCCCCTCAACTCCTCCGATGCCGGCCCATCGAGGTGCTCACTGCTTAGTCATGTCACGGCCGCACAACTTACCATGCCCGCCAGATCTCATCATCTTCCCTAGCTCGCCACACATCCTGCACCAGTCCCCGACCCTCATATCAATCATACGCTCGTCGGTGTCATTCAATGTCGGCAGGCGACAGCATGGTCATCTTAAGGTCGTATGAGAAGCAGAGCAGCGGCGAATGCTATAACCGCTACTTCTTCCGCATAAATCCATAAGAGGTTGAAAATAAGTTCTTCTGCCCGACTCGCCGTCTGTCGTGGTACCATTTTGAGGGTGCCGTGGTACGCCTTCCCGTGTTCCGTGTCGACATGACCTAACCAGCTAGTTAAGCCTACTATGGGCCTATTTGCTCCAAGTTTGCAAGAACACCAGGACAGATAACAAAATCCATCCCCTAGAGTTGTTGCTAAGATGCTAACTGCGAACTCTCTGCTGTTGCCGGTGCCTCTTATACATGCACCTCTACAAAACTCATCGGAAAATCGCAGAAAGCCAACTCAGTCCAAACCCCCCTACTGCAAACCGAGAGCGGAGAGCTGTGCTAAGGAGGCCAGGCATCGCCAAAGCGTCGAGCAGTAAATGCGCCACTACCTGCAATCGTTGTACCGAAGCTCTCGATCATTGGAGTGGCATGCTGCGCTCTGATGCAGTCGCTAATCCGCCCGACACAATCCTCGACCAAGGATGGATGATGATACAGCACAGTAATCGCACCAGACAAGCTCCCCAAAGCAGTACCGAGTCTACTCGTAGTTTTTTTTATTAAAAAAACATCTCCGCCTAGCAGGTATGCAGCGATTCCCTACTCGCCGTCCTTGTGATTGTGCACCATGCCCACTTTGCTCTTGGTGTAGATTATCAGAACTGAACAGACGCGGATGCCAGTTATCTCAATCTCATAGTCAGATCCCCAGCTGTAGCCTTTGGTTTCGTCCATTCCGAATTTTGTATGTGCCGCACGTTTAATCAAGTCCGCAGCTGCACATTTGATGCTCTCTACACGACTCCGCCACCATTGCTAGTATTGTCACCTTCAATGATGTTCTTGTTCAGAGTCAAGTCCCGCCCTAATTCCTCGCGTCTGCATTTCTCTCCAGTATAAGGCTTTGGATTCGTGGGCTAGTCAGGCTTTTTGGGGTCTGGCGTCGGTGTTGGCGAGCAGGCAGGTGAAACAGGCAAGTGGCTGTAGCAGTATTCATCAAGTCAAGACATGGGAGGCTGCTTTCATCGTATCCAAGATGATACCTGAGCAACGCCCAGATAGTGCTCGCAATCTCCCATTTGGCACAAACACACATTCGCACCATCTCTGCAGAAAATGTAGTGCCGGTTGTATCTTGCTTGATTAGATTGTTGACGTGTCTCTAAAAGAACATGACCAGAGGTACAAACCCTTGGGTCGGTGGTCTCCACCGGCGGACTTGGCAAGGTGCTGTGACTTATGCCGTCTTGTCGCCGAGCTGCCTGCTGATGTTTGCCAGCGGGGTTGATGTCGCGCAAACTGCTTGCTCATGGGAGGCATAGCCGGACTCCAGGTTCCGAAGGCTTCACCGAACGCCTGCAGGTGTCGAAACAGCAGCAAGGTGCGTTCTGGCTGAGATGATTGAACGTACTTGAGTGGGCACGAGCGAGTACCGGCTGTTGTACATTTGATAGGCAGTCTTATTTGAACTCGTTCATTGAAGGTAGATGTTACCAGCTCATTGCTCATCATCTATGTTCCAAATCAACCCAACATTACGCCACGGGTCGTCTACCCCAGATAGCCACCCATACTACCACTATATGCACTCGAACACGCGTTCCACAACGCAAGGGTATATGATATGAAGAAGGAAACAACGCAGCCTTGTCGGAAAATGTATGGTATGCTCTAAGAAGCAGTGTTGAGCGCAATGCCAAAGTGACGTCGAGATGAATGCTGAGTAATGGCGTATTGCGCCGCGCTATGCACGAGTAAAAGGCCGCTCCAGAAAGTGGTGTGATTTGAAGGAAAGAGTAACAAAGTAGTCGTAACGTTACGCAAAGTCGACGGGGGTTACGAAGCCTATGATGGAGATCGTCGGCAAGGGTATCGGTATCCAAGTCGGCAATTGAGGGGTTTCGCGGAAGGATGCGTGGACCGGTCCGGACTACGCCGCAGCGTGGATGGGCGTTGTCGTCTCGTTCGATTCGGGAATGCCGCAGATTGGGCCTCCAGATTGCGCGTTCAGCAGCCAGTCTGCGTTGTCGAATTGGGCGTTGTGTTGGCTTTCCCAGTCTTTCCGCCACATTTCGTATTTGAGATCCCATCTTTGTTGCAGCCTCTTCCGGCGCGCTTCTATTACCGTATTGAGGCGCTCCAACTCCTGCGCGTGCTGCCATTCTTCCGCGGCCTTGTCCTTCTCCCACTCTGCGGCCATCTCCTCTAGTTCCGCCTCTTGCTTTTGCATCTTCAGCTTCATCGCGCGATCTTGCCGCGACCGCAGGACATTGATTGCGCTCTCATGTTTTCGGGGTAGACCTTGCTGAATCAGGCGTTGACGGTCGAGTTTCTTGAAGTCGTCCTGCGTGACCGTGTGCGCAAGGTCTGGATCCGGATTGGACGAGAGGCAATATGCCTCCATGTGTTTCAGTGCTGTGGCCACATTCTGTGTCTCGAGACGTTGCGCTTTGCGCATCGTGTCCTCTGCGGTGATCTGTGCGTCTTCGAGGTCCTCGAGCTCGAGAATATGCTGTGTAGCGTAAGCAACTTGAGCGACGTTACGCGGTGCAACTTCGCTTACCTGCTCCTTCCGCGCATCCTTGTTGTTTTCGTGTTGGGATGCAAGCTGTTCAAGGGAGTAACACTGTTGCGCGTGGAGGTCGTTCCGCTGTCTGCTTTCAAAGGCTGATACCTTTTCCAGTTGCTCTTTCTGCTGGGCTTTGAGGCTTTTGAGGGCTTCGTTTGCGAGAGATGAGCTGCCGGTCGGGAGCTGAACGGAGCATCGGCGAGGTGGGGTATTTAGCATTGATTTGGAGATTACGAGTAGTCTCGTCTTCTCGGCTGGCCGGGGCAACTCAATCGACGACATGCCGTTCTCGCTGTATCCAGAATCCCGCAGTGAACTCAATTCTGGTGATCGCACGGCGCCTTCTAGAACACGGTCCGTCTCTACTTTGGTCAAGACAGCGTCGAGGGTGGCTCGCGGTAGTGGGATACCGCAGCAGCTGGGTATGGCTCCTTCCTTGACCAGCAAGGCCTCCTTGATGTGAGCGCGAATGGCGGAGGTGGACAGGGAGTGACCGCAATCGAGCTTCGGCCCTCGGTGTTTGCCGTGGTGTTTGTGGTGTGAGGGCGAAGTGCAAGCGCTACACGGTCAATCAGCGGGGTGCTCTCACCACACAGCGAACCAGCCTACCTCGAATTCCTCCTGAACATGGAGAGAAATGAAGCACGTTTTCTGCGTGTGCTGGTCTTCTGCAGCGATGAGGCGCTTGACGACATGGAGTGCGCTGCTGAGAAGGTCGACGTGGTCGAGCGGCGCTGCTTGAAGTCTGCCGGGAAATAGTCCATGGGCGAGTCGACGGCAATGGAGACTCTGGCAAGCGTTGGCGTGATTTGCGGTGGGGGCAGGCGCTTCGCTGGAGGCTGATCCCTCGAGGTCCAGAAAGGGTCCGTCAAGCCAGTGGACTGCGTCTGGTGGGAGTGGATTGAGAGCGAGCTGCTGCGGGCGCTGCCTACTGTTGTGGTGGACACTGCTCTTGAGATATCTTGCACCGGGCACAGGAACCGGTAGGGATCCTCGATACCAGACTCGCGGGCCAATAGTGCGAGCTGCGCATCGACGTCGTCCTCACTCTGGTTGACGGGCAGGCCAAGTGCTTCGCGCAGATAGGCGGCGTCGTCGAAAACTTGCGTGGTGGTGAGGGCGTTGTCCCTCGGCGGTTGAGGCATTGCGCCGGAGCGCGCATACACTTATGATAACGATGTCAAGACGGACTCGAGCGACATGCGGGTGGGCGTGCGTTGTTAAGGTTTGTGGTGTTGCTTAGTCTCGATGGCCTTCAGCTGCAAGGACCGGATCGGTGCCCATTCAGAAGAAAGGATCAGCAGCGCGGGCACTTCTTGACGTGGGCGGCAGGCGCGAGTGGGATGGGGGGAAGCGGCGGTGTGAATGCTACCGGCTGCTAGGCGCGCTTCGGCAGACTGCACACGTACATGTACGTGTAGTCGATTACGGATTGAGACGTTGTAGATTCTGGGATTATGCGCCGGCACAGTAGTGCTGCATTCCTCGCAGCGCGGGCCAAGCATCAGAAGGCTGCACCAATCGCCCTTTCATAAGTACTAGCGAACACCGGCTCTCAGCTAACACGGCTGCAGCTACCCGCCGAAGTTACGGCTCGCTGACAAGGCCCTGCTCCCTTTGAGCCCATCACCACGCCGCACAAGGACGAACAGCGTCCGGACTTTCTTCCCCCACGCATCATGTACAGCTACAGCCGGCGTTTTCGTACGCGCCCACTGTCAACCCAGCAGTCTCCACAGCACCCTGCATACAAGTCTCCGCTCAGATCACGGCCGTGCGAACAAACACAGCACACACGCCGGTTTGCTCATCTCGTGATGTCCACACCAGCCAACCGCGATCCCGATATGTTTGACGTTCCGCTAGCTGCCAATCGCGGAGGATGATTAGGCTTCACCGCCTGCTAGCGCATCGCAGCTCGGTGACGCTAGGTGGTCCACGCCGGAGTCCTGTCAATAATGTCCGTCATGCGGAAACCTTGGACGCTCTCATCATCGACCATGGAACGGACCTCCTGTTCGCTCATTGAAATGCATTCGCTTGAGCCAATCAGCGCGCCGAGGTGGGGAAATGGTGGTCACTTGTAGCGCACCATTCGACGACACGTCGGACGGCTAGTCTGAAGGGGACTGTTGCGGGCTTCAGAATAGGAAGGGTCGGCGTCCTCCTCTGCTCTGGTTCTGCTCTGGCTCTGCTCTGGTTCTGCTCTGCTGTTGTTGGTGCACGATGCAAAAAGTCCACCTCAACTGAGCGGTGCTGAGCATGTTGCGGCACTTGTCAACTGCCGCCTGCCTTGTCAAACGTCCGGATCGAGCATCACCGCTGCAGCGGGCCGTGTTGTGTTCATCGAACGCAAGGGAGCAAAGTGTCACGGCATCGGCTCTGCGATGGGACAGGAACCGCTCTTTGTGCGACGCCCACCCGCTACAATGGCAGTCGCCGACTTGTGCTTCTAGACAACAGTCCCGCACGGCAAGGCACCGATGGCGGTCTATTTGCAGCCCGGAATGGGCGTGCCCGCCAGCAAGAAGTGTTGCTGCGCGCTTGCCGTCGAGCTCGTGATGGATGCGGCATGTGAATAATGTACACTTCGCAGCCGCTCGCAGACACCACTACCTATCCTGAGCCTCCTGTGCGACATCCCACCCACATCGCATCGCATCGGTACCGTCCTAGGGACTGCATGTTGTACGTGATGCAGCCAAGGCGCGCATCATGCAGGGCGAGCGTCGCTAAACGCACCGGTGAACGCTGCGCCTGTATACCAGCAGCTTCCTGTCGGCAGACAGATGGTCCGAGACAGATGCAGTAGATAGTCCTGTGCCGAGACAGATGCAGTAGATAGTCCTGTGCCAAGACAGATGTAGACCTGTTAGCGAATAAAAAGCGGGGCCAAGTGATTCGCACGATGACACCAGACCAACGGAGGGCACGTCTGTGTGTCATTACGAGCCCGCGTCCCGTCCGCGACAAGAAAGCTTGTCTGCGCGTCCTGCAAAGTAGAGCCTGCGATGAGGTTGGAATGAAGATGTATTTATTACAAGGACTAGAAGCTCGGCGTATATCCATCGGCCGTTACAAGGGGTTTTGTGCAGGGCGAAGCGGTGCAGAGTACAACGTGCAACGTACAGCGTGATGGGGGATGTGCGGACCGGGCGAAGAAATGTAGAGTACAGTGTACGGACATGTAAAAGGTACAGTGGTGTATGCAAGGAGCGCGAGTCAGCGCAGTGGAAGGTGATCAGCGCAGGGGAAGGTGATCAGCGCAGTGGAAGGTGATCAGCGCAGTGAAAGGTGGGCAGCGCAGTGGGAGGTGATCAGCGCAGTGAAAGGTGGGCAGCGCAGTGAAAGGTGGGCAGCCCAGTCTGCGCTGGTTCAATACGTCCTGTCTTCCTGAACGCCGTGGGTTATGCAAAGAAATACAGCAGACGAGACAATGACCGTCTATCCCGAGATGAGCACCCACAAAAGGAAGACTGCCGCGCGTTAGTCTGGAGACGTTGATGTTGCACGCAGAAAGGAGGAGCTTACAAATCATAAGCACACCGAACATTTTCGCAACGAGCCACCTGTTGCCCTGGACGCGACTCCAGTACTTGATGAGCTCGCGCTGCGCGCCCTCGACGTTGTCGACTACATCCTCGGTGTTTGCGTCGATGCGCTGGATCTGCTCGCCCTGCTCGGACACCATCTGCGCCAGTTGGCTGAAGATGCCTCCCAGCTCCTGGATGGTGGACTCGATGGATTCTATCGCCTGGCCGCGCTGCTGGATGTATGCGTTCTGCGGCTGCGCCTCCTCCATGAGCAGCAGCTGTGCGTCGGACTGGGGGCCGCCGCGCGTGAGAGCCGACGAGCCCGAGGGATCCAGCGATAGCAGGTCTTGGTGGGCGGCGTTTGTGTTCTTAAACTCCCCTGGCGAGCGGCCCCGTTGCGGGGTCTGGTAGAGCGGGGAGTCTGTGCGGCCGGGGTCGAGGGTCGACGACGACTGCGCGGTCGAGAGGAACTGCTCCGTCCGCGAGCGCGATGCCTGCATGTTCTTGGTCCGCACCTCGAGCACGTTCTTGAAGTTTGTGCCCACGTTCTGCAGTTTGTCCTTTAGCAGCAGCACGACGTTGGTGTTGTGCTCGCCCTCCTGGTCGGCGCCGGGCTTGGCCTTGGGGTGCAGCTTCGCGTTCATGTGCTGCAGCCTCTGGACCTGTCCCGAGAGGGCCGTCATGTCCTGCTTGATGACAAAGGTGAGCTCGTCAAACTCGACGGGGCGGTCGTCGAACAGCGTCTTGCGGCGGGCCAGCTGCGACAGCCGCTCCAGCTTCTGCATTGTGCTCGCGACTCCGCGCGCGACGTCGGCGGCATTGCGCGCAAACTCTGAGCGCTGCCGCTGCGGCGAGTGGCTTGCGCGCGCCCTTTCCTGGGCTGTGAGGAGCGACTGGCGCTGCGCTCCGGTCTTGGCCTGGGCCTGTCGTCGCTGTGCCTGGGCGAGGATGGAGCGGAACTCGTCGGTCCGGTCCTGGATCGAGACGGCCATGGCGGCGGCGGCGGCGGTGCGCAGAGGTGCGGCGCAATGTCCGAGCGTCGGTGACGGTGGTCGGGTGGGTGTGTCGCTTGCGGGTGGGTGTGTCGCTCGCGGGTGGGTGTGTCGCTTGCGGGTGGGTGTGTCGCTCGCGGGTGGGTGTGTCGCTTGCGGGTGGGTGTGTCGCTTGCGGGTGCGTAAAAGGGAGCAGTGGTGTGCTGCGCTTCGGAGCCGGCGAGAGGCGCGGGCAGTCGGCGGCGCGTCTGGCGCGGGGGCAATAATGCGTCGTGTCGGGCGCGGAAGCAATGTGTCGTGTCGGTCGCGGAAGCAATGTGGCGTGTCGGGCGCGGAAGCAATGTGGCGTGTCGTCGTGTCTTGTTGGCCGCGGGCGCAATGTGTCGGGTTGGCTCGATTCAGGGCTGGGGGCCATGTTCCCCGAGCCGGCCACCTCACCCGTGAGTCCCCGTGGCGCAGCGGTCCAGTGGCGCAGTAATACAGTGGCGTAGTGGCGTAGTGGCGCAGTACAATGCTGGCTGCTGGCTGCTGGCTGCTGGCTGCTGGCGGCTGGCGGCTGGCTGACGCATCGTCCCTGGCCCTGCAGCGTGAAGCCTGCTTTGGGCTCGACCCGACCCGCGCTGCTCTCGCGACCTCCCATCTCCACGCTCTCTTGCGCACGAAGCGGGCACCACAGGCAGCGGGCACCACAGGCTTCCGCGGCGCCGCTACCCAGACGGCCTCCCGTCACTCGCATGCGCTGCGTCCTCCAGCCACAGTAGGGCAGCAGCCGATCCACGCCTCGCGCACGACCAAGCAGAACCGTCGGCTTCTGCAGGCACGGACTGCAGCCTCACCTCCACCATGTCGGGCCCGTTTCGCTTCCACCAGCCGGCCGCCCAGTCGCCGCTGTATGTGGCGTCCCGCGCGACTTTGTGCCCGCCGTGCGCTGACAATGACGCAGGGAGCGAGTCGCCTCCCCCCTCGCCGCGGATGGCCAGCCCGTGTCCTACAAGACCAACGTGAACCGCTCCAAGACGAAGAAGTGGGTCGAGGCGAAGAAGAACGCATACGACGGCGACGACTGGGGCGACTACGACGAGTACGACGAGTACGGCGTGGACACGACGCCGGACCCCGACCCCGAGCCCGCACCCGCGTCGAACCCCCGGCCCTACGGCCAGCGACCGCAGTACGACACGCCGTCGCGCAGCTTCACGGATCCCGCCCAGCAGCTGCCGCTGCCGAGAGCGCGCAGGAACTCGTTCGACGCCGGCGAAGAGCAGCGCGCCTTCTCTGCGTCTGCGCCCCGCCCCCAGCAGCCGCCGCCGGCGCCGGCGCCGCCGGCGCCGCCCAGCTCGCCGCCACCAGCCACCCAGTTCCCGCCACCAGCCACACAGTTCCCGCCACGCAGGAGCAGCATCGGACAAGGCGGCGCCGCGCCCGCCGACTTGGTCCCCGCGGCCTCGTCGCCGCGAGAGCGCGCGGGCAGCCAAGACAAGCCGCTGCCCTTTATCCGACCCGCCGACATTTACAGGCGCGTCGAGGAGGAGCGTCGGCGGGAGTCGATGGAGTCGCAGCCACGACCCACTCTCGACTCGCTCTCCTCTCCGTCCAGAGACGAACCGCCGTCGCCGGTTGCGGACAGGAGGACCCTGCAGCCTCTCGAGACGGTTGCCGAAAGGCAGAGCGAGTGCCTGGGCGACCTGCACGCTGGACCACATGCAACAGAAGCGCAGCGGCCGCAACAGGACCGAGTCCCGTCTGCGCTCAAAGGCATCTCGACCTTTGACAACGAATTCTGGTCGAGTGGGCCGGACCTGCAGGCGCCTGCCAGCCAGGCGCCTGCTGTGTCACCCACCCAGGATCAGGGCTTCCGCTCGGTAGTCGACCAGGCCTTCACCCGCAGCGATGACTCGCGCTCCGTGCCGCCCACGCCTACATCCAAGGACTCGGACTCTGATGTGGACCTGAACAGAAGCCATACTGACAGTGCCTCTGGGATCAGTCCCATCATGAGCCGAGTGCCCAGCTCTGCCACGGCAGCGCTGAAGAGTCGCCGTCTTGGCGACGGTAGCACACCCGTCATCGCAGAAGAGCCACCCGAGGCAGGGTGCTCAGTCTCCAGGCCAACCTCTGGCAACCTTGCTCACGCACCACATCCCTTCCAGGCCCACACACGCAACGCATCCAGCACCTCACTTGCCCGCAGTGGTCTGGCAACACCTACTGGACGTGACAGCCCTGCGCGCTCGCCAGCCTTTGGCCCACAGACGACATTTCCCGCGCCAGAAGTCGCACAGATTGCGACAGACAGCCCCGACTCACCAGACGGCATGCAGGGTGGCCTAAGCGGTCCTCATTCTGCCTACGCCACACGCGAAGCAGACATGGCCACTGCCACGCCGGGCAGTCCAGTGCGAGGTGCGCCAGAGCGAGGTGCGCCAGAGCGAGGTGCCGCCGAAAGGCAATCGCAAGATGCTTTCCTCGAATCGCACGATGCTTTCCTCGAATCGCAAGATGCTTTCCTCGAATCGCACAACGCGCAGTCGCCAATCTCCGACGCATTGCCGCGAGACCGCTCCGAGTCGCCCAGCAAAGGCCGCGTGCAGGCGCTGGCCGGCAAGTTTGGCGAGGTCTCACAGTCCAGGCGAGGTTCGACGCAGTCCAACACCTCGAGAAACAGCGTGCAGTCCTGGGAGCGAAGCCGCGATCACTCACGTGCCCCGTCGCCTGCCAAAGGCGACCCTAGCAAGCCTGGCAGCCCCAAGAAAGAGTTCAGGCCGCACCTGCCTGGTGGGTGGGAGTCGTACGCCATCACCACTCCAGCGCCTGTAGATTGGTCCGAGGCAGAGAAAGGGCTCAGCGCAGAGAAGGCATCCGGTCTGGCGTCAGGTCCGGCGTCCGGTCTGGCGTCAGGTCCGGTGTCAGGTCCGGCGTCAGGTCTGGCATCAGGTCAGGCATCAGGTCCGGCATCAGGTCTGGTGTCAGGTCCGGCATCAGGTCAGGTATCAGGTCTGGCATCAGGTCAGGCATCAGGACCGTCATCAGGACCGTCATCCATGTCTCAGGCCGACCGCCTCGAGGAAGATCGAGGTCGCGCCGCAAACAAAAACGACAACTCGTCAGCCCTGGGAGAGATTGATCTCACACCGACAACGAAAAGACACCAGGCTATGGAGGTCGAACAGCCTGCTGAGGATCCAATTCTGGCCCTCAAAAACGCTGGCGCTGCCATGACCGAGTCATTCCGGTCTGCGGTCGGGTTAGGAAGCTCGAGTGAGAGTGCTCAAGAGCAGGACCGCCCGTCTCATGGCGATGTATTCATGTCACGGCCCTTGCACATGGAGCGGACGGAATCTGCGTTGTCGAGCATACCGCCAACACCGCCAGCCAAAGACACACCTACATCAGAGTTCCCACCCACTCCCCCTCTCAAGGCAACGGCACCGGAATCCCTCGCAAGGCCTGAGCGACCCGCGATCGTCCCACAGCTCAGCACCGATCCTTCAGCCGATGACCAGGAGAGCGACCGTCTGCGAAAGGAGATTGTCGCAAGTCTGAGCCCGTTGCGGATGGCCACGGTCCCGTCATCCGACCCAGATCACAGCCCTCTTCGCCCAGACAGCAAGGGTGCTGATCGCGCAAGTTCAATCTTGGACAGCTATTATGCTGAACTGGAAAGAGATTTGCCCCGGGCCTCGACCGATCTGGAACGCGACATTCCCGAGCTTGCTCCTTTGAAGTCAGCATCTTCGGCATACTCCCTCACACAACAGAAGCCTGCAGCTCTCGATCATCGATTCAGCTGGGAATCCAACACACCCCAACTCATGGCGCTTGAGGACGAGCAGAAGTCTGCCGCGGTTTCAGAGCCTACAGAGGTTGCCCAAACGCAACTGCTTCCTTCTCCAACAATCGAGCGAGCAGTGGAAGAGGAGCACCAGCAATGGAACGGAGGCATCCCTGACGAGCCATATTTCGGACCAGGCCACACCTTTACTGTCACGAAGCCAGAGCCCATGACCGACGCGGAGCTTGCCGCTCAAGCCCCGTCCTCACCGCTGGACACTGGCGCGTCTCTTACCAGTCCTCCCACACGTGAACAAACGAGGTCTCCGGGTCTCCATATTGTCAATTCCGCCGTAGATCCTGAGGCTGTTGATTTGCCTCCGCGCTGGAGCGCAGAGCATGCTCCTCAGCCGCCGGAGGTTGAAAAGAAAGTCGACAAGGAGCTCCCCGCGTCTCCACCGCAACAGCCGCTTGAACAAGAGACCAACCCTGCAGTCTCTGCTCACACAGCACTGACTGGTACGATCCAAGCACCAGAATCCTCTGCAATCCACGAGCCCGAACCCAAGTCGCCCACCTCGCCTAGATCGCCATCGTCAGATAAGCCACTGGGAGCCCGAGAGATTGCGACCATTGGCTCAACCGCCCAGCGCATTGCTACCTATAACAAAACCCGTGAACAGTGGGCCACAACTGATCACGGACTTGGCGACTGGATCACTGCTACTTTCCACGCAGACCCAAGCCTTGCCACGCAAGCCGCGCAGCCTCCTCAGCTCAGGCCACAGTCAGGAACTTTCCGTCACAAGCACACTGCATCCCTCGCCATGCTTGGCAAGTTCACTGGGTCGAGCAACAGCCAGCCACCAGGTGCATCCTCGGAGCAGTACAACTCGGCAGGTGCACAAGTCCCTGCCTCCATGGGCTCTCCAACTGCAGGAGCTTCGAAGAGCTTCCTAGGCCGGACGGGAAGCCACTCGATCCAGACTCAACAAATGCAAGCCAAAGGCAAAGACCTGCTGCACACCGCTGGTGTTTTGAGCGGTAAGGGCATGACCAGTGCCAAAGGCTTGTTTGCAAAGGGCAAGAGCCGCTTCAACCGTGATAAGGTAGAGAAATAATCTCCTTCTTGTCAACCTCCCCCCCCCTTTGGAGCAACGACACAATCCCACGACCGTGACGTTGCTCTTGTAGCCCAACAGAAGGATGGCGCCTTGTACTTGGAAGACGTTGGATGGAGAGTCCTTGATTTTGATTTGCGATCTTAAGAGGCGTTCTCGATATCATGATTTTTGTTTGAAGCGCACAACATGTCCGGTCCTGTCCTGTTTGTACGGTGTCCCACTTCCCTCTTGCGTAGTCGTAGTCATCGAAATGTTAACCCTACCTTCTCTTACCACCCACCGTCTCCGTGCTGATACGCATGTGACGCAGACCTCCGCGCCTTCCCACCAAGCCCCCCTCGACATCGATCTCGAGGCGGCGTCGCTCTCGCCCACGACCGCAGCCGTGCCCGCCAGCCCTGTGCAAGAGAAGAGACGACGTCGTTTCTCCTCGCCGTTCCGCCGCTCGAGATCCAGACCTCGATCAGCAAGCCCCGGGTTCCCCAGCACGACCTCATTGGTCTCCACGACTTCGTTGAATGCACATGCACACGACATACCAGACATCCCAAAAGCCTTCCAGGGTCGGCCGCACTCGTACCACGCCCCGGACCTGGGTATGCATCCCGCATTCCGGCGCTCGACGGAGCACTTCTCGCCCGCGTCGCCGTCGTGGGGAGGTGGAACACGAACACGAACACAATCGCACTTTGTTACGGAAACAGAAGTCCAAGACGATACCGCGCCGCCGGTACCTCCCATACCCGCGGGTATCGCGCATGAGCGGCACAGAAGATGTCGAAGCTGGGGTACTGCGGGGTTGGTGCTCAAATCAGATATCCGATACGCCACACCAACAGCACCGGGTTCGAGAAGCCTAGCCGCCAGCCCGGTTACTACCCACTTCGACGTGCCGGACAGTGCAGGCGCGTTTAAGCCAGCTGTCCGCGCTCCCTTGACTGATGATGCACGAGGTGACGTCGGCTCGAGGAGGCTCAGCGAGGGGATTACGAAGGGCTTGTGGATGGGCGATATGTCGCCTGTCCTTACGCCGCGGAATGATGTCCAGGCGGTGCTCCCCATGGACGCTGACGGCGCGCTGGGAGCAGCAGCTCTGCCGCAGCGGTCTGAAGACCACGATGGTCCTGTGGATTCTCACACACAAGAGTTGAATGGGGACGGAGGTAGCGTTGTGGGAGATGAGCAGCGACTGATGGACTCGCACAATTCTCCCACAGGGGCGCACGTGCCGTGGCCAGGCACAACGAGCCGCTCAGCCGACGCAGACGAAGCGTCTTCGCCGCAGACATTCAATGTGCTGCGAGCTGGCGATGTCAGCCCGCTGCTTCGTTCGTGCAGGGCGTCGCTGCTGGAGGTGTCTGAGGGTGAGTTGGAGAACCTGGGTGCTTCTAGTCTGGGCGTGACTGGCGGGAGGGTCCATGATGGGTGTTCCCGCGAGGCTATTGCTACTCCCACCGCATACGCAGATGATGACATGCCACCGAGGGCCTCCAGCCTGGAACCCCCCTCTGCCGACGAAGACAAGCAACGCGGCCAGGCCAATCTTGAGACCATGGATGTCGGCGCTGGTCAGGTGTCGCCCCTCAGCGACCGAGCTGATAGCCCTGCGGCCAACGCTCGTTCGACTCACGCGCTCGATGTTCAGTCTGCACTTGAGCGCAAGTTGGTTGGGGCAGGAGATGTTTCGCCAGTTTCTACAGAATCCTCTGTTTTCGTCGCCGTGCCTTCAACAGGTGCTGAATGCATCACGCGTGAAATCAACGTTGGTGAAGCGTCAGCAAGACCCGGCACCGAAAGGTTCTACACTGCCGGCGTAGGCTTCGACCTTCAATCTCCCCACGAGAAACCATCGGACTCGAATGCAGACAGGGCTATGGCTGAACGCCCTCGTATTGAGAGATTCCAGACGGCGCGGGAGGGCACGCAGGGGTCAAGCGAGCTGATCATCCCAAAAATCAGGCAGCCAGCAAGTCGTTACGCGACTGTTCTGGCTTCTGAGCCCATCGTGTCGTACAAAGAGTACACTGCAAGCTCATCGAGTTCGAGCATCAACTTGCTCGAGGTCAGCGCGGGCAAACCTCAGGCATCGAGTCCGGGCCCTTTGACCCCGCAGGCCGAGCGAGCCGAGCCGATGTCATCTGCAACTCGACGCGTTTCAGCTTCGCAGCTGCAGGTTGTCCACGCCGTCGAAGAGTATGCCGCATCCAATTCGTCTCTTGCATCATGGGATCAGGACAGCAACGCCGCTGATGCGATATCCGAGCCGGGCGCAGCCGTCGCGATGAAGGACGAAAGTGACCTCGTTACTCCTGTGGCGCAGGTGCCAAGGAATGCTGCTCACCACGGACAACAGGCTGACCAGGCTGGAAACTTCGACAACAATTCATCTCACGCGGCACCCAATGGATACTTCAACGAACACTCGACATCCGATTCTGTGCACCAGAAACATCAAAACCCGGCCTCGACGTCTAACATGACGGTTCCTGAGCGCTCAAAGTCGCTTCTGTCAATCATATCCTCAGCTGTCTCGAGCGTGCCAATTTCGCCTGCCTCGAGCAACGCCGGAAGGTCGACTCCATCGACAATTCACAGGATGCAGCGCGACTTTTCCAACGCCAAGAGCAGCAATCTCACAGATACGCAGATCCCGGAGGAGCCAGCGTCAGCCACAGATGATCAAACACCGACGGCCACGGACGAAGGCTATGATCTGTATGCCGACCATAATGGCGTAGTAAAAGATGTCCGCGATGGAAATGGCCAGCCTTTGCGAATTGCCAGCACACCGAACCCCGCTCCCGCTCAGCTAGCGCGAACGACTACTGGAACCTCGTCTATCGCTACAGCACCGGATGTGCAAGACTCGCCAAGTCGAAGATATAGCTTTGGGCGTCCGATGAGCTTCGTCTCTGGACCACATGACGATGATGGAAGGCCTCAGGATCAGATCAATCAGCCCCTGCCAGGCTCAACGGCAGTCCCACCTCAGTCGCAACAAAGATCGCAGCACCATTCGAGGACGTCTTCTGGTGCTATCTACTCGAGCTTTGAGCCAATGCAGGATGTTCATTGGCCGCCAGGTGAAGCTTCTTCGCTACCACCAGTTCAACCCACTCAGCCGCCAGCGCAAGAAGCTGCGCCCGCCAAGGTCGTCCGTCAGCCTACCCGTTTTGTTCCTCACTCCCGTGAGGAGGAAGATGACGAGGACGAGCAACCTTCTGCGCCACGAGCCTCGAATCTGCCACCTCAACGTACACCGCCTGTGATACCCAATGGGCAGCTGTCACCGAATGGTCTTCCACAGGCACAAAGCGTGCAGGACCCTCGCGCAACGCAAAACGTTCAAACTCAGCCTCGAAGTGTCTCTGCTCCGTTACAACATATGGCAATCCCGGGCCACGATTCTCGCGCCGTAAGCCAACCACTTGAATCACCCCCGACGGCGCCTCCGGCTGCATCGAGGAACGAGTTTGAGTATCAACAACAGATGATGCAGCTCCAAGCGAAGTATCCTCGCTTCCGCGGTAGAGAGAACCAGGGTGTCAATGCGCCACAATTAATCCCGAATCAACACGGGGACTTGGCTCCGGCTGCAGAGAAGCCAGCTTCGAAGCCAAGACTCGCTGCAGCTCTCAAGGGCATAGTTGGAAGAACCTCACCGAACGCTCCACCCCCGTCAAACGTACCCTCTGCGCAGCCATCAACGCTAGCTCCTACTGTACCGCCAACTGAGGCTAGCAAAGCTGGATCTTTGGTATCTGCAGTGAGCAGTATATCGCGCGAGCCAAACGCAGTAGCTCCCGGAGAACAACCGGGCGCCGTTGCTGGTCCGCAGCGTTCTCCAAGTCTTGGTGCAGACTCGCAATACAGCCATGTCAGCCACGGCTCTATGCAAGTGCAACCCGCACAATCTCGACAAGACCTCTCGATACCGCCGATACCTGCTCAATACCAGAGCTTGCATCCACAACAGCCACCGCAGCAACAAGCTCAACTCGCGCCACCGCAGCAGGCTGGGCAATCGCAAGGCCACCGCGCGTCTACCGGTGCCATGCCCGATGCAGGGAAGAAGAAGCGATTCGCGGCCTTCACAGGTCTGTTTGGCAAGACGAACCCAGCTGCAGAATTGCAAGGGAAGTTCAAGTTGTCGAGAGAAGAGAAGAAGGCGCAGAAAGCTCAACGACACACCAGTCAACCTCTCCCACAGTCTCAGCCAACTCAGCAGTGGCCTCCGCCACACACGCATTTCATCGGTCCCCAGCCGCCCAATGTCCCTCCCGGCCATGTACTCCATCAGAACGGGCAAGCTGTACATTCAATGGATCCGCGGTCTGTACCTCAGCATGGGCCGCCGCAAATACGTCCGCAAGGTGCGCCAGGCATGCAACCTCCGCAAGGTCTCCCACAGCAGCTCTCGCAGCCGCAAATGCAAGGGCAGGCGCAACAGGGATACCCACAACAACAGCAAAGACCAAGCATGCAAGCAGACGAAGGTTCTGCGTATCTGAGGACAAAGCAAATGGCTGAAGAGCACCAAGCAAGGCAGGCAGCAAGTCAGCCGCCGCGACCGGTGTACGAGAATCCTAATTCAGTGGGACTACTGCGGCCATCGGGCGAGCAGCCCCAACTGTCGAATCGCCTGTCATCTCAAAGACCGCCGCCTTCCAATGGATACTACTACCCTGAGAAGCCATCGCCAGAGCAAGGTGCATATGTGTCCTCTCACGAGGAGCAACAGCGGGCCTTACAAGTGAGGCAACAGCAGCAGCTTGAAGCAGAGCGTCAACTCAACGCAGCTCTACCGCGCTCGCCAGGCGAGCAAGATACATTTGGCGCTTCTGTGGCTCCGCGCCAACAGGTACAGCAGCCACAGCGGCCGCCGTCAACGGAGCATGGAGAATACGGAGCTTCACGGGCTGCACGTCAGCAATTACTGCAGCAGCGAGAGGAGCCTGTTCGCGAGCAAGGCGCGTACGGAGCTACACACGAGGAAAATCAACGCCTACAGCAGCAAGATAACCCCCCTCTTCCCGGGCCGGAAGCCTTCGGGCGCTCTCAGATACATTATGACCAGATACAGCAGCATGGTCCGCCGCAGCGCACAATGGTACCGCCGCAACACGAGCGTCAGCAGATGTCACAGAACCATCATCAGGGAGCTATGGCACGAGACGAGCATATAAGGCAGCAGGAGCAGGAGCTGGCGCATCACAGATGGCAGCAACAGCAAACGCAACTTCGAAAATTCCACCTCCAGCAACAAGCTCAGCTTGCAGCACAGCAACAGCAGCAGCAGGCTGCTAATCGAAGCGTTTCAGGACCGGTCCCGAGTCAAGTCTCACCACCTGTAACGCCTGTTGCGCAACGGCATGTGAGCTCACCGGAACCCCAATATGAGACTCCGCCCATCCCTGGCGCATACGGTCCCGTACAAGGTGTTTTCGTCTCGCCTCTCGACCAGCCGCACGCATACTCGACGCCCCACGACCAGTTCCGTCGACAGGAGTCTGATCCTCGCATGCAGCCACTCTCGCCTCAGGTTTCTGCGCAATCTCAGATGCCGCCAAACGGCCGCCATCACTCGGACGCGAGCAGCGTGTCCGTAGTTTCACCTATTGCTGGACCTACGCCAGAGCCTCCTGCAGCTGACCAGGATCCCGAACAGAGGCAACAGAGGCCCAGGATGCCAAGCATAGCAGAGGTACATCACCAACCACCACCTCAGCCGCAGCCGTGGCACATGAACTTCCCGCCAGGCACTACGGAACAGGACATCGTTCGAGCTCGCCAGAAACAGTTCTTTCAGCAGCACTTTGCTTCCCAGCAACAAGCGCAGGCTGAAAGGTTTGCGGCGTCACCCTCACCTCGCGCATCACCCGACAAGCCGTCGCCTCCATTCTCTGCACCCCTTCAGCAGACGCAAGAGCAGGGTGGTGGATTTCGAGAGTTGTTGCCGCGGAAGTCTCCGCAACCGTATGCAGCACCGCAAACAGCGCCTCTTGAACGCCGTAGTCCCCAGCCGCTGCAACAATCGCCATCGCATCCTCGCGACGGCGCAGGGTGGCCTCTCAACTCAACATTTGGTCCAACAGAGCCTCAGTACGCGATTGCAGGCCCGCGACCGCATTCGAACGGACCTCACACCCCGAATCAGCCCGAAAATGCTGAGCAACGTCCGGCATATGTGGAGGACCCGCGACATACCGCCTTCGACCAACGGCGATACGAGCCAACGCCGCCGAACGAAAGTCAGCGTGCACCCCCGCCATCCCAACAGCCCCAATACGAGGAGGTTGTATCCGACGAGGCGCCTCCGCTGTACGAAGGGCCTGGTGCACCTAACGATGGAATGGAGAAGAGCAACCCGGAGCGCCCTCGACCACCAAACATCATAACTCAACCTGATGATCGAAGACGCCAGCACGATATCCGGCCGCGTCAGGCTTCTCTTGGCCTCATGCAACACCCTCAACCTGCGTCCATGGCCGCATCACCTCAGCGCACGGTACCAGACATGGGCGCCGAATCGCTTCGCCGCCAAATGCTGCAACAAGAAGAGCACGCACGCATGGAACGCATTCAGCGCTCGCAAATGCAAGCTGCCCAGCGCCAACGAGAGCAGCAAGAACGCGAGATTGCCCGTGCTCGAGCGCAAGAGCTCGAGCGCAGTGTCTCTGGAGGTGGCAGGGTTGGCAGCCTCCGCAGCGTGCGTGGCAGCCACAACGGCGGTTCGCCTGGCTGGGAGAGACGCGGCGTCCAGGGCGGCAACAGTCGTCCTGTGTTCGAGCTGCCTGCTGTCGAGGACGATGAGCCCGTTATGCGCGCTACGTCTTTCCCTGGCCAGGAGTGGGTGCCGCCCATGTATGTGGAGGACTAAGCGTATCTGATCTGATCGCACCAACAGAACTTGTGTGCCTCTTTTTGCAGTCGTAAATTTCTTACCGTTGCCCGCTTTTATTCATCGACCCTGCTTTCTTGCATCTCGGCGAGCGATGCATCGCGCTGTGGCATTTTGGCTGGATACCCCCTTCTTTCGTACACATCGATCTCTGTTGCATTTCCGTCATCTTTCTTTGCATGTAGCAACGTTCTGTACAAAATTGGCTCAATATATCCCATGGTTCGATGCTTTGCTTTGCTTTTGTTCCTCTCCACCCTGAAGATTCTTGGCCTGTGGTTCCTGACCCCCATGTCTTGGATAACGATTCTATCCAGGCTGCTGATCGGAGTCTCGACGTCGACCGTTATATAACTGGCTCGCGCGATGGAATTGTGGTAGATAGTGAGCCTTGGTGTGCAGAATCTGAATCTACGGCTGGCGAAAGACTGTGTGACTGCCCTGAGCCATGTCATGTCATGTCACCCGGTTGATCCAAGCCAGTGAGTGGGACAACTGCGTTTACAACTGCAACATACAACCCCCTTTTGCTTTGTTGTGCTGAACATACCCTTGGCCTTGTGACTTCCACGACCCCTTCAAAACAGCTCGCCTTGGTGTGGGGAACCAAAATCTGATGGTTGCTGAAAGACTGTATGTGACTGCCCTGAGCCATGTCATGTCATGTCACACGCTCAAATCTAAGCCAGTGAGAGGAAAACCCGCGTTTGCGACGGGTAACGAAACACTCCTTGCTTTTGTTGTGCTGCATATACCTCTGGTCATACAACTCCCACGACCATTTAAAAGAATCGGATGTCCACGCACGCACACGTAGAAATGGACAGTACTGCACTCAATCCCGCTACCCATCTATCCACTCCAAACGCCGTCTCCAAACACCGATCATCGAGATCGCGAGGCAGCGCGCAGGCTAGATACATGGAGACGCTAATACTGTGTCTGAGGGAGATGCGCGGAGTGTGGAAAGAGCGGGTTGTTGCTGGGCGTGTGGGTATGGTTGTTGAATATGGTTGCTGGGTCTAATGACATCGTGTGTCAGCTTGTCGTTCTTTGAGCATATTTGCCGAACGCAGTAATTTAATTTCATCGGGTGAAGGGACTCGCTACCTCAATCATTCTGATGGCGCTCGCTGGTCAAAGTTGAAATTTGAAAACTGGAACGCGCCTGACCGACCCGTGGTTGTAGGTTGATATGTACCCTATTTGGCCCACACCTGATTTAGTTGAAGTTGTGTAACTGTTGGATTTCGTCTTTGGTTTGTTTGTATGTGACACAACCCCTACTACCACCAGCCCAATCATTACGTGAATGCCTTTGGTTCAGCCTCATTTTCTTGGCTGTTGCCTTCCAATGGGAGGCGCCCACGCCCTACTCTTCCATGGTTCACTCTCTGGCATACTCGGCGCATTTGCTATAATTCCAGTCCGAACCCATTCAGGTGTTGCTCAGACACAATGCGAGTGAATTCTGCAGCGGAGCTCAGCCTTGCGTACATTGCACAATACGACCAGTTGAAGTGAAGGCAGCCTCGTCGTCAACCGCACGCAACAAAAAGGCTCGTGATCTTGCCTAGCCTACAAAATACTGTACGGCACCGAAAACACATTCAACCACTGCTACAACAATCTCCAGTTCGAAACTGCAATATGGGCGACTACCGCAACGACGACCGCCATCGCCAATCACGGGCTCCAAACAACACCATCGGCCAAGACGCTGATTTCCAGTACGCAATGAAGCTGTCAGCTGAGCTCAATGGAGAGCTAGGCGGTCATGCAGAGGCCGCTGCGGCGGCTGCGAAGCGGCAAGCTCGGTACGAGGACGACTTCGACATGGCTTTACAGATGCAGTTCGGCGACGACGAGTCTAAGACTAACGGGCATCCTCCTTCGTACCTTTCAGGCGCAAACACTTCCTTCCTCCTAGCTCCCCAACCCCAGGGCACTAGCAAGTCTAATGCAACAATCGTAGAGCCAGAGTCGCCTGCCGGGCGAACGTTTAGTTCGTTTTCCGGCCTCGCGGACTACATCAAGGCGAGCGCGTGCTCAAAGTGCGGCGAGTCCTTCTTCAAGTCCGAGGCGGACGTCACCAAGCTCTTCCAGGACTGGTACAACGGCAAGGGCAGCCTCTCCTCGCTGCTCAAGTGCAAACTGTGCGATACGTCGGCCTGCATCGCGTGCACGACCGCCATCTTTTCCAGGCATTCCTTGGCTACGACCGAGAACAAGTCTGTGTCCTGGTGCTGCCACAACGGTCGTTTGCTGGTGATCTGGATACTCCTCTGCGGCTTTGACGTCGCGTACTGCGAGATGAAGGAGATGAGCGCCAAGGACACCTCAGCAGCAAAGCAGAAGCTCGAGCCACGACCAGAGACCGTGGGCAAGGGCAAGGAGAAGGCATCGGTGCAACAGAGTGGTATTGGGTACGGCGGTAATAACGACTACGGCTATCAACCATGGGAAAACTCCGACGGAGAGTACGATGCCGACCTGCTTCCACCGGAGTTCTCTTACATCTTCGGTAAGTTTAAGAACAAAAAGAACCATTGGAAGGCCACAGGAGCGGGCAGGACAATCTCCGACCAGAAGTCGCAAGCTTTTGAATGCCAGCAAGCCACGGACAAGCTGGGTGCGACGATTTTCAACCTGCTTCAGCACCTTCTACCATCTCCTGAGCGCGGCCACTCCTTCGACATGGATCCGCCCACGATGATTACCGAGATGCTCCTCGAAAGCAAGCTGTTGGATTACTGCTCGGAGCTGCTGAGCTACGAATCTCTCGACGATGCCTTCCTGCGAAAGGCGACGTATGGTGCTCTTCTGGATTTCGTCATGGTCATCAGCACGCACCCGACTACAGCCAATCTGACGGTTTTCTTGGGAAAGCCCAAGCAACCTGAGCAGCGCAACTTGCTCACGCAGACATATTGCCGCGTGGAATCTTCGACAAGCGGAACAGCGCCATCGCTTGCTGACGGCTTGAGCGAACTCAGCAAGCTCAGCAGCCTGCTGTTGAAGAACGCCGAGCACCACAAGACAATGTACAACGCCGATAACGATCAAGAGATGCTGGCGCTCTGTCGCAAGATCTCAGATGTATGGGCAAGCATCTCTGCTCACATGCTGGTTCCAGGCTCCGAGGCCTCGCCGACTACATCTACTGCAGAGGTAGCTGCCATCGGCGACATTAGTGATGGCCAGATCTGCGCCTCACACGCCTTCGCAGCGCAGGCACATGCGCAGATTCGCTCAGCTCCTGGTCGCTTCAAACGCTTGGTGTCGGAGATCAACGTTCTGAAGACCAGCCTCCCGCCTGGTATCTTCGTCCGCCATGGAGAGTCCCGCTTGGACGTGATGAAATTCGTCATCATCGGCCCGGAAGGTAGCCCGTACGAGAACGGGATGTGGGAGTTCGACATGTACTGTCCCGCGGAGTATCCAAATGCTCCACCCCTGGTCACATTCAAGACAACCGGTGGCGGACTGCACGGGATGAACCCAAACCTGTACCCGGACGGCAAGGTCTGCTTGTCTCTGCTGGGTACTTGGCAAGGGGAGCCTTGGAAACCGGGACAGTCGACTCTACTACAAGTGTTGGTTTCACTTCAAGCTATGGTGTTCTGCGAGCAGCCATGGTACAACGAGCCAGGCAGGGAACGCAAGTTCGCCAGCAGCATTGCTAGCAAGGCCGCTGATCGATACAACCGCGAAATCCGCGAACTGACGGTTCGCCTCGGGATGCTCGACTGGCTGGAGAAGGCGCCCCAGATCTGGCGAGAAGTCATGGATCAACACTTCAATTCCAACGCAGACAAGGTGCTGCGCACAGTCACGGAGTGGAGCAAGCAGTTCAGCCCTGGCCCGAGGCGACCCGGTGCGCACGCTGAAGCGCCAGACCGACCAGAGTCCTACGAGTACGGGTTTGGCAACCGCGAGACCGGGTATAAAGCTACGCTCCCTCGATTACACGGGCTCCTGCAAAAGTACGGTGCAACGATGCCGCTTCCAGAAGTCTGCGAACCGGACCACCCACCACCGCGAGCGAAGAAGACGCGCGTCGAGGAGTCGCAGGCTGAGAGCTCCCGAGACGCTGCTCTCCCACACGATCCAGAGACACCCTCGTTGTACTACGAAAATGATGAGATGGCGGCAGTCATGGCTGAGGATGACATGGATGACATGCAGGACATGGATGAAATCTTCGGTCCGCTGGGCGCATTGGTGGGGCCATTCCCTGGGGGATATGCAGGCCGTGGCGCACACCATAATGACTACAATTTCAGCGGCCGAGGGCAGGTACTCGGTGCAGGACCGAGTGGTGCTACACATCCAGCGCATGCCTTCCTCACTCCTCCGGCAGCATCAAACCGTGGGGGTGGTCACGACAGCGCTCGACACTATGGGGGCTGGACGGCAGGCCTCGGTCGTGAGAGCGGTCGTGGGAGAGGTGCGCCTGCACAGTACGATCCGAATGCGTCCATTCACGAGCTCATGTTCGGCAAGGGCAGGAGACTCGGCGATGCTGAGGACAAGGTGGGGCGCGGCGGTCGTGGTGGAGGGTTCCTCGGCGAGTTTGGGCGAGGTCATCGAGGCGATTGAGGGGGAGGCGGAAGCCCAGCGGCGTGAGAAAGTGTCTCTCGCGTGTAAAGACGGTGACGGCACATTGAACAGCTAGGCATGGCGTGTGCAGGATGGAGTTTAGGAATCTCGGCATACAACGCACTGGGAATATGAGTTCGAGCGATCTATAGATGAAAGACTCGTGTGGAGATTCTTACATGTTGAAGAATTCAAACAATAATAACTCAATGTAAGTTATAGTCTGAATATCAATATGGTGAGTGAAGACGCGACTTTCCCCCGCGCTACGTGGAGACCCCCCACACGGCCCACTTTAATACCCGGCGCCCGAATGACATCAGCTCCAAGCATTCACATTCACATTCACATTCACAGCCTGGTGCCATCCGACACTCAGCCTTGCTGCTCTCACACGCGTGCCTTCCTGACTGCCCCGACTGCAAGATGCGCCTCTCGTTCCGCGCAATCCGCACGTCATGACCACCTCGCCGTGCCCAGCGGGAAGTGCGACGAAGTCGACGGCAGACGCTGCCGTCACGTGCTCGCTCGAGCAGCTCCCCGGAGAGCTACTGCAGCTCGTCGTGTCCTACCTCAGTACCGACGCCCTCCGGCACGCTGCCCTCGCCTCGCGTACCCTCTACCGCCATGCGAGCGACCGTCTCTGGCAGCACGTCTGTCTCGCGGACAAGCGCACGCTGCACGAGCTCGACGACGCCGACGAACACGACGATACGCCCATCATCGAGAAGCTGTACATCCTGGCGACCAATCCCGTGCTGGCCGCCAAGGTCCAGACCCTCACCCACCGATGCCACCTGCCCACGCCGAACATCCTCACCGAGCTGCCACGCATGTACTTCGACGCTGCCAATCTCTCCGCCGACGAACGTCTGCACAGGCTGCTCAGGGTCGCCATCTGGAACCTGGTCAACGTGCACACTCTGCGCGTTGTGTACGGCCACTGGCACCTGACCACTGCTCTGGTCGCTGGCTTCCTCGACTATGCACGGCCGCGCGGGGTCCCGCTGCGGAAGCTGTGGCTGGAGAGCTGTGCTTTCGACATGACAAACTTCAGCTTTCTCGGTCCGACCGGCGACAGCGGGCTTGAGTCTGTCCGCCTGCGCCGCCTCAGAGCAGAGCCGCGCCTCGCTGGATCCAAGTACGGCATGGCGTGGCTGGACATGAAGCTTGCGCGTGGAGGGCACCACTACCAGATGCACAACGGCGCAGGTTCGTGGGTGGGCACCACTGTCGAGTTCTCGCAGAAGGATCTGCCGACACAGCTCACGCTGCCCACGCCAGGAGCCATGACGGCCACAGGAAAGCGGTTCGACAATACCATCTGGGCAGACCTTCGAGACATGGAGCATTACATCCAGCATCTGCCTCCCGACCCCACGCGAAGGGTGCCCTCGATACCCATGGCGCCCATGCATTGGCTGTTCCAGTCGGCGCAGTCGACGCTGACACGACTTGATCTCGATTGGATATTGTGGCATCAACGAGAGTACGACGACGCATATGACACATCGAGCGAATTCCTGAACGATCTTGCTGCGCTGAGATTCCCACATCTGGTCGCGTTCCAGATGCGCAACGCCGTGCAGCCGCTGACCAAGCTCCCGAGCGACGTCTTTCTCCTTGAAGACACCTTCCTCGCGTTTCTGGAAGAGCACCCCAGGATCAAGTGTCTTGCGTGGCCACTGGATAAGTTCTACAACCACACACGGCCTTCTGTGGAAACCCAGACCAGATGTCGACGTCTCATCGCACATCTGGCTGCGGTGTTGACTGATGTGCGCCTCGACACATACTACGCTAGCAACGGAGAGCCTATGACTGACGACGACACGGCAGTCGAGGCCACCCATCAGCGGACCCGGCGCAGGAGATTCATCGCCGAGTTCGCTCCCCACATGCAGAAAGTCAAGCAGCTCAAGCTCGAAGGCGGCATCCCGCGGGACGAGAAGCGCGAGATCCTGCGCGCCCTGCACTACTGTCCACTCGAGAAGATTGTCTTCATTGGCGTCTCGTTCCCAGTAGGCAACACCTGGGGCGCCGGCGGCGCACGTTTAAAGCAACTCGACGCAGGCCACGCCTCAGACTCTGCCTGGGACCTCGAAGAGGAAGACACCGACGGCATGCTCGCAGCGTACCGACAACGCCCTTCGGTACCCTCAAACTTCACGTTCTATCCAAACTTCGGCTGGTCCGCCGAACCGCCGCTCCTGCACACCCTCGCCCTCCACCACGCCGACACCATCCAAGAGCTCAAAATATGCGGCTACAACGGCTGTCCCGTGCTCTCCTACCTCACCCCCGAAACCACGCCTCTCCTCGCCCCGCTCCTGCAATACCGAAACCTCCGCCAAATCGTCATCAGCTTCTGGCTCCTGACGCACTTTGAAGGCGCATACCGCGACATGGAAATCATCCAGAGCTGGCTGGACACGCGCTCGCCGTCGAGCACGGCGCTCGTCGTCGTCACGCCCCCGCGCAGCCCCGAGCGCGAACACCCCGTCGACGGCGCCATGATGCCGGCCCCCGAGCCCAGCGCGCCGCGCCCGGCATTCAACCGCTGGGCCGTCGCGCTCAAGACGCGCTTCACGCCCAGCGCGCTCGCGTACAGGGTCGCGCGCGACATTGGCCCGTTTCTGAGCCCCGACGCCAAGGCGCGCGACGGCGGCGTGCGCATTCGCGCCAGCTTCTGCCTGGGCGCGCGCGAGGAGCGCAGGGTTGCGAATGACATCTTCGATCTGGACATCAGGATCGGCCGCGATGATCAGGTGCTGGAGTTTGTCGGGCCCCGGGAGGAGGGCGAGAAGGGCCGGTGGTGGGCTAAGATGGAGCGACGGCAGTGGTTCTGATGCGTGGCTGGGTGATCATGTGCACTGGTTTATTTTCCGTCTTTGATGGTGTTTTAGCGTCATATGAGGTCTCACATATGTTATGGATGATGTGTGGGGATATGCATTGTAGGTCTCGCAGCGCTTTTCACTGACAGGTATACACGCATCAAGCACTTGTACGTCGAAACTCGACCCGACCAGAGGACTTGGGCTGAGTCACATGTGCAGAATCAAGGCGAAGGTATGGTTGTGTATCATTCATTCGCTTTCTGGCGTTCATGGAGCGCACCTCGAAGTTATGCCGCGTCAGATAGAGACTGCCCATGGTGTTCCAGAACCCGGATATGTACCCGTACCACACGTTCAGCACGGGGTCGGCGCGCGCATCGTTGTAGCGAGGCAGTCGCTTGACCCACTTCCAGGTACCCACGAGACCGACCCTGGCGTCGTTGAACGCGGGCAGCGCGCCCGCGAGCCAGGGCAGACACCAGATTGTAGTGTCGTCGACGCAGATCATGATCGGGGTCTAGACGTACTGCATGCCGGCGACGAGCTGCTGGCGCTTGTTCGAGACGTTGACATCGACGACGCTGATCTCGGTGTGCTTGTCGAAGGCGAAGCCGGGAAGACTGTACGCGCGCTGGTAGCGAGTCTTGCCGGCTTCGAACGACACGCGGAAGTCGGCCAGGAACCTGCGGACCTGCTCAGCAGCCAAGACGGTGTTGCACGCGAAGACCAGACGCGCAGGTCTGCTGACGAGAACCGCGGCTATAAGCTCGTCGAAGACGGTGTCCCCCTCCGGCCCGACGGTGGCGCAGATAGCAGTACAGCCCTCGGGCTTGAACGCATCATTCGCAGTCGGAAAGGGCGGGCATGTGCCGCGTCTAGAAAAAGACTTGCACGGCTGTCCGCCAGTAGCGCAGCACGAGCAGGAACACCAGCCAGACCAGATAGTAGTCGACCGCGCGCTGGGCCGGAATCGAGGCCCTGAGGGAGGCGACGCCGGGGATGACATGCCCGAACATGGCCAGTTACTTCGGCAGCGAGAGGTGGCACGGGCGTCCGCGCAGATCGTACAGCAGGAACAACAAAACCCATGAGAATAGGGTGATGGTGCTGTACATACCCACTGTAGTAGGCCCGTCCATTTCGAATGGAGACAACATGTTGATACACCAGTATGCCGCTCCGCAGAACGTGATCAGCGCCATGCACAGCACCATGATCGTCCATGGCGAAGTCATGTCGCGGGACGGGGAGCGCAGGGGGCCCGGCGCATGCAATGCTCGAGCCTGCGATTGGAGAAGCGGCTGATCCATAGTCAGCGTTCAGGATGTGCTGTTGACGTTTGAGCTGTCTGATGGCCCGGTGGATTCAGTAAGAACCCGGAAGAGTGCTGATGAGCCTTGCTCCTGCATGGTGACTCTGAAAGGAGCGTTGGGTATCCGGTGGTATACTCGATGGTCGCGAGAGCTGGACTTGACCGGCAAGTGCTGCTGTAAGAATGATCGAAATGAGTGAAGATGTGTAGAAGTCGTAACGAGTGTGTTGCGTGAGGCTCTTGCTGGTTGAGAGTGTGTAGCTGTGTGAAGCATCTTACAGACCAGATTGGATGCTCTTGATGTAGCATCAGGGGTGGCCATTTGGCCTGGCAGTGAAGCTGTTACTTGACGGGGCGGGACGATGGTATTGCGTATACGTAGAGTCGTCATGCTTTCACTGCCTTGAGGACTTCCCTTGGCTCTGGCAGTGAAGCTGTCGCTTGACGAGGCGAGACGATGGCATGGTGTGTACGTAGCGTCGCGGTACTTTCACTGTTAAGGAGTTCTATTGATGTGTGACGTCCATCCCTGCGTAGTGGGACACCCTGTATGGCGGGTCACTATTTCATCCGGACCTTCGACGTCAGGCCAGCTCGACTGCACAAAGTTGAGCTTAACGCACTTTGTTCTGCACATGTTTTTCTCTTCCTATACTAGCCTCTGACTAAGGACAACCTAGTGTTGGATCTGCTGTTGGTCAATCTGTTAATAGCGTTTTTTAACTCTCTGCTACTACTTCCCTATTTATTCGCCACAATGAATCTTTATCAGGTATTTGGACAACTAGGAAGGAAGCGCAGATGTCAAAGATTGAGATCGTGGGCTCTAAAGATCAGCTTAAGGTGAGGAATGTGCCCTCCGGCAGTTTCTCTGTGCAAACAGCAGATTTACCGCAGTAGCCTGTAGTAGCGTGCTTAGATATCTATGTATGCTATTGTAACAAATCTAACGCTATGCCCACAGCGGAGACTTCTAAAGATAGCTGTGGCACACACTAATAGCGACCAGCGAGGCGCGACCATTTCTGCAGCGGCGCTCCTCTGTCAAGTTCGCCATCACTCCTCTATGTGCTGCAGTCCTGCCCCCAGTGATTGCGCCCATTGATGCGCCCGCGAGAGTCCGAAACGATGAATCGGCGTCTAGCACCTCCCTTGCCTACCACCGCACACATGCACTGCGCTCGAGCAGCTGGACAAGGCAATGCAGGTCAGCTCTGCCACCCTGCTCGAGATTACGCGCCAAGCTTCCAACCACACGCTCAGTTCAGCTCATGCTGTCTTTAATGGAGCCGCCTTACAGCCTCGCGGCTTACATGCTGCTCGTAAAATTCTCCCACACCTACCCCGCTCAAGACCTGATCCAACGCTGTCACCAAAGCAGCTTCAGCTCCTACAGTGTTGCGCATTGCCGTTTACTTTTGATCGACCTCGTACTTTAATAGCCATTCATCCTCCGTCTACATGCTTACCTAGAGAGAATAGGGAAAGCCGGCTGTCGCATTCTGCCTTCTAAGTTACCACATTAAGCCTTCTGTCTCGTTCGTATCGCATGCGCTTGCCCCACAACCACACTGATCGATGCATCTCCTGAAGTACGGCGAAAATGGAGAGCTCACGATCACCAGCTTCGAAGAGAACGAGCTGCCTCTTTATGCGATACTCTCCCACACCTGGGGAGCAGATGAAGAGGAGGTGACTTTTGCGGACATTGTGAAGGGCGGTGGCAAGGCCAAGCCTGGCTACAAGAAGATTCGTCTCTGCGGAGAGCAGGCACAACAAGATGGGCTGGAGTACTTCTGGATCGATACCTGCTGCATCAACAAGGCAAACAAGGCTGAGCACTCTCTAGCCATTCGGTCCATGTTTCGGTGGTACCGCAACGCTGCTCGATGTTATGTCTATTTGTCGGATGTCACTAGCCTGCCTTCCGCGGTTGCTCAAGGCCAGTTCAATTTCCAATGGCTCACCTGGACCTGGATGCTCCCTGTTTTCTCCTATCTATTAAGCTGGTACAACAGCACGATCCAACGCCTCTCTCATTCGCGACATGTTTCCTGTCCTCCTATGGATAGCGATATTGTATGCAGCCAGCAAGAACCTGAATCTGAGCTCCAGAAAAGCAGATGGTTCACCCGCGGATGGACACTGCAGGAACTTCTTGCACCGCCTACAGTAGAATTCTTCTCTAAGGAAGGGATCAAGCTTGGGGATAAGCTTTTGCTGACAGAGGAATTGCGTAAAGCCACAGGCATCCCTGATTCAGCGCTGTACGGCACACCTTTGTCTGACTTTGATGTTCATGAGCGCATCTCGTGGAGTGAACATCGTACAACAACGATACCGGCAGACTCTGCATACTCTCTAATGGGCATTCTCGGTGTTAGTTTGTCCCCAATCGACGGAGAGAGTCCAGCTGAAGCGATGAAACGAGTTATAGATGAGGTCGACAAGCAAATCCATTGCGTCCGAGACCTGCGGCTTACCAATCCGCGCGACGATAGAAAACGCATTGAGGAAACAAAAGGCGGGCTGCTAAAGGATTCCTACCGCTGGGTTCTGGACAACAGTACCTTCCAGCAATGGCAGCAAGACCTGGACAGCCGACTACTGTGGGTGAAAGGTGATCCTGGCAAAGGCAAGACGATGCTACTCTGCGGTATTATGGATGAACTTCCGCACTTGATGCCTAAGGGCGCCCTTCTATCGTACTTCTTCTGTCAAGCGACCGACTCGAACATTAATAGTGCTACAGCCGTGCTACGAGGCTTGCTATATATGCTTGTGCACCAACAACCGTCGCTTGTGTCGCATATCCGCAAGAAGCACAATCACGCAGGTGTAAGCTTATTCGAGGACGCAAATGCCTGGGTCGCCTTGACAGATATCTTTGCAGACGTGCTGCGAGACGTTAGCTTAAGCACGACTTACCTGATCATTGACGCACTAGACGAATGCGTCACTGATCGGCCAAAGCTGCTTGGCTTTATCGCAAGGCAGTCGTCTGTGTCCTCTCGTGTTAAGTGGATTGTTTCCAGTCGCAACTCGCCAGATATTGAGAAAGAGCTGGTGACCGCAGAGAACCAAACGAGGCTGAGCCTCGAGCTGAATGCCAAGTCAGTTGCGACGGCAGTTCAGATTTTCATCGAGCGGAAGGTGTGTCAGCTGGCGCACAAGAAGGACTTCAAGCCGGAGATGCGACACGCCGTGCTCCAGCACTTGACATCAAACGCGAACAACACCTTCCTCTGGGTAGCATTGGTGTGCCAAGAACTAGAGCGGACCGAAAACTGGAACGTACTAAAGAAGCTAAGCTCACTCCCTCCCGGGCTTGACGCTTTATACAGGCGGATGATCGACCAAGTCATTGTTTCTGACAGCGCCGAAATCTGTCTGCAGGTCCTTGCCTCAACTGCGGTCTTATATCGACCTGTTACCATCACCGAATTGTTTTCGCTCGTTAAGCTGCTTGCTGACCTAATTAATAACCTAGAGTCGGTGCGAAAGATTGTCAGCCTATGTGGATCGTTCCTTACACTTCAAGAAGACACAGTGTACTTTGTGCATCAGTCTGCAAAAGACTTTCTCTTCGCAAATGCGTTTGATGAAGTATTTCCAGATGGGACTGAAACCCCTCATCGTGCAATCTTTTCACAGTCGCTGGCAATTTTGACTAGGACATTGCACAGGGACATGTACAGCTTGGAAGCGCCAGGATATTTTATTGAGAACGTCAAACTATCCGGGGCAGACCTGTTAGCAGTGTCACGATACCCGTGTGTCTACTGGATCGATCATCTGTGCAATTCAAACGCTAGGTTTCTGGAGAATAGTGGTGGTGACCTGCAAGGTGCCGAAGAACTTGATATGTTCTTAAGAAAAAAGTATCTCTACTGGCTAGAAGGGCTTAGTCTTTGCAAGAGTGTAGGGAAAGGCGTTATCTCAATGACAAAACTGTGGTTATTAGTGCAGGTAAGTTGTTTAGAGTCTGCGTATCTGTGTCGCGTGATCAAAATGCTAACACTAGTAGAAAATGCGTGACTACGATGGATTAGGTCAACTTGTTGAAGATGCACGGCGATTTATTATGTACCACAAAGGGGCTATTGAGGGTTTTCCTCTCCAGACATATGCTTCTGCGCTCCTGTTCAGTCCGACGGGTAGTCTGATCCGACAGCTGTTTCAGCGTGAAGAGCCAGAAGGATTTTGCGTTAGGCCAGCGCTGAGCAATGGCTGGAGCGCGTGCCTGCAGACGCTTGAGGGCCATAGCGATTATGTCAGCTCAGTGGCCTTCTCGCACGACTCGACGCGGCTGGCGTCGGCGTCT